CGTCCCAATCCACAACAACAACCGCGATGGCGCAGGTAAATCCCCTCCTCCCTCCCTTACCTCCCCGTTCACCTCCCACTAACCACCCACCCACTTATCTTAGGCCAAATGTACATCCCCTTGAACCCGAACGCCTACAGCCCCAACACCCTCAACTCCGCCTCCCCGAAACAAGCCAACCAAACAACCGGCAACGGCTTCTTCACCTCCCCGGGCCGCACCACCTCAGGCCACCTCCTACGCAGCACGTCCCCGACCTTCCAAGACGTCTGGTCCCAACCGCGGCTCTTCTACAACTCCCTCGTCCCCACGGAACAACAATTCCTAATCGACGCCATCCGCTTCGAAACCAGCAACATTAAATCGACCACGGTGCGCCAAAACGTCATCATCCAACTCAACCGCATCTCCAACGACCTCGCCCGACGCGTCGCCCGCGCCATCGACGTCCCCGCCCCCTCCCCAGACCCGACATACTACCACGACAACAAAACCACCGACGTAGGCACCTTCGGCACGCCACTCAAGAAACTCTCCAACCTGAAGGTTGGCTTCCTCGCCTCCGTGCAAACCCCCTCGTCGATCACCGCCGCACAGGACCTCGCGACAGAGCTGAAAGACGATGAAGTGGACGTAGTAGTCGTCGCGGAAAGATTGACCGACGGAGTCGATCAGACGTATTCGGCCTCGGACGCGATCCAGTTCGATGCGGTGATTGTCGCGCCTGGTGCGGAGGGTCTCTTTCCGGAGGGATCGGTCACTGCACCACAGCGCAATTCTACGGCTAGTGCGGTGAGCACCCTGTATCCGGCTGGAAGACCGTTGCAGGTGCTGGTGGATGCGTTTCGGTTCGGGAAGACGGTGGGGGCGGTTGGGAGTGGGGAGGGTGCGTTGCGGAATGCGGGGATTGATGATGAGAGAGAGGGTGTTGTGGTGGGGCAGACGGTTGGGGCCGAGTTTGTGGATAGTGTTAGGGAGGGGTTGAGGACGTTTAGGTTCCTGGATCGGTTTGCGCTGGATGAGGAGTAATCAGTCCTCTTTAATGAGTGAGGGTGAGTGGTGGGTGTCTCTGAGGTTAGGGGCATCAGTTTATGGTCTGCTGTGCTGTTTATGTGACAGCGGTATTATGGCGGGGTTGTCTTCTTGTATCTATTAGCGTGCTCGCATACATACATTATCTAGTTGTGGCTGGTACACTGGCCGGTCGGAAGACTGGAGTGGTGTAGCCGGTTGTGGCTAGCGAGGATCGATCGATCGTAATTCATATTATGTAGCATTAATTGATTATGTACTTCTCATCCAGATATGGAAGGATACTTATGTTACAGAAGCGACCGTCTCGTAGTTAAAGTGAGCAAGCTATTCAGCTAAGGTGGGCCAGAGTGGCCTTGCTCCGTGCACTCATCTGCCGCTTGGCCTGCGCCGTGGAGCTGGAAGTGCTGTTCTGTCCCAGAATGACCCACTCGGCTACCGTAGCACCAGCAGTCTCGTTGGCCTGGTTGCCTGCGATCAAGAGCGTGGCGTACCGGGCTTTCTGGACGGGCGCATCCAGTGTGATTGTGGTGGTGTTGGCGGTGGGGATAGAGACCACGTTCAGCTCCTCCGCAGAGATGGCGTTGTACGGCTTCGACTGCACGATGTTGGACATCGATGTAACCACCCGGTATCCTGTGGAGTTCGAGCCAGCGGCAGCGAACACAGTGGAGGGGTTCTCGATAGGCGAATCGTGGAAGATGACGGTCAGGTTCTGGGGCGGTGCCTGGTACCAGTCAAAGTAGAAGCCAGAAACTGCCTCCGCAGCCGCGTCTGTCGTGGTGGACAAAGTGACCGTCAAAGAAGACAAATTAGACGTCGAGGGCTGCCACTTGGTGGAGGTAGCACCGTCCACGGCAGAGATGGGGAACTGGCCTGGCTCGTAGGCATCCGGGGAGTAGACTGGATGACACTGGACCTGGTTGCCAGGAGTTGTGTTAACAGACCCGATCATGCGGTTGGGGACCGTCAGTTCTCCAGAGAGTGGAAGGTAGTAAATAGTCGCCTCGTCGGCCGACGCGGTGGACTGGCCTACTTGGACCTTGATGCTAACGTTGGAGAAGAGAAGGTCGGCGCTTGCCAGTGGTGCAAGAGATGAATCCCGCTGGATTGTGGTGTGCGTGTAGTTGGACCACGCGGAGATTGGCCAGCCATGCCAGTAGAAGGTCCGGTAAGTGATATGAGGGATCTGAGGCGGAAGATTCGGGTCGATGTAGAGGGTGTCATCAGGGTGGAGACGCAGACCGAGGTACCCATAGAGGGCTACCTGGTTAGCACCACCGTGGCCGGTAATGAATGGGAACGCGGGGTGAGTTCCGCCATTGATGCTAGCATCGTCGATCATCTGCTCGGACAGCTGGTACCACGGACCACGTGCATATGGGGCGTAAGAGTACTGGTGGTAGGTGTAGGCAGAGCAGCCGGACGGAGAGACATCGCTGGCGACGATCGCGAAGATGGCATATGTCATTGCTGGCCCATCTGCGGATTGCTTGTTTGCATACTGTTTTTGTTAGCTTGGAACCTCACATGGGTACTTGCAACCTACGTAGTCCAAGTCGGTCAGCGAGTTCGTCGCCGTGTAGTTGTCCGACTCATAAGTCAACGGGAACGTGTTGAGGACGATGTCGGCTTGCTTAACGACGGCAGTGCCGTTCATCGTTGTGTATTCCAGGGTGACACCGTTCTCGCGGAGAATGAGAACGTCCTCTGCAATTTCGTCCCATGTCTCGTTCGGCTCCAGACCAAACTGCTTGCGGAGCTTGTTGGCGTTCTGCAATGTTTCGGCGATCAACGGCATCGTGAATCCGCCCGCGTTAATGCTGTTTGCATACTCATCCTGCGGAGGTCAGAGCTAAGTCATGTAAAAGGGGCATGTTACCTACCGGATCAGTCATGTTCGTCAATGTGTAGGATGAGCCATTTCGCTCCACCAGTTCAGAGTAAAGAGTGGCTGCTGCATCATAGATGGGGAACAGGTAGTTCTTGAACCATGCCGTGTCGCCACTTGCAACCCACTGATTGATCATTGCCAGGCCAATGTCGCCATTCAGATGATACTGGTAGTCCCAGCACGGTCCGGTTGCGGTGCAGTTGCCAAATCTACCGCTAGTCCAGGGGTAGATCGCGGCGGAAGAGCTGAATGAGGTTTGGTTTTTCGAGCCAGTGAATGCAGTTTCGATGTTAGCCTGAGCTTGGTAGTGCAATGCGATACGGTAGTTGGTGTACCGCTGAGCCGACTCAGGGTGAGAGGCCACAAGACCAGGCTGCATCCATAGATCTGCATCCCAGAAGATCTGACCACCGTACGAATCCGAGGTAAGTCCACCGGGCGCACAACTGTCAACATTCACAGGGATTCCACCAGCAGCCGCGATCGCATTGGTTCCTGCGGTGTTCTGCAGCAGATAGTAGGTGTTCGTCACAGCAATGATGGCCGAGTCGACAATGTGGCTATCTTCAGGCAGCCTGCCGGTCGCTGGATCCGTGAAGCGATCAACTGAGTTGTCGTGCATAATCGTGGCCCATTCTCCAACATGCGACTGCAGCGACTTGACGTAGCCATCAGCCAAGCCAGCCAGGCATGCAGCCTTGGCTGTCTCCTGTGTGAGAAGAAAGTAGTCCGTGGTGGCGGCACCCACAAACTTGGTGATGCGGACAGTCTCATTCGCAGTAAACGTGACATCGACCGCCTGTGCAACCGACGAGCTGTTTGTGCTCACATAAGGCTTGTCGGTAACGATCCTACGCGAAGACAAGTTGACACCCTCGGAGCCATCCAAAGTCGCATAGACGTAAGCCGTGACATTATTGACTCCCCAGGGCCGCACAGCAGAGAAGATCGCACCCTCCTCTTGACCAGATGCGACAAAGTCTGTGCGGACAGCTGCATAGCCATCCAACACGTTGACTACCGTAGCATTGCCGTTCGTCAAAGGAGTGATTTCCATGTCCACCACGGCTCGGTTCACATACAGCTTGTGCGCGAAGAGTCGATAGGTGATTGCATAAGAGCCTTTGTTTCCTTGAGGGGTCCAGGTATACGACCAGGACAGCACGCCTGATTTGAAGTCATAGGTAGACTCAAAGTTCGAAATCGTGCGGTTATCCACGGTAGCGTCCAGGTACGTGTCATCACCCAGTTCAAGAACCAGGCCACTCCAATGCGGAACACCACTGATTACACTGTCATCTCCATACTGCGAAAGCCAGGGGAAATTGGAGCCGTTGGTGTGGGCTTGTCTATCCCAGAAACCGGAAATAGTAGCGAAACTCTGACGCCGGGAGTACAGGGGCCAGCCATTGATCACATCGCCATTGACGGGATCGTCAAGCTCGAAGAAGGGACCAATGTTGGCAACATTAATTCCCAGGTATCCGTTGGCAACAGACCCACGCGACTGGTAGTGGCCCTGGTCAGGCGTCGTGGTGGTGAGCAGCCAATGGTCCTCATCCCAGGTCACGCCCGAGAATTTAGTCGCATAGACATTGGTGGAGTTAAGAGCTGTTTGGGGCACGTCGCGACCGGCGTGTCTCTTCAAAGACGCCGAAATACGCGCATTTTTGCCTTGCAGACCGTCCACAGCCGCAGGAAGATGCAGCAAAAGCGGCAACAACGTTGCCAGGAACTACCACATTGAATTAGCCACAGTTTTATGGGTCAGGATTCTAAAACACACCTTGACTTGCATCTTGCAAAGGCCGGGAGCCCAGTGAAGCTATGCGGTTGCTTTATCCGCTCAGAAAGTGGAAGGGAAGGAGAAAAGGATAGGAGATATAAATAAGATTTGAGAGCGACGCGAGATTTGATCGGAGTTTTATCCTGCAGTAGTCGGTCCACCTCGTGTCCGAGACAGGGAATGCCAAGGGCGATCGGTGAAATGAACGAGAGACAGGCGAACACCAGGAGATTAAATGCACTGCCCCTTGAGAAAAGATTCTTGAGGAACTTCAGTTCTGGGTCAGCGGTGATGGAATTACCCCGCGGGAGACGATGGAACCGAACCGAAGAACCTTCGTCACTTGCTGGCACGGTCCTCAGGGCAAGACATTCCTACTCGACCAGGTCATTTTGTGGGGTACGGAAGGCCCTGGAATGGTGCGAGGCCGGAAGTCCGGGGATCCCGCGTTGGGCCCAGTGCCACGGACAAGCCCCTGCGGTGGGCCATGATTGGGTAGCGAGGTGGTCGGCCGGGGGAACAAAGGAAGGCAAAAGGGAGGTAACCAAGGAACGGACACGGGATGGCGGTGAGGCAATTGAATGACGGAAGATGATGTTGATGATGATGGTGGAAATGATGAGGAAGTGAAGTGAGATGAGGGGAAAGAAGGAGGAAGAGGCTCAAGCAGTGCAAACCACACAATTACGGTACCTTGATGCCTCACTGCCTCAGGCATGTCATGCCTCCCCTCTCCCTCTTCCTTACTGACAGTAGGAGATGATCCCCGCAACAACAGGAAATGACATTTCATCCCTTGATCCAAACATACTCATAATACCTCCAAAGTTACAGTACACATTCATTCCGGGTCATCAACCTCACCGGTCATGAAACCCCCATACCTCGCCGTGGCCATCTACCACCCTCGCTACGGCAACTTTCAACACTGGGCCCTCCATCTCCACTCAGATACTGAAGACCTCGTTTTCGAAGTCGATGGCGAGCATCCCAGCTTCCAAAAGATGGTATTCAATGGGCTTCCTTCCGATAACCCGGGTTTCATCGAGTCCATCTTTGTATGTCAGATTGGCAGCCCCGATATCCCGACCGTGAAGGACGTCGTCAACGCCACGCCCGTGGATAATGAGACCCTCGAATGGGACTGTCAGGATTACGTGCTAGAAATACTTGAGGGATGTGAGAAGGAAGCTGTGCTAGAGGATGAGGATGCCGATTACGAAGAGGCCATGGAGATCCTACGAAGTAGACGGGGGCCGATCCTTTAGCTTAGCGTCTAACGATCCCTAGTTGATAAGGACAGATGCATACCGCTAAGGTACAGGAACCCAAGTCCGAGTGCTGCGATAACAGGGATTAATTATGGTTCCTTCAAGGAGAGAATACTCATACTAAAGAGAATCCAGACTCCGGAACGTCCTCCGAGGTCGGTTTCCGAGCCGAAAGGTATACATACAACCGGGTATCTCTAGATTGATAATCATCGAATCATATTCACATTGAACTGAAAGCCGAAAGGTATGTCTTTACATCACAGCTCCCCCACCCAATCTCCTCCACGCCTCTTCCCTCAGCGCCCGCGCCGTATCTCTCGTCCGTTCCATCGCCGACTGATTTTCAACGGCCCTCCGCAGCAAGAAATGCAGACACTCCTCCGTCGACCCCCACGCCAAACACTTGAACACCCCCGGCGCAGCCCCATCCGTCGATCCCCTTACCATCCCTAGACTCACTTCATCTGCCATTCCCTGCAACTGACCAACCTCCACCGGAATCAAAGGCAACCCACTCAGCGCCCGCTGCCGATACAGCGCACACGCCTTCCGCACACTTACCCCGTTATGCGACGCCACAAACAGACGCACCTTAGGGAACGGCTGTCCAGGCTCTCCTCCCAGCGGATACTGTCTCGTAATCAGACTCTCCACAATATGATCATAGTTCCTGTCCGTATCGGCCTTAGAATCATGAATCCGGTCCCGATGATCATGCGCAATATACGCTCCCCTAACAAGCTTAACACCCATAGCCCAGCCCTCTTCCTGCGCAAGCCGTAGATGCTCATTAAGCCTAGCCGTAGAAGACTTCAAATACGCCTGATAGGTATTCAAAACCACCGGCGCATCCGCCCTCTCTACCCGGTTATACTTCCTCATCAAATCGACCGCCCACGCATCAATCGCCGACTGAAAGATCTGCTGCTCGGCATCAATCCACACCCGCGATCCCTGCGCCGCAACAGCATCACAAATCTCCATCATAGCGTCCTGAATCCGCTTCGGCGGAACACGATCACCACGCGAGAGTGCCTCCACGGCGGCAGGCCCCGCTCCAGTAAACCTAACATGAAAAACACCATTAGCCCAAACGCATCCCACCTACCCAAAAGAAAAGGGAAAAACATACTTAACAGCCAAATAATCCCCCCTCCCACACATCCTCAACGTCCGTAGCGTACCAACCCTCCACTCCTCGACCGCGCGATCCAACACCTCCATCTTCTCCTCAGCAGACTGAATAGAATGCACATCCTCAACCTTCGCAATCGACTCCCTCGCATACCCCAAAATCACACCCTTGAACCCAAGCCCTTTTATCTCCTGCACCGTACTCCGGACTTCTCCTTCGTTAACCCCCGCGCAGAAATGATCGTAGATGGTCCTGCGCAGCAGATAATTCACAACGGGGTTCTTGGCCGGACTGAAGAGGAGGGAATTGGAGTCGACCAAGTACTTTAGCACGGAGAGACAGGGTTTGAGGAGTGGGGAAGCCATCACGGAGGTGAAAAGGAGGGAGCGGAGGAAGGTTCGGGTTGGGAGGGCGGATAGGGGGGCTGGGATGGGGGGTTTGGGGATGGTGTGGTGTGTAGGTGAGGTGTTGTAGGCATGGTGGTAGTTTGGTGGGTGGTTGTGGAGGAGTTGGTAGTAGAGAAGAGGGGAAGTGGTAGGCCGTTTTGGCCAGAGTAATACTTTTGATCTCATTTCAGAGGATGGACTGGATAAGTGTGTTCCTTCATTCTACGTTCAGGGTTTATGGTATCCCCCTGTCTACTTATTTACCCCTTGTTAGATGTCCGTCAGATAGTAGTAGTGAGGGGTAGGGATGCCAGCGCAGAGTATGTGGTTGTAGATCGCGACAGGGCGGTTTTTTGACCGATTGGCTTGAGTCCACGCGAGGGGGGGGAATTGTGTCTGCATGGTTTTAGTGACGTTGTAAGTTGGTGGTGGTTGTGATGGATGATGGATTGCATTCGGTGGGTGTTTCCGGTGGTATTCGGTTAAGGTTACCGCTGCAGGGTGATGGAACTGGTATATGGAAGGAGGGCATTTAGTATGAACCAATGGGTGCTGTGCGTTCTTATCGAAGACAAACAGTGTATCAGTTGACGGGTTCTATCGGTGTTCTATCTATATATCATTGTCTATCTTTCGATCTAATCTTTTCGGAATCATACCCCGAAAATAGTACATCTATCGATCCCCCTTCAGATGTCTCGTGCCGTTAATCACCGCATCTGCAAATGTTGCTCTGGCCCCAGCTCTTTCCACCGTCATCACTCCCTGGATGGTACAACCCCTCGGGGAGGAAATATTCTCCCTCAAAACTGCAGGGTGCGACCCCTCTTTCAACAACGCCGCCATCCCGGACAACGTCTGAGCAGCCATCTCCAGGGCCTCCGCCCTCCTCAACCCTTCCACCACACACCCATCCAACAATCCCTCCAAAGGCACCGTCAGAACCCCTATCCCCGCGCCTACTAACATTGTTCCAACATCAAATAAGTCCGCACTAAGAAACTTAACCTTCCCAATCACCTCAAACACCCACGTCACTATCTCCACCAACTCCTCCTCTAGCGGCTTCCTCTCTGGAAGCTCAACAATAGTCATAGACTGTCGCAACCGCGCAGCGACATTCGGCATTGCCCGAACGATTTTGACGCTTTCGCGGTCACCATCGCTCAGACAGTCAAGTATGTCAGTGGGCGTCATCCCCGCCATGATACTAATCACTAGCTTTCCGGACAACGCTTCCCCGACACCCGGGGCGGAGAGAATACCTTTCGCTAGAAAGGGCTTGCAGGCTAGTAGAATGATGTCTGCTTCGCGCATCGCGCGGAGGTTGGAGTCGTGTGCGATGGTCACGCGGGACGCATCCTCTGCATATTGGGTGCGGAGACGTTCCGCGGATGCGGCGGTCTTGGTGCTTATGATGAAGTGGTTGATTTTTCCCGCTTGGTTACGCGTTGCGTCAAGTAGACCGCTTAGAATGGCGGAGCCCATGTTGCCTTTATCCTCCGTTAGTAGGTTGTAAATATTTGGGGATGTTGATGGTTGTTGAATTGTAGTGTTGGTGCTGGTGGTGGAAACATACCACATCCGATAAATGCGAGGGTTTTCTCTCTCCCCTCGGGGGAAAGCGATTGTACAGCCATCTTTAGTTTCAGTATGGGGTTTTTGTGGTTGTAAGTGTAACTCTCAATTCTTGTGTGATTGATGTATGTTCGATTATGGAATGTGAAAATTGAGATTGGTGGATGAGTCAATCAATCAGCGGAGCGTATCTCCGCCGGTGGAAGAAAAGGCACGGCGCGATATGCCGGGCTCGGGGGTTGAACCCGAATGATAGATAGCTATCATGGTTCACTGCGGGGATGGTGGGTCGGTGACTGACAACGCATTGGATTGAGTTCGAACCCTCACGTCTGGTGTCAGATTCATATGCTGATTAGGTCACGCTGTGTTACAACATTATATATGGGGTCTGTGGAGGATGCAGGCAGGAGTGCGAGGCCAACTGGAGTGAGTGGAAGGGTGTGAGAGCTGAAGATAGATTCATGCTGAGGGATCGGGATAATGAGCTGGAAAAAGACGGAATCTCGAAGTTCCTTCCCTAAGGGACAGAATACAGGAAGGAGCACACTGTTCTGCTGCCTCCCTCCTTGATGATCGTCATGACTGATTCTCTCGCGCGCTTCTTGTCTCCTGGCTTGGGAGAGTGAGACAACTAGTTGTGTGTAAGGCGGGAGCGGAACAAAAAAAGACAAAAAAAAGAGGAAGGTACAAGGCCCGAGCCGCGGATCGAACGCGGGACCTCTCGCAGATATGCTTGGGTTTGGATCCCTAAGCGAGAATCATACCACTAGACCACCCGGGCTTGTTATGATAAATGCCTCTAATTTTGGCTTTATCAACAGCCAGTAAAATAACTCCCAAGTAGATCGCGAACGACTTAACACTATGTTTGGCGGAGTACCATAGATCCTGGTTTAGTTTTCGGTTCGAGATGAGGTTACTATTTCATAAATCCTATTCCGGCTTCATTACTTCTTTTAGTTGTGTCTAGTGTGGTTCTCACTGGTGCAATACGTTTCCACGGATAGAGTGGTGTAACTAATATATATTTACCCACGGGTTGGGCGTTTTAGTGGGAAGCGGTAATCACTATCGTCACCATCTTCACTTAACATGTGTAAATAGTGCCAATAAAATCAAAAGACGGCGATAATATCTCGCACAAGACAGACATGAGCACTCAAATGAAGCTCATTACCCTGCCTGACAGTACACATAGCCATCCCCCTATATCGTGCTGGGTGAAGGACACCCGGAGTTACGGCAGGGGAATAAATAGCATTATTGGGAGATATGCACGTACCTTACTCATCGAGGCAATACTGAAAGAAACAGTGACAAAGAACATGTAAATTAGATATTCATTCGTTGGCAACCTTATTGCCAACGCTATCTAGTCATAAATCTATCGAAGGCGACCGAGGAATTTAAGATAACTACGCCAATAGCATAGTTATTGCACCAAACAGAAACAGTGCGTCCCAACCAACAGATATCCGACTGAACGGCGACCATAAGAAAGCGTTGCTTGAAATGCCGCCACCGATAACGAGGGCGCACGGCGTGAGGGTTATTCAAGTCGGACTTGCCATAGTAACAACCGCATGGTGTATTAGAAAAGCCCACTGGCCGACGGAAAAACAGATCAACGTCGCCTGGGCGGAGCGGCATCGATGCCGATGAGGGTGTGAGGTATGGGCATTACCCACATAGAAATATTATTTTCGAAAGACAGCTCAAGAGATTTTCGGGCGCTTCGCATCAGGGAACCCAGCAGAACCCCGCATACGCTTCCGCTCCATAGCCTCCATCTCCTGCTTCATGATGCGCTCCTGCTCCGTCATCTTCTTGGGTTGTTCCATAACTGGCCCTTTCTTTCCTGCAAGAGGGTTCTTCTTTACAGCCGCAGCAAAGACATTCTTTGGCTTGTTTCCACCACCACCGAAGGACAAAGATACTTTCGGCGCAGCCTGCGGCGCAGGCGGGGCGGAGGTGGGAGTGGCAGCGGCAGCAGGCGCAGGCGAAGCATCGGCAGTTTCTGGAGTGGCCGACGCACCGTTATCCTTCTCCTCAGACGATGCGGGCTTCGGTGACTCGCTCTTCGAGTCGCCGTTTGTCTTCGAACCGAATCCAATATTCAGCTTGACCTTCTCACCCTCCTTGCGTTGCAGCTTGCGAGCTTCAGGGTCGATATCTTCCTCCTCCTTCGCAGACTGCTGAGCGCGCTTAATCTGCTCCCGAATCTGTCGCTGCTCCTGCTCCTCATCACCTCGATCCTGACGTTCCTTCTTTAGCAAAGCCTCCTGTCGTCTCATGGCCTCCGGACTCCGATCGATATAAGACACGAACAGTCCCTTCTCCGTCTCCTCAACACGGCAAATTCCCTCGCGACCCAAGTATGCAGCAAACTGTGAAAGACTCTTCCACTTCGTAGCGTTCATATGGATGTGCTATTTTCATGTTAGCAACGGACTCACTCAGCATGGATTACGGACCACTAACCTCCTTATCGGCAATGACTTGCTGGTAAAACTGGTTGATGTGGACCTTCTTCTCGCCATGACCGGTCTTGAGTAAATTGAGAAAGTTGTCGAGGAATTGCTTGCTGTAGTCTTCGATGTATTTCTTAGGGTCTTCGCCGATAAGCAGTACCTGGCGCACATGGCTTTCACTCTGGACATGGCTTGGAGACGTCAGTATCATAGGCGTTAGATATTCCACTACTCCGAGAACTCACCAGCGAAACCCGTTCTCATCGCGACATTGGCGCGAACAAGCCTGACAGTACCATCGAAGTCTGCCTAAGCCTTTCTGTTGAACGTTAGTATGTTGTTTTAAGTGCGGACAGGAGGGCAACGTACAGCCTTGATCTTGTTGCTGATCGCCTTTGTGGAACCAGCTTCTGCGCGTGGCATGGTGGGCAGAGACAATCAAATCTAATTATCTCCCAAAGAACCGAAGAACAAGGATAGAAGAGAACGCTGAGACAAGGAACTTAGATGTCGAGCGGAGCGCTTTGCAATCAAGACGCGGAGCGGGTGGCGGAATCGCTGAGATGACTAAGGTATCACGTGAAAGACCAGTCTTCCCATTTGGGCTAGATAAGCCGATAAGACAAGTGCCGAGCTTCATAAGGGGTTGAACCCAGCTCCTCGAGCTCTTGAACCCTTTCAACCTTGAGGGTCAAACTGAGGGTCAAACGAGCTTTGTGAGAGGTCACGGCAGCTCTTTTTTAAGGTGACGTGGAACGTTCACCCTGCACGTGATGCCAAGTCCATTACTAAGCAGTTTTTGTTCCACGCGACTATATGAATTACTGTTTTTTTTGGAAACTCATCGTTCTTATATATTTCTACTTACAAGGATGGATTGTTCTGATGTGATTAAACTTACTTTCTTTGATGACTTCCCCATTAGCATTCTAAGTAGTTAGAAAGTGCTTGGCAAGTAATTGGAAAGTACTTATATACTTTATCATATTCCGGCAACTTCAGGCGCCCGGCCTCAACTTCACGCAGATACCACTGGTACCAGGACTATTTCATTAAAATTTCATTAGTCTTTTATTAAAATCTCACTTTAGAATTACTTTGGAATCATAAAAAGCAATATAAGCAGTAGATAAGCACTGAATAAGTGATAATACTCATATTCTCGAGTACTTGCGCATGGTTGATGATAGAGGGGAGAGGGAAGAAGGTGATTAGTAGTGGTAGCAGTGTGTAAGAGAGATGAAAGAGGTGACGTGGAATGAAAGTTTTAATTTGTGCTGTAAGAGTGTGGTTGCAGGTCAGCTATGTCGGTTTTTAGCGTCGCGTGGAATGAAAACCAATCACGTGCAGAGTGAATGTTCCACGTCACCCTAAAAAAGAGCTGCCGTGACCTCTAGTTACTAAGTTTCTCTTGTATTTTCAAAAACCATGCCACTTGATCTCTAACATAGAGGAATAAATTTTTTAAAAGACAACAGTAGATATTCTTACAAGTTGGAATAGAATCTTAGTGAATATATAAATACTTATTACTACCAGCGCTCCCTCGTTTAAAGATTGTACATTCAGTAAATGAACTTGTAACTGAACTGAATAGATGAGGTGACCCGAAAGATGATGTTCTGTAAGGAAAGTAAAATAACCACAGCTCACCAGGCCCACGCTGATTTCTCGCCAGACCAGGCTAACGTCTTTGGGACTATAATGAAACTATAGCTGACCTGACCAGGTCAGGTCAGACCTCACGTGACCACCCAAGTGGGTTAGCGCAGGTCTGGTGAGGAATTAGCGTGGGCCTGGTGAGCTGCGTCCTCGAAAGGGGTCAACCGAGCTAAATCCACTGTATATCTGACCTGCAATCGTGGTGCGATGTGGCTGATAAGCCACCATAGAGTCAACGGAGTTAAGATACTGTCTAGCCGACCTACAACTACACTTTGAGCTCGGATAAATCCGAACTTCGGGGGGCAACAATAACACATCAATTTGTTCCACGCATGTATTGCCGGAATAAGCAAAGAAAGTCTGTTCAAACATGTATGAGGTTCCTGATTGAAAATCAATGTCCTAAAATTTCAGTTCGTTGTCTATGCAATAAGCTGTCGAAAGCTTCATGCCCATAGTCCCAGCTCCCAGGTAGCGAAGGCTACGATCGCTCAAGCTCTAGTATAATCTCGTTCATCCGAGAGTGAAACCCGCTCAGACTTGCCAGTCTTTCGAGGCCCGGTACCTTCTCCGAATGGCACGTATTCATCGACCAAATAATACAATTCAACATAGGCCCTGGCTTCGGAGTCAGCCTCGCACGTGCAGAGAGCTTGGGAGGGCAACTCACTTCTGATGAACAGCAGTCCCTTCACTTCTATGACTGACAGAGTAGATAGTATTATAGTATACCGAGTACATGCCGGTCCTGTCATCTCATTCCTGTTGTGGTTCACTGGGCGCGAAGTGATGCAAGTAAGTGCGTATATACACTTGGTCATGGATCTTGTTATTGCTGCATCGCCAATTTGCTGTCTCCATCTCGTTATGCGCATAGAATGCGGCAGAGTCAAAGATATAGATGCTTCCTATCAGAGAATGTCCCCGTGTTTCCCACCCATAGATCGGCATGGATCAAGCATGGCTTGACATTTCGTCCTCCTGACGTGAGTACTCCCATCAATTGGAGAACAACATAGTCCAGGCCCTTTGAGAGTATGTTGAGATTCTCCTAAATCCCATTAACTGCGACATCTCGATTAAAGGCATGCCTAAGTAACCTGCAATAGAATGTAGTCCAGCTACTCTCCCATGAGACATCCTGCAGAGTATTTCCCTGGGAGATCGTGATGCGAAAGCCGAACATTTCCGTTGGGGATGCACTTTCGTGGCATAACCGGGCAAGCTTCGTGCATAGTTGATGTGGTTCTGGTGTCCTGTCGTCAGTACGTATGAATCTAGAAAGGAAGAAATATGTCTTTGGTTCTGACCGATCGGGCTCTCCCCAAGAATAGGGCTTTGATGCGGAGTCTGGCATCTTTCTGTAGAGCTCACACTGTGCATCGAATTCCCCGACTAGGGTGGTATTTTACCGCGCTTGGAACCCTAAGCACGATATGTAGTGCTGCGGCTGTCTGGTGCATACGAAGGTACGGCATGTGGTGGAGATTGCAGCGAAGTATGATCACATAGAACTGAATTGAATCCCATCGAATATTCCTAGATGAGTACATCAAAGTACATCTCAGTAAATACCTATTCACATACCAACCAATCCCCAAACCGCCTACGCCAGCCCCACCCCCACCGCAAAACAAGCCCACGCTGCAAAATCCACCGTCCAAGTCCTCACCCGATGGATGGTCAACCAACCCTCCAAATCCTCCGTCGAGGAACCCTTCGACTCATCCTCCATGATGGCCAGCACCTTGGGTGCAATAACAGGCACATAAAGCAAATGACTAGCGGCGAGTGCTGTGCCGGCTACATACCACGACAAGGATGATCGGAGGCCCGCGACTACCCCTGATCGACGGTCCTTTAAAATGTTGTATCCGCCTCCCGCCATGGAGAGGGCCAGGAGGCCTAGGACGCGGACGACGCCGCGGCGGAAGAATACGCGGAAATAGGATGGTAAGATCTCGTTACTGCGGGGACGGTGGTCCGGATGCAGGAAGACGTTCAGGACGAGGTCTTGGTCGAATGCGAACCAGAGGGTGCAGGTGGATGAGATGAGGGGGGCGGCGCGGAGGAGGTTTTGGGGGTTGAGGATGAGTCCGGAGGCCATTTTGATTTGATTGTATTACTTTAAAGATGGAGGGGGGGAGGTGTATGCAGAAAAAAGAGGAGTTAGACGAAGTATGGGTGATTGAAGAGAAGAGAAGAGTAAGATGCAGCCGGATGTCGGGAGGCTGTTTCCCGGGTGAGACGAGCTACTGTTTAGTGTGTTACAGCGGGCATAGCGGCCATAGTGCGTGAGGCTGGTAGTAGCTTGGTTACATGGCATAGCCACACACCCCGCACTAAAATCTCACGGCCTTGATAAAGGTTGCCTTGGATCAGTCATCCGACGCATTCGCCTTTGTACGACAGTTTGGGGAGGGGAGGCTCCCAGAGGACCAAGAGCTGTCTGTGGGGTTAATAAGATTTGATGGTGCCTGATTAAAAAGTCCCTATTCCGTTGGAATGTGGTCATGCGTTGAAAGTGCCCCGAATCTGAGCCTACGCAGCATGATGTAGGTATCTAATCAGGCACCTCACTTAGATGAGGGTGCCTAACTCAGTCATGAGTTCAAGTGGTCAGTCATCTAAGGACAAACGCTGCATCCATTGTTTCTATGCTTTATGACTTGAGACAGTCCACTGATATGAGCCCCACTTCGCTCTAATCAAACTGTATTAGGGCCCAAAGGCTGTATTGCGATTCGACAAATCCAAGAGCTTTCTCTTGTTCAAAAATTATTATGATAGCTGTAATATTCCAAAGTCATATTGAATATCTGTAAATCCCGATGGATAGATATCGTAGGTAAAGCTGGAACAGCTATGTCGGTCATACAGTATACGCAACCGAACCGATGTTTACAACGAGTGTCTTCTGCGAGTCAACCCGGGCTCGAAGCTTTAGGTGGCGTCGCTTCACAGACCTGATTAACAACCAGCGTTTGGTAGACTCCGGGATGTAGCCCAGATTCGAGCAGAATCTCTGGATCGACATGGTGTAGTTGATGTTGTTGATGTCGTTGTTGCCTTCTGAGAATCGAGGCATCGGGGGTAGATCTGGCTACTCCTAGGTTCATTAGTATCGGTTGTTATAATCCGTGCGACCGCAAACCTTGGGGTAGAACCCTCCTGTAAGACCAATTTGCAACATGGTTCCAGATTTTAAGAAGGAACGAGATTCTCGTGAGGAGAAGGGTGATGAACGATAGCGACGTGTCTATCGACCAAGGCATCTTTGCTGCCCTTTGGAAGAATGTCCATCTCCATAGTGTCCTTCGACTATTATATATTCCAGGCGACAAACCAAATTTTGGATTTGAATAGGGAGGTCGGTGAAAACCAAATTGTGGCCATAGCATGAACAGCACTAGTAAACGTCCAACACAGTTGAGGAAACCAAATTCTGGAAGCTGAGGGCACTCTGCCGCACCGTATCACAGCGTCCGAAGTTGGGCTTCAGCCAATGAAGGCGTCAGTATGCGGAGGCTGTGCTCCTAGTAAACCCTGATTCGGGTGTTGCCCAACCAGAAGATGAATCCTTGGTCTCAGTTGAAATCGGTGCGCCCCGAGAAGGATATAGTACCACCTACCTGCCGTTTATAAGGATAGTCAGTGACGTCTTTCTCCCCCCCCTTCATCAAAGTCTTCCCCAGCGTGAGAAACTGATTCTCTGGATCATCTTTACTTGCACCACAATGCCGAAGAAAGCTCCTCGAATTCCGGAGGAGATATGGAATCGACACAAAGAATCAATCATTGCTTCCTATTTATCGAGAACCTTAGATCAAATGATGAAACATATGATGGAGGAATATGGCTTTGAAGCTAGGTATAAAGTTCACTTTCTTCGGGCCGAGCTTTCTTTTGAGTCTACAAGAGGTAAGCCTTCTTGACTGGGCTATAATGGACAGGAACGAGGAGATGATAAATTTATTGTTACAATATGGCGCCAACGCTGTTGCACCTCCTGGAATACACCAAACCTCCCACCAAAGCCTGCTATGGCTTGCATTACGCGAAAGATTGAGCTTTAGCGTTATTGATTTGCTTCTAGCCGAAGTCTCTGACTTTCACAAGCAGCCTGGGTGGGTTGACACGCTGGCGGTGAATCTAACGTCCACCCGGAAAGTTGACATAGCTTACTGTCGGCAAATACTTGAAAAACTAAACATGATTCTGCCATCGCTTCGCCACAGAGCAATCCAAAGGGCATGGGATCGACTGCATTGTATCCCGGGTTTGTTTTGTAGGAGGGAAAGGGAGTTGAAGGACGCCATTGAGTTTCTTTTAGAGTCAGGCGCAAATCCAGACTTCTGCGCAGAAGATGGAAGCACTATGCTTCAGCGCATAGCTCACAATGGCTACAGGGAGTCCTGTATTCTTCTTATCAATCATGGTGCCGCCGTTAACATCCACGCAACCAGATCATACGGGACACCCCTTCAAGAGGTTATCAGATGGCGCCATTTCAACTTAGCCAATTTATTAATGAACCGAGGTGCGGACGTCAATGCCTTTCCAGCACTGAAAGGAGGGGCTACTGCGATCCAGGCGGCTGCCAGAAGTGGGATGTTGAAGCTGGCTGTACTGCTTCTTGAACGTGGAGCAGATGTCACTGCACCAGCTGCACAAATATGTGGTAGAACAGCAATTGACCGCGCTGCGGAGTATGGCCATTTCGATATGGTCCAGTTGTTTTTGAATGCCTATGGGGAAGATGCAGATCTGGAGTCTATACGTCGTCAGGCAGCGGGCTTTGCAAGAAGGGGAGGCCATCATGAGCTAGCCGACTGGTTACTTGGGCGTTGGTCTAGTTGATGTCGTTGTATGTGATGCGCGTCGTTCTCATTTTGGATATGTCAAATTCAAGATTGCTTTTTACAACGTCGGCCCAGCTGATTCCTTGAATTATAATCAGAACAACTGTTAACATCCGCCTATATAGACCTGAACCTGATACAAAAAGAGCCCTGAAGCCATACAGTCCGAACCGTTGGCGAGGTTATCCACTCCACCCTATGCATAGCCTTCATTGGTACGGAAGCCTATAGCGCGCATCCGACCACAACGCAAACATGACCCTAGCATTACCCTACTTCTGTGACGTATTCATACAAGCATTAAAATATCATCATTGACCTACTTTCCTTAAACACCTAAGCATCTCTACTCATCCGTCGAAAATGCACTGGTTCGCACTGTTGAGGAGCATGGCCACCAACCCCAGCACCCCGCTTGCCATCCTATCGAAGTGATATTTTGTTCGAGAACCCTATAAACCACACACCAACTAACAATAAACAAACCTAGTATCCGAAATGGAATATACTCCGACTTCGAGATAAAATGCCACCCATCGACCTTCAAAGTCCATCGATGTATCATCTGTCCGCAGTCTCCATTCTTCGAAAAGGCCTTGTGTGGGAAATTTCAGGTGAGTCTATGGGATACATTAGAATGAATCTGACGGGTTACAGGAGGCGAAAACAAGTGTCGTTACTATCCACGATGATCCCACAATCATTAGTAAGATGATCGACTATTTCTATCGTGGAGACTATGATGAAACACCGGACAAGAAACACCCTGCCAATAACCCCGAATATGAGGCTCCGACTACAAAAGCGCATGTTAGTATCGCAATGTACAACGTCGCTGATAAATACGCCGTCGAGCCCCTAATGGCTCTGGCGAAGAAGAAGCTAGAAGATAGACTTACCCTATTCTGGAGTTACAAGGAATTTATCCGGATTATCGAGAAAGTCTACGGACCGGATAGCCCGCCAAGCTCGAAGCTGCGGGATACAGTAGCAAGTTTCGCCTTGGAGCATCTTGCTACACTGAAGGAGATTCCCGCATTCCGCGAGACACGCATGGAATACCCACTGTTTGCATACGACTTCTCCACATTAATGATAGAAAAAATGGCTAGTGTGGAGAGGAAATTACGGTATGTGATCAGATCATTCAAATCAACTAAAAGCACCAGGAGTGCATTCCATTGTGGCTTACGTTATGGAGACAGGATCATGACAACCTGGGATATAGAGATTATCCCCTCCGGCGTCATCTCACTTATTCGTGAAACCTGTGATACTTATCGCGAGAGGGTTTGTCTAGACTGCTGTCGGCTTTTTATGGATAAGGCGAGTTTGAAGCGACATGATACGATGAAGCATTTTTGGTGTTCGGATTGCAAGAGGTCGTTTGGGCCGCGAGGCGAGGCGAAGCGTCATCGGACGCAGGCTCACAATGGGTATTGAGCATGCCTTATCTTATTCATTCGTTATTTTGCAGCTTATGTTTATGAAGTGTGTTTGCAGGTCTCATTGGTATGACATTAAGACGATCCTACTCGAACCCTGGATGATAGATAGAGCATGGCCCCTCCATTCAAACAACATTCCCACGGCCTATGTACGAAAAAACGTAGTACATGATACTAATCCCAATGGTAAATTGCATAGTAAGCCCAAACCAACACCAATCAAGAACGTAAACTCAAGCCTTCAATCTACATACTCATATATCCTCAATCCCGCGATACCAATCAGGTCACGATCCAACGGAAGCAGGTATCAGTGTTCTCCTTCCCATTATTCTGGCATCAATCATAACAACGTTCAACAACTGTGAGCGAATGATCTTCGTTGCAATAGAACAAGGTCCAACGCCAATTGTTTCGATTACAGATGTCTGGTACACCACCGAATCGTCTCAGTGCGTTCATTATGGCTGCATCGTTGTCGCCTTTTTGCATATCAGTATAAGTACTTCTCGAGCAGCCTTCATGTAAGTGAGTGGACCTTAGCTCACTGAGGTTATCGAGCACCCCATCGCAGTAATCAAAGCCAGGTGTGCATTATCCAGTCACGGCGGCATTCCGACTGGGACTTACGCAGGATCTTTGTCAAAAGGATCCAACAAATAGCGCTTTTCCAAGCAAATTCATTCCAGTAGTCCTTTTGCTAGAGCTGGCTGTCATCCAGCAGATTGAAGTGCCCGACAGCAGCGGCCTGAGACTCGATCATGGCGAATGCAGATATAGATACTCGAAATTTAGAAAACTAAAGCTGATTACTGCACGTTGATCTTTGCAACATACTAATCCCCAGAACATTGCGTGATATCAATGCTCCTAACCAGCGCCTACATGATCAGCATTTTTTTGAGCTAAATTTTGTCCCTAGGTATCAAAGTTCATTACAGGACAGAAAGAATAGATCATGATGAAATAAAAGCAATAAGAACGAACTTCCCAGACCGAAATAAACAACAGCCAACCTTACTTCCGATCTCGACTCCCCTCCTCAGTAGCAGCAGCAGGGATATCCAACAATGGAATCATTCCGTCCTCCTTCTGTCCCGGTAATGTAGCCTTCCGCACACCCACCTGCTGAATCCAAGCCTTGGTTGACGCAAGAACACCGGCCTGATCCGGATGAAGCCCAGTTCCAAGAATCCTACCCGGCGAGGTACGAGCAAGATAAGTCCGCATCTGTCCCAAACCCGTACGGCGTGAAATGAGAAGACAGACCGTGAATCCCGCGAGCGCAAGAGAAAGAGCAAGAACAATAAACGCCGGAATGGCATACGGAACGTGATATTTGATATTCCTTGACCACAGTGTCACGGGCACGCTGACCCCTCCCGCATCTCGCTTCGCCATCTTTTTATTCTCAGGGGCTTGGCTTGGAGCATTATGCCAGCCACGCGTCCCGACAATGGTATTGGCGCTCATGTCGGTCCATATAAGCCCGAGCATTTTCTCGACGCCGCTGGCGGAGGAAGATAGTTCATACCAGCGGTTGTATAGAGCTAGGTCACCGGATCCTGTGTATCGAGAGGTCGCATCGTCGAGAGTCGTGATGTCAAATAGGGAGAGGAGTCTCTGTGTGTAGAATAGGTTTCCGGGCATGCTTGGCTCGCCGACTAAGGTGTCAGATGTGAGGAGGTCCGTGTAGCCGGGCAGCCAGAGGTAGTCTCTTTGCACGGTGGAGATGTCGTCGCGAGCGCCGACTTCGGGTGAGACGAGGCCCCATAGAGGGCGCACATTTAGCATGGTGTGGTTCGTCAGTCGCTCGACGCCCCAGAGGGGGAGCTCGGAGGGGTCTTTGTATTTCTTTTCGTTGATGCTTTGGATGACTAGTTTGTCTAGGCCTCCGGTACCGTTGAATCGAAAAGTGACCTCGCGAACAGCCGCCTTGGTCGCCGCTGCACAGGAATAGAGCGGGGTGCTCCAGGTGCTGTTTGTGTCTGGGATGAGCGGGTCACCGTCGAGTCTCCGAGGAGCGGCGAAAATAGTACCGCAGGCTATGCCGACGAATGACATGTTTGATAGAGCCGTATCGGAAGGGTAATGACAGGCTTCACTGCCGATGGCGTAGACATCATAGGTGCTGAGGTTTAGCGGATTTTTGGACTGTTCAGTCGAATAGTTGGTTCCCAAGTTAAAACCGTCCTGCAGGTCAAGGAAACTACCGTAACCAGAGTCTGTTTGGACAGTCATCGGCTCGACGAAATTAGTCGAAATGTTTGCCAGACTAAATCTCTTTCCAAGCTCTGAGTGCATATACTCAAATGGTACGCGTCCGTCTGATCCGTTGGTCGTCACGTTGAAGTACTGCATTATGAGCATATTGTGTCTCCATGCGGCATTGTAGGCACGTTCGTACAGTGCAGCATTCTCCTGGAAATTGGAGGCATTGATATCGTATCTTTCATGTGATAAATTAACGAAGCCACCGCGGTCAACTAGTGCTAGATTCCGAAGATCGGTGTTATACATGTTGTCGGTACTGAAGCTGCTAAATTGTGCCTGGGGATCGTAGTTGTAATCAACTGTCAAATTAGTGTCGACACAGCGGCTTTCGGGTTCGATGAACAGGATATCCTCTGTCCACTCAGCACCCATGGGCAGGTTTGCAGGAATAGTATGATTGCGGAAACCGATCCGTCCAGCCTTGCTATCCACGATTAAACCCTCAACAGCCAACAAGTCCTCATCCAAGATCAGCTGGGAAATTTGTCGATAATATCCCTGAGAGAAGACACTGCCTGTAGGGCTAGCGCCTGGTACTATTTGCGTCGATGAGCGAAACGACCGCCACTGGACATCGAACACGCTGGAGACTGTCGCTGACACGTTTCCGCTCGTAAACAGACTGATACTGCTAGGCCAAACGGAATAGGCTTCAGTGATGTCGTCCATGTCCTCCCGATTTGGTGGTGCGCCGGGACAGCCCTCTGGGGTGTCGGGATCCTCATCTGCATAACACATCCGAAGTGATTTATATCCATCCCTACTAGGGGTTGCCTTTCCAAAGGCTGATGTATCAGGTGCGTAGTGGAAGAGAACGTCTGTGGGGTTGTCTTGGGGACCGATTGTGTCGTAGAGACCAAGAGGAGTGACGATTCCGGTAATTGATACAAGTACAGCTGCGATCAACTGAAGCCAGGAATAGGTCAGAATCCTCTTGCTGACGCCTGTGCTGGCGGCGGTATCTGAGTCTAGTATTGTGGGCCAATATGATGAGTGAAGCAGCCGGCTAACGACTGACCTATAGCATTATCAGTGATATTTGATTTACGAGACAGGCCGTGAGGGAAACAATACCAAGAGACGATCGAATTTTCAGCGGGCAGATGGCCAATAACCAAGAGACAAATGATCGTTGGAATAAAGAGACGGACTTGAAGCAGTTAGCTTATGTTTAATCTTCAGGGCTGAGTCACCTACCCAGAAACACGCCAGCGGCAATGATACCAGAAACATATCCCACTGTGAGTTCCGCCATATTATAGGGGATTGTTTGTTAGTACTCCCCGTTTGTGCTGACCAAAACTGCAGCAGTTAGAGATAATCTGACAAAAACTCTATAAACTCCCGTGATGGGAGTAGAATCCCCTATCCCTCGATATAAGGCTAAATTTTCAGCTCAGGGTCTATATATCTGTCATGCCAAGACGAAGCCATACTCAATCTCCTCTGATCGGCACGAATACGAGACCGCTGAGCCGTGTGTGGGAATGCTTCCGCACCAATAGAAATAGAAAACGATTGTCAACTTGAAGGCAGACAGGCTAAAGTGATGATCGTGCGACCAAGCGAGAGCATGAAGTGCCGGAAATGCCAATTTGCAAGTCTCGGCAATCCCTTTGACCCCTCCATACGAGCCACATCACGAACATTGCTCGACTTTATCTCCGTAAATAGGCAGACATGTGTTGATCCTCATTCAAGTGAGGTCGGATTGAGAAATTTCACTATATATCACGAGGACATCCACATATGCGGCTCTGCAATGAGATGCCACCCCCATCCTTGAAATGAAAGTACGGAAGGGAGTGCTCCAGCACTAGGGCCGGCTTTTGCGTCTCTTGAAGGGTACCCAGGTAGCTTGGAGCAGATATACCGCTTCATGCTGTCGACGAAGAACGACATCCTGTGGCTTACGTACTGGCTCGCATGCATCAATCCATAATATGTGAAGGCTAGCCTGCTAGTGAGGCTTGTCATGATGCTCACGCTTCTGCTCCTCACAGTCGTCAGGCAGTGATCAGTGTAGCTCTTTGTATATGCATTATCTGTACTGTAGTTAGCTTATTGCAAAAGGGACAACACTCTCCTAATTGAAACTTCACCTTTCTGAAGACTCCAGAGACCATCAATTGCCGCCTTTATTTGACCCAGTTCATCACGCAGATTTTTGACTAGGAGGCAAAACCGTTAGCAAGTCGCATGTAACCTTAATGAAGTGTCCCACTTACTCAGATCTGTCACATGCACAAAATCCTTCTGCTGCGGCACCTCTTCCGGAGGAATCTGCAAAATCAAAGCCTTTGCATAGCTGCAAGCAGCAGCAATAGCTCGCGGCCTCCACGCATCATACCTATGCGAATCCGCATAGCCCGCAATGCCCTTAACAACCAAACAAGGCAAAATATTCATAACCCCAGCTGATCCACACTCAAAACACAATATCGATCTCCCATATTCCCCATTTACTCTATCCCGGAGTTCAGCATTAATGATCAAACTATCCCCCGAAGCAATCGTACCCAAATGCACAACTGGCAAATCACTAGTCCTCAGCCTCCTAAAAATCTCGCCCACAGGATTACAGGCTTCACAGCCAGTATATCCCGGGATACTGCTATGCGAATAATCCGAGCAGAACAACCTATCCCGCAGACCGGCAGGATACGCATACTTCTCCCCCAGCGACGCCAAGATATTAGCCGTCATATTCCCTTGATCACCCACATTCTTCCTCCTCGAAAGACACCCCAAAAGCGTAACATTCGCCAACAACTTTCCCGGCGGTGCATTAATATGCTCCCGATGAATGTACTTCCCATCACCTCCAACCTTACCATAATCATATTGCACGACACCCCCATACCCACCCCCCGGAACACTAACCACCACATCTCCCAACCTGATATCCCTCCCGGACCCTGGAACACCACCCCCAATACCAACAATAAACCCATACTTCACCGACCGGAAAGTCTGACACAAGTTCTCCGCTACGATTGCGGCGGCAGTTGTCCCCATCCGTCCTGCAGGGAGACAGACCATAACGACATTATGCGCGCCTATTCTGCCTAGTAGATAAGCGTTCTTGTCTTCGAGGGGTTGGTGTTGCGGTAAACCGTGGATTTCGTCAAGGATTGCGATCGCGACGTCATATTCTTCGGGGAGCGCGCAGATCCAGGCGAGGGTGTAGGAGGCGTTGGGGTGGGGGGAGGACATATTGATAGCGTTCAGTAGTTTCTTTATTCAGATGGTGGTCTTGGAAAAGTGATTTCAGTCTTGAGTGGTAGAAAATTGGAAGGAGATGGACCGGTGTTGTGCTGGATTTGTTGGGTAGCTTGTCATCAGGCTACGATGTTAATGCGTCTATAGGCGCTGCGAGGCTGAGGGGGGTTGTCATATTAGATGAGTGTAAGGTGGTGTCGCGGTAGGAATAGCTGATTAGCAGGATTCGGTATTAGCTGGGCGCGTATTCTCAGGCTATCGTTTCTCATGTGTCGTGTTTCATAAGGTGGGTGCCTGAAAATGGCTGGCGCTAAGGAGATGTCTTGGGTGCGGTTATTGTAGAAGCTTCGCAAAGAGAAGGACGTCGTAGTCTGAATATTCACCATATGAACAGTAATAATAGTTCGCGAAATGTATTCTAAAATTAGAATTCAAGTTGCGTTTTCGTTCTCGGTGATGGTTAAATAAGTGAGTATTGCTCTCGTACTGCATGGTTAGCGCCGAAACTGATCATTGCTGCAGGGGAAGTCATTTCCGTTTCTCAGCCTTGTCTCTTATGAAGGTGATTGAGTCGGGCACGGCGGGTCGGAAGAATGACTCGAACTTAGAAATGTTTTTTATTTTATTCTTTTTTAAATAAAGTGAACTAGCGTGCTGTCGGACACAGGTGTTATTGCTTAGTGTAGTATCATTATTAACCCCAGTACAATCAAATAATTTTTTCTATTTGGGAAACCCCAGCTTTGAGGTCCATAGGGATTCAGTCGTAGGCACTGACCTGAAGAGCCAAGTTTTGTATAATCCACTGCAATTAGCATGAAAAAGAAATTCGTGATTCCCGAAATATCTATGCATCGAGCATCCTACAAAGCTGGCGCCCCATCAAGCTTGAAATAACCCGGTTGCAGATTCTGGAACACCTGCAAAGGGTCGTACTTCTTGGAGACCGCCTGCAAGCGAGCCTGGTTTGCCGTGCCGTAAGAGGGCACAACGGACTGGTACTGACTCGCGTAGTTCATGTACAGATAGCGACTTCCCAGACCGCGAGCCTTCGCTGCTGAAAGCGCTTTTTGAGTGACTCTGCCCAGAACAGCCATAACTGCGGCGTCATCAGCCTCATCGTCCCACATGAAAGCAAGGTTGATCAGCAGCAAGGGTCCGTCCTTCGGATCGAGTCCTAGCGCGTTACCTCCATTCTTGGCCATGTGCTCCATGGTGTTAGTGCTGATAACTTGCCAAACGAGAGCGGGGACAAGGCCGGTCACGTTCTGAATAGGAACGAGTTCCTGCTTGAACATGTTGGTGATGTTGGTCGCCAGCTCATAGTCAAGCTGGACGGTGCCCGTCCAATAGCTCTCGCGCAGTCCGTTAGGATTGGATTCCTTGAACAGAAGGGTAATATTGGATAGACTACGGATGGCCATGGTATCCTCGAGAACTCCCGAGCTGCTGAAGTTCTCAAAAATAGGAGGATTGACCACCGGCTTTGCGTACTCCAAGTCTGCGACCAGTAGGTAGAGACCCTCAGCGTAGGCCACCGACACAATTAGTGCCCCGTTGGGGTCCGACGGCGAATTGATTCCAAAGTCAACTAGCGCATGGAGGATGTCGGATTGATAATCTTCTAGCCAAATGCGTGAACCTCCCCACATGAGGCCCTGAGTGTGCGTTGTCAGGTCGAAGCGGGTAACAATGCCAAAGTTATTGCCACCACCACGCAGGGCCCAGTAAAGATCGGGATGAGTGTCAAGGTTAACATCGACAATGCTACCGTCGGCCAGAACAACCTAGACCAATCTTGTCAGATACAGAAGCAGTATTGATAAGCAATATAGATCGATATACCTCATAATTGGCAACATTGTCACAGGCCCAGCCGTGAAAACCGGAGAAGAAGGAGATACCTCCTGGATACCTTGTTAGCTTACATTCTCCTTGCCTCTGGTTGATCTGTCACATACCTCCCAGCGTCAGGCCGCCCACGCCAATGTCGGACACACGACCACCAATGACCGATAAGCCCATGGGATCTAGCCAATCATAGACATCCAACCAGCGGTTACCCGCACCGACAGACGCAATAGTGGAATTCCTGGACAAGGCCGTGGAGTTCAGCCCGACCAGATCGATCGTCAAGCCATCCTGGATATTGGAGGCGCCGGCAAAAGCGGCATGACCGCCACTCTTGACAGCAAACGGACACAGCGTCAGCTCTGACAGCAGCAGGCTGACAGCGACTTCCACTGCACTGGCTGGCTGGAATACGCAGGCTGGATCGACATCCTCCTGTTGCTGCGACCAGAAGCTGGCATCCCAAGTCGAGTAAGCCGTAGTCGAGCGTTGCAACACGTGGCCAGGATAGAGCCGGGGAAGTGCGGAACACTGGTCGAATTAGTGAAAATGTCAATTTGGTGCTTATGCGTTAGCCCAACGACTAGACAGGGTTCGGGTGCCATCGTCCGGTTTTAGCACGTAGGAAGACGGGAAGTAACTCACCAGCTCGGAGCAAAATCCCAACGACCGCGTGCTCAATGACGAGTCCAGCAGCACGCTGGAGTTGAAAAACTCATAGGCATCAACTCCATAGGATGCCAATTTAGCAACAATGCGACTGGTTGTGTTGTCCAGCGCTGTCACTCTCGCCAGAAGCGTAGCGATGAACAGCGTGCCGGGCCGCATGGTGCTTGGCAGGAACAGGATGAAGATAAGGGTTGAAGCAGGAGTCGTAGAGGTTTCAGGAGGCATTGACTTACTGCAGGGGGCTCATTCCTTTATAGGCCACCCTGGTGGCTTTACCCAAAACAAGGCGCTATACCGCCGGTTCTTCCTTAGCGGCCGTCCGGCTCGCTTGATGACGGATGACATCCAGATTAGCCGTATCCGTGAAAATTAACACTTGCTAATGCATCCTGTTGCCCGCCGCAGGATGCTTACCACCCGGGCTGTCGGCAGAATATGAAAAGGATGTCTGCCGTTAAACGACTTAGACATCGCTGGCGATCGCTCCACCAGTCCGGATGGAAAGAAATTATGTCTCAGCCAGCCAGGTACAGGCCACTGGCTATACCATGATCGCCTTGTCGTCGGCGGTGGTCATTGCTCGGTTTAGTCTGATCTTCTGGAAATTACGGTCGCTGCAGGTCGAGGATGGTTGCATTCTGCTGTCGTGGGCCTGCTTCCTGGCCATGAGCATTGCGTACATTATCGTCACCCCGGTTGTGTACAAAATCGATGCGTATACGGATGGCAAGATCGGTCCTTGGGCGACTATGCTATCCGACGCCCTTTTCATGATCAAGGTCTTTTTTGCGAACACCATGCTATTATGGGGGTCGCTGTGGTCCGTCAAGCTATACTTTCTGTTTCTCTATCGCCGACTTCTCCAAGACCTGCCGGGTAAGATGAAATGGTGGTATGCGGTATTGTGTTTTTGCATCGTGGTGCGTCCATAAGTCGACCTATTGCGGGAAAACGTTCAGCTGACAGCTGTGTAGACCTTTATCGGGGCAATTGTATCCAATTTTACCTCATGTCAAAGTATGCATGCATGGTTCACCGTTGGTCAGTGCTCCGTGTCCCCTGCATGTGTGGATACTGACAAGTGCGAAGGGGAGTGCAGTACACATCGAGACGCCGTGGCAGAGATTGCCAGTCTGTATTATAGTTTTGCGGTCGATGCAGTTAGCGATATAATGAGTAGGTTTCTGTTCCCGAGTACGATGAGAATTCATTACTGAAGTGAATAAGTCATGGTGCTGCCGTTGCGACTGGTAGTGTCGCTGCGTCTTCCGCTGAGCCAGAAGATCAGTGTCGCTGCCGTGTTTGCCTTGGGCACCATCTGCGTGATCATGGCAGTTGTACGAGTCATCCAAATTGGTACTCGCGCCAACAACGACAGCACCCCAAGCAGTTCTTGGCTGGCATTCTGGGGCATGATCGAGGCGGGGATAGGTATGAATTTCCCTGTTATTCTCTCTGCTATGCTAAACTTTATTGCTAGCTGTTATCGTCGGCTGTCTTCCAGCTTTCGCTATCATCTACCGCCGCACTAAGAACACTCATCGATATCGAAGCAGCTATGTCGGCATGTCCTCATCAGCTTACGTGCCACAGGGCGATGTCGCCTTGTCAGAACTTGCTACACGTGGGGTGAATACTGGCACGGGAGAGACAGGCTTGAAAGCATTCAACACTACGCCGGAACTGCCAATGGAACTATCTGGCGAGGAGTGAGGTGCTCAACATTATAGATGTTTATGTGGTTACGAGGAAAACTTATGCTTTAACATCCAATGATCAACGCTTCAACACTACATCGCATGTCTGAGCGGCTACTGATTATCAATTCTACGAAGGACCCCTGACAGCTAGTAAGCACTACTGCAACTAGAGTTGATAGCGTCAAGATCGATAAATGACACTTCCAGGCACAACACAACATAAAAAGCCATAAACCCTCTTAAAACAAAGCAGTTTACCTTTCTTATCCCCTCTTACCCCATATCTCCACACCAACCTCACTACTACCATGTCCCCAATCCCCAGCTACTCCCGCCCCGGCCGCGGCCAACACTTCCAAGAAGCCTACGGCTTCGCCGAAGCTTGCATAGCCGGAGACCGAATGGAAATAGCCGGCCAGAGTGAGCCCCCCTCCCCCCGGCCAGCCCCATTCCATTCCTCTCATCACCAACTAACTACTCCCCCCCCACCCCCCTCGGAAATCAGCCGGCATGTCCCCCACATCCACCGAAGTCCCCACGACCCTGGAAGAAGAAGTCGCCCAAGCATTCACCAACATCAACGAAGTCATCCTCTACACACTAGAAAAAGCCAAGCCCGATCTACGCGCTAGCGTGAAATCCGGCTGGGACCGCGTGGTAAAGATCCGCACGTACCATGTCCAGTTGCCCCAGACCCGAGAGAAGATTATCAACCTGATGGTGGAGCATGTTAAGAAGTGGTGTCCCGATCATCAGCCTACTTGGACTATGTTGGGGATTGAGGCGTTGCCGTTTGAAGGGCAGAATTTGGAGATTGAGGTGGATGTTTTTTTGGGGTGAAAAAAAGTTGGAGATGGGATTGATATATAGGCTGTGGAGGTATATCTTGTGAGAACTTGTGGGTTCAATATGTATAGATGCAGTAGACTGGTTTATTCCCAAGGTACTTACACGTTCCTCGATTAGTTGACCATATGCATTCTCGATCAACACCTTGATCCGTTCAGAACCTCTTCCCGAAGTATCCGTAAATTCCCGATTGGGAACGTATCGTTTGTTTTCGAACGCCATCGGCACTTTTTTGCACTTGAACCCCTCAACTTTGAGAATCCACGTATCTTTGAGACTTCGGTAGAACCTCTATGCGTCAGATCAGTGCAGGACGGTGTTGAATTGGGGTTGGGGCGGATTTTCCACATGGGGTGGACTATATTTATTGTAAAGTAACCAGTCTGTGTCTGTAAGAGATGTGCAGTAGATTGGGCCTAGGAGGGAGTTTAAGCTTGCTGGCTGTTGTTTGTGCGTCGCGTATATGAGGAGAGTAAAGGTATCTCTACACACATCATCATAACAGAGCATACGTCGTCGGCCACAAATCAGCACCAGTAGCTCTCTCTAGGCTTATGGCTCCGGCTGCCTACCAAAGCAACTACATCAACTCATTGCACGAATACTATTCAGAGTACTATCCGACCAGACTCCACCTATCCTAGCATCCGAGTCAGACTTGCTTTTTCAGTGAAAGACGCCATCACGTAGAATACAATATCCACGAGGAACAAGTTAAGAAAAATAATTAACCGTAAATTTAAAGCATCAAAAGGAACCAGAACCAGGTCCGTAAATAAAAATCCGCTTTCATATGTGAACAAACACGCGTATCAATCCCCAGGCACAGAGGCCATTCATTAAAGGTGATCACATGGTGTACTCATGGATCGCAGAAGGGCCGTTCTCGTTGTACTCCACTCGGCTCATGAAACCCTTGCTGACGCCTTGGTCGATCACGAAAACAACCTTCGATGCAACCTGTGCTCCGAGGAACACGGCTTCCTCCATGCCGTGGCCACCGCTTGGGGCACCAGGCCCTCCCGTGGTAGCAGCGCCAGGGGCATTGGTGTTGCTCTGCTCCTTCCACTCGGGGAAGTATTCCGGGGGTCTCAAAGTTTTGACTGATGTGGGGGTTTGAGAGTGTCCCGTCGAGCGGTGATGCGACATGGCGGGGTCCATAGAAGGAGTGCCGGGCATGGGGTTGTTGGCATGGGTGGCTGCGACAAGCAGAGGATTCACACCGTGACCCGCAGGGTGATTCATCGGACCGGCCTGGCCGGAAGGTGCCGGAGTGTTGGTTCCTCCGGTAGGAAGGGGGGTAGAGAAGTTGGAGGGGATTTCGGAGGTGAACATAGTGGCGGATGGGGAGAGAATGTACTTCTGGGTTATTGTGCCCAGCAGGGATTGTGTGAAGCCTATAAGCGAACGTCAATTAATATCTTCATGGTGATATGATTCGGCTACATACCCTTGATTTTGCTGCCATTGCCGACTACGATGAGCGAGTCCCAGAGTTCACTCCGCTTCGTCGCATCAGGCACTGCGAGGATAGTATGGTGGATCTGAGTTGCAATATCCTCGAGCAGGCCGCCGGTGAGACGGTCTCCAGAATTTTGCTTGGGAGTTGCGGCGAGGAAGCGCTCAACACCGACCTCGATCTCGCGAGACTGACGCATATACCGCCCGGGCCCGTTGGGCGTATCCTTCTCAGGTTCTATCCTCACGTACTCCTCAAATTGGAACGAAGCCTTTTCTTTCTTGGAGTTGGGGAGACGGAGGGGCTTGCCGGATTGATCTGTCGCGCCCTTCTTGGTCGATGCCTTCTCGGCCTTCTCTTTCTCCCGATTGGCGAGGAACTCACTCGTGTTACCACTGACAATGGCTGCGACATCCAAAACTCCCTCATCTTCGTCGGCCTCGCCGTTGCCTTCACCACCGGTCTGGGTGCCTTCACCCGGACCGCGGGGGATGTTTTCATTCGGTGCATTACCATCCTTGGTCCCGGTTGAGGCCGAAGCGGCTGGGTTAGCGCCCTGTCGCGCAGTTGCAGCGGCACCAGGAAGGGGTGTGCCCGGGGGCAAAAGCTCAGTGATATTGCTGCGCTTCAACTGTTCGCACATCTCCCTTGTAAATCCCTTCGGGCCCAAAAGCTCCACAATCCTATCCGTCATGTAGTCACCACCGCAGCCTTCCAGTGCGATACCTCTTCCATGCTCGTTGACAAGGAAGTCAGTGACGGCAGTGACATTAACCTTGTCCTTGCCAACATCAACCACCGTAGCCGTCGAAGTACCGTATCCGTAGCATACAGCGAGAGCGGAGTCCATAAGGCAGAAGGCGGGCGTCTTGAACTTTTCAAAGACAAACTGTGTGATCGTCTCCCGGTCGCGGGCGGACCATGCCGGTTCAGAGATCAGCATGATCGGGGTGTGAAATGGCGGGCTCATCGTGTTGTAAACATGCGTCAGAAGGGCAAAGAAACATGGCCAGTCGACAATGCGACCACTCTGAATTGGATAGACAGCCCCCTCATCGGAGGTTACGTCCTCCTCGTAGAAGATCTCAGTTGTCGTTCCCTGCTTCTCCTCTCCATTGGCATCTTGGCCCTCAGTCTTTTGCGCATTTTCGGGCTGTTCGGAGGGTTCATTCTCGGTCTTCACGGCTCCGTCTTGCTGTGCCGACTCCGCATCCTTCATCTCCACGTCCTCCTTGGGCGCGTCGGTGCCATTGCCATTGCTGACGGGAACTTCCTGTCGTCGCTCGCGGATCTTGTACGGTTCGTATTCACCCTTCTTTTCGGCGGGAAACATGCGCGTAGGGAAGCGAAAGCGGGCAGGGGTGAATGACTCTGGGAGACCCAGTTGCGCCAGGGTCACTTGCGAGCCTGGCGCAATTATCTGGGGAGGAGGGGGTCAGTTTGAGTCCGCCAGTAGGGGGTAGATCAATGATTAGTGCGCTAGGAGAAATCGGCACGTACCAGGATATGCTCATCTCTGAAGGGCGGCATCCTTGACAGTCGGAGGGTGAGGAGAGCTGGAACTGTCGCAGTAGCAGCCAATGCTCCGCGGTGTTTGCACCAGCGATCTTTGCGCGCTCGAGGTTGGGCGGATGGCCTAATCGGGCTTAGTGCGCCGCGGTCGCGGCCCGTGCTTTGACCGCGGTCTGAAATCTACTGCACATTTCATTTCTCCATGATATAATGATCAGGCTTGATGTTGAGTGGTACTTGATTACATCCAACATGATATAGCGAAACTGTCATGGCCATATCTTAATGGTTTAGCTTTGTAATGCTTCCAGGCCCCAGGGCCCTCCCCTTTGCGTCGAGGTAACCTTAACTTCCCCATGCACATTTCACACCTGCAAAAAAATTTCCATCTTTGTCGACGTTTGCTATCTTTGGGAAATTGAAATATATATTTGATTTTCTTGAGATATTTCGAACTCTTCCAGCCTTTCACTTCGCTTGAAATGCATTCTGAGGCATAGCAATGTGCATTGTCGAACAGTGCTGCGGGGCTCAGCGATGAGCAAGCATACTGCCATTTCACAGGGGTGGAGGGTGTGATGAATTGGCCGGCAGGCGACGAGTAGCAATAGGTCGAACTTGAACCCCAGACTGAGCCTGATCTTGGCCATAAAACGTATCTTTATGTCTGTGAAACTAGAATCGAGACGATTGTAGAAGCTCCAACCACTCCACCCACTCCTTGTTTTAGTGACAGGGGAAGGCCACGCAGATCAGAGCGTCAATACAACTGGCAGAGAAAAGGCAGCAAGTGGATGGAGGGGGATACTCCATGCAGGGGTATTAGGTGTGTACAGTTCACCTCCTTTGTCCACTAACCACCCCATCCATGCATTCTGTATCCTCACTGCCGGTCGCTTGCCTTCTATTGATGCTGGCATTGGTTTGTTCAAAGCAGTCGAGCCTGAGCTCATCAAATTCATTTCGTGTTATGCTGGTGTTTCTTGACAACTTGATAGAAATTGTTAAAAGCACCATCTCGATAATGTATGCTATTTGGATAGATGCCCAAGAGTGACACGTCATCAGACAGCCACTCCTGGTATGAGGACGAAAATACCCTCAGAAAAAGCAATGTTTGCAGCCGGTGCCAATTGTCAGTGGGCGAAAGAAACAAGATAGTCCTATCGACCTACTTAGCGCGTGAACCCCGCGTGCGGCTGAGCCAGCACACAATTGATCGCACCCGACAGCTGGGTTTAAACACCGGGACATGCCCTCCCGGAGCAACTGGAGTCTAACCTCTGCTATGCAATGCCCACGTTATGGTCAACGTGCGGAGCATTGATGCATCGGTTGAAAGCGAAAATTTCACGCCGGTTGCATCGTTCTCGACATAAAGAGCCTGCTGCCGACAATCAGTCCACGTCACCAGACTGCAAGCGAAGTGACCCCATTGAACCCGCAAAGGAGCTCTCGCAGAAGAGAAGTACGTCTGTGTCGAGTAAGCCGTCGATCACCAACAGGAGTCAGCATGAAGGAGCTGTGCCTCGAAGCCTTCCAGAGAAGAGAAGGTCGCTATCAACCAGCGACACCCGACATGAGGTCAGCAGTGTTATAGGTGATGATAAAACCCCTGATTCCAGCTTGCCCGAGATTTGGAAGAAGCCAGACAGCGACGAGGAAGTATCCGTAAATCTCTGGAAGGAAGCGTTTGCGAGGCTCCTCCAGAAAACCCAAGATCATCTTCGCGAATTGGGTTACGAACCGAGTTCGAACACCGATCCAAGAGATCTGGATATTCTGCTTAAGGATCTCCGAAAGAAGGCAAAGGTCTGCGATGAGAAAGGCTGGAAATACAAAGGTGAATTCGTACGAGACTACGCTGTCAAATGCGCGACTTGGATCAAATGGATCGGGGATCTCGTCGTCCCGTTCGCACCCTCACAGGCTGCAGGGCCGTGGGGGTTGATCAAAGCGGCTTTGGAGGTAGGTTGTGTCCACATTACACAGCTCCTTAACATGATGTGCCTGTAATGCTTTGGCTTGAGGTTTCACACAGCGTGCCTTCAAGTAATCACGGTCCATGATATTTCGAACCAACTTCCTAACTGAAAGTGTATAGATCCCTGTAGAGTATAACAATGCGATGTTCGCCTTGCTTGGGACTGTCGAGCGGGTTCTACATGCCACATTCCGTGGCAGAGAATATCAGTCCGCCTATGCAACCGAAAACAGTGATATTGTCGACACTCTACGGGGAGACCTGATTAATGTTTACGCAGCTGTCTTGGAAATATTGAGTTACAGCATTAAGATGCTAAAACAATCGACCTGGGCTAAGATATTGAACACGATGTTTGACAAAAGCTCGGGGCGATTCTCGGATCTGACTGCGAAGGAAGAAGAGCTCGCTATGACTGCTCAGGCGTGCAGTGCAGCCACAGGTATAAAGGCATCCAACGACTTGCAGGTCATCCGAAAGCGCCTACCCCGCATAGAGGCCCAGGTGATAGAATCCTTGGATGAGCTTAAAAGTGAGGAGGTTCTGAAGATCTTAGAGTGGATCTCACCAGTTAAGTATGGGGCACATCATGATACTGTGAGCGGCAATCGGACACCTGGGACGGGCGAGTGGCTCTTACAAAAGGATGAATTCCGAGAATGGGAAGAAAGCAGTTCTTCCGCCGTATTATGGTTGCGTGGCTCTCGTAAGTGTTTAAGCACTCTTTTTTCATCTGTTTGGACTTGGCGCTGACGCCGTCAAGCGGGCACGGGAAAAACCTTCCTGACTTCGAGAGTTATCGATCATGTCAAAGACACACTCGCAAGAGTGCCAAACGACGAAGGGTTTGCCTATTTTTACTGCTACCGAGAAGAGGACATCCGAACACGACCCCTTGCCGTAGCGCGGAGCTACGTGCGTCAATTATCTGCTAACGAAAGCAAGTCCAATCCAAGCGAGACCCATTCGCTGTACATACGATCCAGGCTTAAATCCAAATATCTGTATTTACGTACCCGTGCCTCTGATCTTGGCTTGAAAACCTGCGAGGAGTTATTGACCGAGTCCCTAAACCTCTACCCTCGAACTACATTGGTGTTGGACGCTTTCGACGAATGCGATCCTGCTTCGCGTGGTGAACTCCTTCAGCTTTTCAAGAAGTTGCTTTCGAGCAGTAAACGGCCAGTCAAGTTGTTCATTGCAAGCCGTCCTGACCGGGATGTTCAGCAGCAGGTTCGCTCGCATCCAAACATCGATGTTCAGGCGAACGATAACCAGCAGGATATTGAGGCCTACATTAGCCAAGAGATGCCAAGGCTGATCGAGAACAACGGTGCATTCCGTGAACTGCGGGAAACGGTTGAGTCGACCCTGTCAGAAAAAAGCCAAGGAATGTAAGCGTTGTCCTTCTCTTTTTCGGCGAAAGTTTCGAAGGTTGCTAATGATAATGTTAGGTTTCAATGGACCTACCTACAACTTAAACAGCTCGAAAGATGCGTGTCATCTGAAGCTATACTGGAGTGTCTTCAGACACTTCCCAGAACCCTCGACGATACGTATAAAAAGCTCTTGGAGGAGATAGAGGAAAGTCATCCCCACGACCGAGATCTCGCGCTACGCGCTTTCAAGTGGGTTCTGGACGCACGACAACCGCTTTCACGGGAAGCTCTACTCGATGCAATCCGCATCAATCCTGACAGTACGGATGCAAAGTTGTGTGCCTCAATCAGCGACGAGGCACTGTTGGCATTATGCCGCAATCTTTTAGTCATCGATTCCGAGCGGAACGTATGGAGAGTATCGCATTTATCGGTGGCAGAGTTCTTCGAGCTCCGTAAAAGCTGGACGACTGCAGTCACTAACCTGTTGGTGGGCAAAGCGTGCTTGCTGTTTATGTTGAGCGAAGCTTGGAATGAAACCACACACAAGTTTCCTCGCTACCAATGGGAAGAGACGCCCAAATGGTCCTGCTTTACACGAGCATTCATCTACTACCTCTCCTGTTTCTGGCCAACACATATTGCGATCTTAGACCCTACCTGCGTGTCGACAGAGGAATTTTCTCCTGTAGTTGAGCTTCTAGAGAGGTTTCTCGGTGCTCCGCAGGATAGCAGTGCGCAATACCGAATCTGGGCTCAGTGTTATGGTGCAAGTTTAAGTCCTCCTGAATACTCTATATTGGCCGTATGCCAATTTGGATTCCGCCAACTATCGGACTCATGGTGGAATAATGGCGAGCTAAATCTAGCCAGTACTAATCTCCATGGTCGAACCTACGTGCTCCTTGCTGCGGAATATGGCCATATCCAAATCCTGCGGATCCTTCTGGCAAAAGGTGGTACTGTTGGGATACAAGGCGGACCCGACGACACAAACAAATCGACGCCACTGATCAAGGCTGCCTATTATGGACATGTTGAGGTGGCCAAATTTCTGGTGAAGGACGCTAAAGCGGACGTGAATTTGGAGGTAGGCGGGGCGCATTGGGGTCTATGCGCATTTGAAGCGGCCATACGTCGAGAAGATATGGACATGCTGCAGCTATTGATCTTTGAAGGCCACGCAGAAGTGAACGTGCGCTTGAAATACGGTGGCAGTCCATTGGCTATGGCAACTCGTGATAATTGGTTGGAGGGCACAAAATTCTTGGTGGAGCAGGGCGGAGCAGATGTTGATATGGTTCTGCAATACGGACCGTACGGTAGCGCCCTGGATGCCGCTGCTAAAAATTTCGACTCTCTGAATATGTTAAAATATTTGGTGGGAGTTAAACGTGCAAACGTGAACTTGGCCCCCCAGATTGGTGAATACGGGAGTGCATTGGCGGCTGCCGTCATGGAAGGGAATCCAGAATGTGTCCAATATTTGATCGAGGTCGGAAATGCTGATGTCAACGTACCACTCTCGAGGAGAATTGGTAATGTGTTGACCATGTCAGTGATGAATTGGAGAGTTGGACTCAGGCAGGCTCATCTCGAGATTCTGTCGACAATGAAGAAGCCGTCCCCGGATATTCGTCGTTTCCAGTTCGAACGGAGAGATATTGTCCGGCTTCTGCTTGCGGCAGGAGCCTCTGTTGTGTCAGATATTGGGGATGGGGTAATCGTGGATGCATTTGAATGTTTCAATAGCGAAAGCTGGCTGGGATTAAGGCCCGGAATTATGACTGATGAAGAGTGCTCGGTGATAGATGCAAATGGAAGGGAGAGCCTTATTTGCGATGATGACGGTGCAAAGGACTATATAGATGTGAAGATAATCAGGGCAGTCGGAAAGGCCACGCTTGTTGAGCTACAAACGGCAATGTGGCAGCAATATAAGGGTGGCACCCTTGGCCTTGAAGAAGCCAGATATGTGGAACGGGTGTATCGTGAAGACAATATCCTGAAACTTTCTGAGACTGATATGGACATATTATCGACGTATTTCAAGAAAGGTGTTATAATCTGAGTCACAACTGCTCGTTAGCTTTGTTTCTTGATAAATGACTGTAAGTAGACAATGGTTACTATCATTTTGCATGCTTTCTCTAGATTGGAAAGCGTGGCCACTCTTATGAAGATCTTAGACAATCAGTGTTGCATATATCCAGAAAGATTGTGATGTACGTTTTCAGATCACCATACTTTTGTCCTTCGATAGTTCCAGTCGAGGCTATAGAAAGGCGACATCTCAATGACGCTCAGTAGGTTATCGTGCATTAAGTCCGGAAGACTTTCGCTCATGTATGAATGCAATCAGCGCAAGAATTGAGCCAACGGGGACGTATTCAGTGAGAGTAAAGCAACCACTTCAGCTCCCCCAAAACCAGCAACCCCCCAACCACACCCAAAACAATCTCAATAGCAATCGCCTGAAAAACAATCTTAAAGTATCGAACCCTCGCAGACCACTCGATCGTCCTCCACGCATCCACAATACCCAACCTCGCATCCCCACCCCCCATCTTCACCTTACCACCAAACCGCCGATCAAACGGCACAATGGGATCAAGTCCCTCAGGCAACATCGAAGCCGCCACACGAGTGAATATCGCATTAACAGGGACAGTGAGTAAGAAAAAGAACATAAACAAGAGAACAACACCAAGTCCCCCCTCTTCCTTTCCACCACTCGATCCCTTCTCACCAAGAATACCCACAATAACCCACCCAACAGCCCTAGAGACAGCCAAATTCAGCGAGGAAGTCACAGACATGACAGCACTATGCAGCACTGCAACAGGAGCAATCCGTTTCCAATGCTGGTACCCTAGCATGCGTCGATAGCCGACGAAAGGCGATTTATCTGCGATGACTACATGCACCCATGCCATTTGCCATGTAGCGAGGAACATCCTGCCCATGAAATTGGCTAGAAACGAGACGAGGGTCATGTGGAAAGGAATGGAAATGAATGCGGGTATTAAGAGGGCTAAGACCATATCTAGCGAGATGAAGGCGAGATACATGCGGAATCCGCGGAAGGTGGAGAAAATACCGCCGCCGCCGATGCTGAAGAGGTAGTTGATGGATGTGCGTAGGTCGCTGGTTATTGGTTTTCGGGTTGGGGTGGTTGTGAGTTCAGGATCATTGCGGTTGTCGGTTTGGTTGTCGAGGCGGATGTAGGGGGGTGGGCTGGAGTTAGGGTCTTCGATTGCAGCTAGGGCTCCGATGACTTGCGAGGTGTAGGCGATCTGTTCTCTTTTATGAGTATATTACTTGTTTATTTTGATAATACTATTGACTCACCCAGAAGGTTGCAAGGAAGAAAGCAAAAACAGTGAAGAAGATGAGAAAGATGCCTATCCATTCTTTCACCAGAGGATCTTGACCGGGTTGAAGCCGAGCTGATATAACTTCGGTGCCTCGGCGTATGAGAGTAGCGCTAACAGATGACATGTTTACTCATTAAAAAAATATATATATATATATATAAATATTGCAAAAGTCAGCGCGGACGAGGGACATACGAATCTAATATAAATCGCCACTCTAAGTACAGGCTAAAATGTCTCAGATGCAAACCATGAAAAGTGCAGGGATCTCACATAATTCTTCGCCGCCAAGGCCGTAGTGCGGGGCGTTTATGATAAGCGAGCATTTTGTCTCACTCATCGTGCTCTCAAATTCTTGTTCAGAAGAAGCAATCAGCAAGGCCAGAGGTTATAGGGCACAGATTACCAAATGGGAAGAGGACAAGATATTGCAGATGCCACAAAGTGGCTACCGTAGTATGAAGATCGATGTCAGTGCGCTGGGATCCACTTTTCCACCCGATGAAGCATCTTGCTTGGCCAATGCCGTAACAGAGCACAAGAGGTGGATTGATTCTACTTCAGTACATTTTGATTTTTAAAAGAATACTTTCTCATTATTATAGCAAGTCAATAATACAGGTTTATCTCAAAAACCCCTTCCTCGCCAGCACAAACCACACAGCGACACTATACACACGTTTCCCTCAAGATGAATCACAATCAAGGATAAACCGTCTTATACCCATCATCGCTGCCATCATCGGTCTCATACCAAGTGATGGTATCAAAGTACAGGGTTCTAGTCACATCAGTGTAGGCGTCGGTATCTAGATAATCCAGTTAGCAAGAGTAACAAAAAAACCCCTAATCAACTGATCAATCAACTCACCAAAACAATACTCCCCATTCTTAAAGTACCACCCGGTAGTCAACGCATCATCATCGTCCGAAGTCCCAAAACCCACATCAATATCCGACACACTGTAAACCTGCTCCCCATCCCACCAAACCTCATAAGAGCCATCACTCTCCTCCGACACGCGCATATGCACCACGACACTATGCCACGCATCTCTCTCAATATCATCCACAATAGTCGCCGTTGTGCCCGTATAACAAGCCGCGCGATGCGTAGTCTGAAGAGTATTATTCACGATCTCGACGGTGCCACACCACAAGGAGCACCCGCCGGGGCAGAACTGCTGGGCAATGATGGCGCTCTTGTCCGTCGGGTAGGTATCCAAGGGCACGTAGATAGAAAAGCCCTGCCAGCCTTCCTTGGTCATTTGGGCCACATTGATGGTGGTGTCGTTCTCAAAGACGCAGATCTCGGCGCCTTTGCGGTCGCGGGTGCCGTCGTAGTAAGACTCGTCAAAGTAGACAGTGAGGTTGCCGTCTGTGGCGGTAGAGTAGGATGGGGGTTCTACATTGCAGGCGGAGAAGGGGGATAGTCCGGAGGTGAAGTTGCTGTGGTAGATGGTGCCTGCGTGGGCGAGGTGGTGAAAGAGAGGGAGGGCGAGGAGGGAAAGAATGGACATCATGTTGAAGTGTTGTGAAGCTTGGGATGATTTTGAGAAGGGAGGATGTGATGGTGATACAAGCTACTTTATATGCTTTGAATTTACTACTCTGAATCAATTGAATTTGATATCTATATTAAAGTAGGGTTGTTTTGTACTCGTTCTTCAGGGACATCGGCAAATGAAGCAGCCGTTCTTCCTGCTCCCCACCAGATCCGCCTTTCTTCCCGTCTTCTCGGGAAGAACGCGTATGCCACCTAATTTATGCACACCGGCGCATTTTCCGAGCTCTTCCCCGCATGGATATTGACTATATTCCTTAGCTTAGTTAGAGAATCGGTCCCTGTCCGGCACTTAGCCCGGTGTCTAATCTAATCTTTGAACATGAGATGAAAGCTGGTAATATGAACAACATGCCACCACCAAGATTCCAACCTCACTACTATCAAGCATTACGATCATGCATATTCTCAAGCTATGCCTTGCGGTGACCACCGCTACTCACGTCTACGGACTGATTCAAGATGTCCCACGTCTAAACGGTACGAGCTAGACGTCAACCTCCAACATTCCCACCCACATGCTTATCCACACCAGGGCCCGTAATGATGGTCCCCGACACACCCGGCTCCAAGAACAAAACGAATCAATTCCAACACCCAGGCCTTTGGCATAGCCACGATCAACTCGAGCTCATGCGAACAAATGTCCTCAACGGTGTAGAACCTTGGGCATCTGCATACACCCGATTCGCTCAAGACCCCTACTCCAATGCATCCTATGAAATGCAGGGCCCGTATCCCGTGATCAGTCGCGGGCAGATAAGCAACTATACCAGTTTTCATGATGATTCCCGCGCTGCATATCAGAATGCTATTATGTGTAAGTACACAAACCCAAAGGGCCCTTTCCAGGGCTAATACCTTGGATTGAAACAGGGTACATCACCCGCAGCCAAAGCCACTGGAACCGCTCCACCACGATCCTCGACGCCTGGGGCTCCGATCTTGAGAACATAATCGGCACAGACCGATCCCTTCTAATCGGCATCGAAGGCTCCATCTTCGCCAACGCAGCCGAGATCATGCGCTGGGAAGGCGGCTGGGTCGAGCAAGGCGCGACATACAAAGGTGGCTCGGGCTTGAGCGTCCAGCTCTACTGGCTCTTCGCCCGACAGAGCATTATCATCGGACAAGCGAACTACGGCATGGCCAGTATCATGGGCTTGCTCAATTTCGCAGTCTACTTGGACGACGTGGCTCTATACAATTATGCCTTATACGCATACAAGTATGATCGCTGTGCCGGAGTGCCTTATAATTATCTAGCATCCACAGGCCAGAACTCCGAAGCGGGTCGCGATCAGTCCCATGTACAGGATGCGCTGCAATGGACGGCACTTGCTGCGAGGGTGGTGGCTAACCAGGACTATGACTTGTTTGCTTTGGAGGATAATCTTCTCTTTACGGCGGCAGAGTATGCGGGGAAATACCTCATGAATTATACGGTGCCGTATGATGCGAGCTTTTATCGGTGTGAGGTGGTTTTGGTGGATGGTCCTTGGGCGAACATTTCCGCGGTGAATCGGTATATTGGATATCAGGATGGAAAGACGAATCCGGCTGCTTGGGGTCTACTCTATTATGAAGCTTTGGAGAGGGGGGTTGATGTGCCTTGGACTTCGCGTGTGAAGGATGCTTATGATGCGTCTGTGAAGGGTCAGGCATCGCCAGTTGATCCGTTCAGTTGGGCGGATTTGCTGTTTGCGGTTGCAGAGAAGTAGATAAGTCGATGAATGCACTTGCTTGGCATGTACATAAACATTGGAATTGAGAATAAGTAGTTACTAAATGAAATAGATTTGTTTCATAGAAGCTCTATATAGACTTCTGATAAGACCGAGATTATTTTGTTCACTATAGTAGTAATGATAGTACCCAAGAATGTCGGTTAGATTCAGCACTCATGTCCGGGATAATCTTTCATGAGTTTTATAATCATACAGTTATTGTGACATATTCCAAATCCGTACATCACTAACTAGCTACTAGCAGGCAGACTATACTTCCCTGAATTCACAAGAATTTGAACACAACTTAATAAACGTACCGAAAATTCGGATTCTCCCTATCCGTCAAATCCTGAAACGCCAACTCATGCGAGACATCACTGCTTTCACCCTCCTTCGCCTTATTCCTTCTCATCAAAATCACCCTTGTCCGGACTGTTAGCGCAATAAATACAGCGTAAATCACAATATGCGCCAGAAAGCCGTGCAAGTATCTTGGAGCGTCAGAACTCTGAAAGATCTGCGGAGCGATGAGATTTCCCACCGCCCAACCAACAAAAAGGAATGTCATGGTGAGACTTTTTTTAGTCTGACCGGCTGTGTTGCGGGTGATCAGGGATATGATCATGTTGCCTTCGGCGAGGAAGAACTGGGTGCAGTAGAAGGCGATCAGCATGCCGCCGGCGTTGGATGCTGTGGGTGTTACGACGAGGATGACGATGGTTCCGACAATGGCTGGGATGGTCCAGAGCTGGTATTTAATTAGCTTTTGGTGGTGAGTGGGTGGGTAAGGGTAAAGCTCACGATCATGATTAAACACGTCTGTTGGAAGCGCTGGGAGCACCATGCTGATCCGACCATCACGATAATTGTCCATGAGCCTTGAGCTATATTCAATAGCTCGGTCTGGAGCAGCGAGAAGCCGAACTGCTCGATGATCAGGTTAGAGAAGACGCCTAGGCCACCGATGACCAAGTTGGCCACGAGAATGAGTATCACGCAGCACCAAACGATAGGGTCTTGGATCGTTTCGATAACCTGATATCTCTTGAATTGTCGGTTCTCGATTCCGGTCTCGTTGTGTCGTACCCGCTCTACCATCAGTTTCTTGTCTTCTTCGCTGTAGCACTTTGCCGAAAGAGGGCTGTCTGGAAGGAAGAATCCAATAAAGAACGACCACACGCATGTAGCACATCCGAGAGCGAGGAAGAGCAACTGCCAGTTCTTGATCACTCCGCCTACGTACTGGGAGGTGCCAAAGGCGAGTAGACCACCGATCTTATGTGGGTAATTAACCGAGCTGCATCTTCAATGGCCAAGCGAGAGGAAGAATGACATACCATTAGCTGCACCCCAGTCATGCAGTACCATATCGAGTTCAAGACCGACTGTTCTTCTCGTTTATACCACATGGCTGTTCTAGCATTTAAAGTCAGCAAGACTCACTCAATCCAGAGACCGGAAAGAGGACACTCACATGAGCATCATCGCAGGCTGAATACAGCTCTCGAAGAACCCCAACAGAAACCGGACCGCCATCAACGATCCAAAACGTGTAGATGCAGCCGAGCATGCCACGATCGCACCCCAAATAAATACATTGACAGAGAGCATCTTGGCAACTGGAAACTTCTGCAACAGTAGATTCTGGGGGTATTCGCCCACAAGAATGCCGATATACAGAATCGTGCCCAGTAGCGAATACTAAATGATTATCAAATCAACATAAAAGGCACATGGTGAGCTAATAATGGCTTGGTGTGTACCTCTTGTCCGACCAGATGTGCATCGTCCTTAATACCCATGATAGAGGCATAGTTCAAAATGCCCTTGTCAAGTGACTGGAAAAAGTAGGTAACGATCTGAATAACTAAGATACGACGAGTGATCATCCAGAACAGTCGTTTATCTGTCGCCTCGTCGATCTCAATGCCTGGGTCTGCTGCATAGGGGTCTTTCTTCTCGGTCGTTTCGAGGTGATCGGCTGTTGTGGTGTCTATATCGGAGATTTTGGATGCCATTGTGAATCTGGGGATTGTGGGGTTGTGGAGTTAGGCAAATTGCACATCAAAGAAGGTTATCAATGTATGGATTTGTATCCGCCGGACTCAGAGCTTGCATGGTGGGGAAGGCTTACCTGTAACGGGTGTCTCGTAGGCTCGTCGGAGGGACTCCGGGAGATGCCCCGAAATGCCTATCCACGGAATTCTGGCATGGACTTCTTGCGCGGAGGAATTCCCGGACCCTTTTCCGACTGCGAATGCATACTTCCACAAATGGAGAACGAATTCTTGTAGAGAGGAACAAGCAGGTCTTAACAAGTCTCTTATTGCGTATTCAGTGTTCGATTAACTTCTCCTAACTCAGCATCGGTCCTTTGACAAACTAAGAACAATGTCTATCGAAGCGGGACCCCCAGCGACCGTCAACGGCTCCGGCTCCGAAGTACTCCCATCCAAGCAATGGACGCGAGTACTCGAAGCCCTATATTCAGAATCCGTCCTAGCAAAGGTCTGGTTCGTCGCATCCAAGGCGATGGGTAGTGTGAGTGAAACAACCTTTTGAGGCATTATAGGCCCGTCAGTAAGCCCGAAAATGCTTATTACAAAAACAGACGAAACCTCCAACCCTATACCCCGAATACACTGGCGAAGACAAAACCACATACATCTACCGAGCCCTCGACTTCTGGACATCCGGATTCTTCCCAGGCTCTCTATATCTCCTTCTAGAGCGAAACACTCTCTTCCGCGACCGGCATCCTGCTCCCCAATCCACGCAAGCAAACAGCGAGTCCGTTCTCCGCCCCCATCCCTTCCAACATGAGCACCTCTGTCGCTGGTGGACAGCCAACCTGCATCAGAATGCCCTCCGTAAGGACACCCACGACCTAGGCTTCATGATTTGGCCCTGGGCAATGAAGGCATGGGCCCTGCATCGAGACCCAGCAGCATACAACACCCTCGTACTAGCAGCCCACTCCCTTGCTAGCCGCTTCAGCGAATCAACCCAGTGTATCCGCAGCTGGGATCAGTGTATCACGAAGCGCTATGCATACAAAGACCCGTCGCAAGACTTCCTAGTTATTATCGATAATATGCTGAACCTGGATATACTGTTCTGGGTGGCGAGGGAAACAGATTGTCGGAGGTTATATGACATAGCCAGGGCGCATGCAATCACCACGCAGAAGCATCACATCCGAGATGACTGTACGACCTTCCACGTGGTTAATTTGGATCCCAAAACTGGGGCAGTCAAGGCAAAATTTACGAACCAGGGATACAGTGACAGTAGCTGCTGGGCACGGGGCCAGGCATGGGGGATTCTGGGATTTGTGCAGACCTTCGGATGGACAAAGGAGACGGAATTTCTTCGCACTGCTAGAGCGCTGGTGGATGTATTTCTTGCGAGATTGCCGGACGATGGCGTCCCGTATTGGGATTTCGATGCGCCTGTTACTGACACCTCACCACGGGATACTTCTGCTGCCATGATCGCCGCTTGTGGACTGCTGTTGCTTTATAAGGCATATAAGAAGTTGCAGGATACTGACACGGCTAATCGCTACCTTCGGGCCGCGATGAAGCTGGTTGATTGTACGGTCGGAGGGTATCTAAATCCCCCTATGCGTTTCGAGACTGGCCCTTCGTTGGAGGTGCCCATCTACGCTGACCGGTGTTCGACCCATCAGACTGAGGCTTGCAAAGGCTTTGAAGCACTAAAGGTGGTTGGGGACGGGAACGCTTTTGAAACTATCCTCACGGGCGCGACGATCAATAATTATGAGTTTGCTCCTCGGAGGTGGTCGAACCACGGGCTTGTATATGCTGATTACTATTTCTTGCTGTTTGGAAATATGCTTCTTGAGATGGACTTGCTTGACGACTGTATGAAAGGGTAGCATGGTACAAGCATCAGTTCTCCTTTTGGGTGGGAATGTAGACATAGAATATAAAGGTTTGACGTAAATATGCAAACGATCAATCACGCAGTTTTGTTACTGATTCTCATTTCCGTCGGTCACCGAGTCCTTGGTTAGGCCCCGCGTATTGCCGTAATAACTAATCCGCTGTCCTGGGCTAGATGTCACATCGAAGAGGTGCGAGATATCTGTCGGCATGAGACTAGTCATGGAACTCTCCGAATCATGCCTGGAACCTGACTCGTGACTGCGGGTTTCAAGCGGAGAAGAGATACTAGGATCTGATGGCAGTTGCATATTATAAAAAGAAAATGGATCTAGACCAGTCGGCGAGAAATCCTGCTGAAAGGCTGGTGGCAGCGGTGGGAAGGCTAGGCTGAATGGGTCGAATGAGCCATAAGTAGCCTGCTGCGAGGGGAACGAGGCCAGCTGCAATGGTCCACCAAGCGACTCATACTCTGGTGGATCATCCGAGTTTGTTCCCGCGAGATCCTTGTACATCTCCTCCTTAGACTCATCTGAATAGGCGGTCGTGCGAATATCCAGGCTCGGACGAGATACACGGGCTCGGTTCTGCTGGGCTTCTGTCAGCCTAGTTGCGAATTTGAATGCTAGGCTGTCCTCCTGCTGGGCTTGACTGCCATCATGCTGTCTTGTCCATCGCTGTGAGATCTCCATCAGGTTTGCAATTAAGGTGTTGAGAGCCTGGGATGGCGGCACCCTATTGTGCCTAGCGTGTGCGAGGAGTGTGCGGCCGGCGATAAATAGACAGAAAGAAAACTGGGGGTTCGTGAAAATGGGAGAAAAGGACAAGAATTGATCAGCAATAGTTGCTATCTCTGAAGCTGCTTCCAAGCACGTATCGGCGGAGGATGCCGACGGGAGTCTAATGGGACATTTCTGCCAGTGCGCTGGTGGATAAGCAATGCCTTGATGTAGCAGAATTACCGCCGTGTTGTGGGTTATGTGCGCCAGAGTCAGATTTGGATCCATGACTCTCTGTTCGTTGAGGACGCAGGCTTCGCGCCATTTAGGAGGTAGGTGGATTTTCCATCTGCGCGCATCAGCATCATGAAGAGAACGGTACAAGACTTCATACGCACTGAATTAGTCGCAAATCTAGTTCCTTGAATTTCACCAGCCATAATCGTGCCTTGCTAGCATCGTTAATCAGAAAGGCGTGGTGGAGATAGAAGTTGGTCACAAGGGCCAGTGATTCAGTAGCCTCAATTATGTACGCAAAAGCGCCGATGGCCTGCTCTTCACAGCCATCTATCGTAGCGGAATGGCTATTAGAAAGGGTAGTGTTCTTGATATCAGAGATTCCAAAATACGGGGTGCAGACTTCCTGCTCCTTCTCCCATAGAGCGCCTTCACATGGAAGACGGCGCTTCACATCCGCATTTCTCAGACTGATCTTCCAGCCTGTAGAGACGCTGCAGAAGCGGTCCATGAGAAAGACGGCCCAGAATATACGTCGCCGCTCCTCCGCTTCGCTCCACGACCGTGATGGTGTAAGAAAAACCATGCGCCTGATTAGCCGTTCCCCCATGCCCTTGACGCGATATAGGTCATCTTCTTCTACTCCAAGTTGAAGTTGCTCTACGGTTCCCGCCATGCTGCCAATCATAGACCATGACGAGGGCCCGCGACCGCGATTTATCTGTTCGAAAGTAAATCAGTCTACTTCTCTCTAAGACATAGCGTGGGCCCCTAGCTCACTGTTTCAAATGCGACAATCACCAGCGCCTGTAGATTCTCGACCGAGAAGGTTTCGGTGCTCTGCAAGATTACCTCTTGTCGACTTTTCTTGGCGATCTCTTTCATATCCAACGTATCGCCATATTGTTTGTTTTGTGAGAAGCGGGCGCAGACAGAGACAATGGCATGTAAGATGCAATTTATGTGCTTTCGTTCTTCCGGCGATCGCATCCGCTCGCGAAATTTCTTGACGTGTAGTATCGGTATCCATGGATGTATATTGGTGAAGTAAAAATCGACGAGTTCGGTCAAGACGGCATCAGGTAAGGGGCTGGCCACGCGAGACTCAGATTCTAGAGCAACCGCATGGTAAGCCAGCTCACTTCCCACGCGGGCGCGTTTGGCTTGGGGAGGAGCACAATCTGGTGGCAAATAATCGTGTGTAATTGCTTCTGTGCTCGTTCTTTTTGTCGCCACATTTGCAGAGTCTAGTACTGAGGCCTTCAGCTGCTCCCGACGCTCCGCCAGGGTCGTGGCTGCCGTGGTCCCCTTGGCCAGGGATCGCGGGGGCTCAGTGTTCGGAAACAAAGACTGCCACATCTGCTGCCAGAGCATCTCCTGGCCCAGAAACATATTCTCGAGCGTCTCGACGCGGCGATATAGCTGGTCGACCGCCCCAGCTCGGAGACCGGGCTTATTTCGTCGATCATCGTAGACGCAAACGACATCCGATCGCATACATTGCGAACAGGGCTGCGCTCGATTGCATTTGGCTTTTTTCTTGCGACAAAACTGGCAGGCTGGAATTTCCTCCTCTCCTTTGGTAGCTGTCTCCGGCAAGTCTCCTGCGCTGGCGTTGGTTGTCGCGGGTTGAGATTTTGCGGTCATCGGGTAGACAGGGCTGGAATTATTGAGGTTCACGATAGGGATGTTTTGTCCAGGAAGACAGGGACGTCTGACATACAGAACTACACATTCTCAAAGACGAACGCCCCTATGGGGAATTCCTTCTTTTCCCCGCAATTTGCACTCGTCATGCCACTTCTGGAACATCCTCCTTGCCGTTGAGCCTAGTTGACATGGAGACCTGTGCTGCACCAATCAACCTCCTGTCGGCGGGCGGGGTAGTTGCCGGCGAGTGTCCGACACCGGAGATTTCCCTAAAATGCTTTAGCAAGATGTTCGATTTGCTATATTAGAGGTTTGAATTAGGAAAGAGATGGACATACTCCGATAGATCACTGATCAGGAACTTCCGCTTTTGACTGTAGGTAGTGGTTCGTTGCTACTGTCAAGTCTTGATCAGGAGTTGGGGCGCGCTGGCCCTAATTGTACAGGAAAGCCGGGTTGGTCTCTGACCCTCACTAACTCACTTACAGGATCTCTAATAACACCGGATTTTTACTGAACTAGCATGTTCGTTCTCCCTGAGTTCCAGCGTTTGCTTCTACTGTTGTGTATAGGACATAGAAAATGTATTTCGTGCGGAGTGGAAGACAGACCCACCTGCAGTTAATACCCAGGGTCCATGTCTTCAGGGAAGGATCGGCGGGTAACTTACGTATGTGCAGGGGGCACTAAAGACCCTTTCCGCGTGTGTGAGTGCGTCATGAAAATCCTGCAATGCACCCTAGACAATCCTGAAGAGAATACTCCGTAAAGACAGAGAACAGCTTAGTGGGGCGAATGAAAAGAGAGGGAATTTGCGAACCCTTGTGCACGGGATCCATCTGGCCGCGCAACCTGTCAACCCAAAATCAGTCCATCTCTCAGAGATTTCAAGATTTAGCATCGACTGGATGTTTTAAGGATCTAGCCAAAGAAGCTTGGACCACTCAATTATCAACTTGCAACGCACTCGACACGAGGTTTGTGGAATGAACTCTTACCACTACGAGCCGAAATTGTAGGAGAATGAGATGGATCGTCTTCACATCCGTTATTCATAATTGACGTATTTGCTAGTGTATCACGCGCTAACTAACACAGATGAAGCTTGGTATATGTCGTTAGGCGTACCTTAACGGCCTATATTTCATTTTGCTTCCAATCACATTTGGCTCGGAGGTTGACATACACTATGTGTACGTGTTCTATCGGCTTTGTCCCTTGCGTGTGCTGTCTCTCGGCGTTGCTGATTCCTGCAGATGTTTCAATCGCCCCTTTACAGAGTGACTGGCTTTCAGCCTACTGAACCTCCCAACTCCGCCACCATAGGTGGAGCATGCCCCCACACAGTCATGATCAGTAGCACAAGTATATCCTCCACATCACCCTGCCGAGATGCATTCGGCAGAAGGAACACCCGTAGTGAATGCATAACAAGTCTCCTTAGTATTCAATCATGCCATCGAACCAAGCTTCCCAACTTGAGTGCTCCATCCGGTGACGTCCCGTTCACCCCCGGATGAGATGCCCTTCTAGCAAACGTTAAGGCACAAACAAGTCTAGTTGATACAAGTAAGAAATAACTACGTAAAGACGTACTAAGGCGAGGATAGTAAGTTTAGTGATGATAGAGTTGAAGTGTTGAAACTAGAAGCCACAACCTAACTTGTCATGTCTGCACTCTAAAAACATGAGTTTGATAGGACCCTAGAGTTCCATTGAATGTATTGGCATCCTGCAGAGTCTTTTCCGACCAAAGTTCAATGACTTGTTGAGGCGCGCCAAGCCCAAGACTCGCAAAGCTCAGAAACACAGTCTGCGGATAACTCTTCTCATTCAGTAGAAGCACAACATACCCCCCCTCGACATTTCCAGCCCATACTTGAAAGAGGCCTTCCTTACTTTGGGCCTTTCTATACGTCACAGGCTCTCCAAGAACATCTTGATTGACGGAAATGATTGCCGTATTGGTGAGCACACCTAAGCTATCATTGGAAAGCTTGCTGAGATCAGCCCCAATGATCAAGGGTGATTTCAGCGCCGCCCAGAACGCAAAGTGTGTTTGTTGCTGGTTAAGTGTGAAATTGGCATTTCCGACTTCGAGCATATCCATATCTAACCAGTGACCCTGAGTCTGATATTGGCTGATTTCTTTCATTTTATTGATGATCGATAGGACTGAGCAACCGGCATATCCAGTGTTAAGACAGTAGGCGGTCTTGCACTGACACTCGGTTTCATTGGTGAAGCTTGTCGTGATGTCGCCAGACATTCTGTAAGAGTGACCGATATCTTCGGATAGGCGAAATTAGTATCTTGAATGGAAGATAGGATCGTTGGCATGATGTATCTCACCTCCGCCCCAGTGCCAAGGGAACTGATAACCCCAACCACACACAGAATAAAAGATATCTCGGCCCGAAAGTGCGAGCGCATTCTTCATTGCTCCAAAGCGGACTTGAGGTGCCTCCGTCAACGACTGGAATCCACCACAGTTGTCATACTTGAGGTAGTCCACCCCCCAGCTTGCGAACGTTTGAGCGTCTCTCTCTTCATATCCCCAGCTTCCTGGTCTCCATGCACATGTGTAGTGCCCACTGTCTCCGTAAAGACCTAATTTTAGGCCCTTGGCATGTACCTCTTGGGCCAGTGCTTCAATGCCCTTGGGGAAAGATGTTGCATTGGCTTGAAGATACCCGTCGGATGTGCGATTGTAGCTTGCCCATCCGTCATCAAGCAGCACGTATTCGTAGCCTACTTCTTTCAGCCCAAGAGTATCGAAGCGCTCCATAACATCCTGGACTATTGTGTAGTTTACCGTCGCTTTGAATGCGTTCCATGCGTTCCAGCCCATCTGAGGTTTGTGTGCCAGGCTAGTGCCTCCCAGTACCGAGCGGGCGAAGGTTAAAATTGCCACTATGGCCAAGCGGCATGAGAAGAGTTGATGATCGCGTCCCATTGTGCTGCTGGTGATGCTGGACCATTTGTGTGCGGAGGTAACCGAGGAGTCATTTATGAGGCAATTATAAAAGTTTCATTTGTAGCAGGCTCGTTTCTCTATCAGATCAGTGGCTAACTTTGCAACCTCCGGTCGTTGTCCGGGTTCCCCGCCGTATCAAAGGGGATAGGTAGAATAGAGTTACCAGCTAATAGAGCTGCAGCCTTTCAGCCGAGTGATATATTCTCATTGGCCGGGTTTGGTGGATGAGGTTGCGGAGATGCTCCGGGAGATCTTCCGGGAGATCTAGCGGCCAAACTACTACTAGTAACTGAACAGGTTGCCCGAGTTCTTTATCATAAACCTTCAATGAGATTCTCCTAGCTCATCATATCTCGTTTCTTAAAATTGTTTTGGCAACACTTCCGAAACTTCAATATGATATACCCAGGTCTCCTTTCACTGATTGGACTTGCGATAGCCACAACAGACTCTCTGAATTACCGAAACATACCCGGCTATGTAGCACCCAGTTCCTCAAATACGACGACCGCTCTAGATTTCATTAAGTCTCGGTCCGACTTAAGCATCCTGTCTGAGAAGATCGATGAACTTGGCGGATTTGCACAAGCGTTAGACACAGATCCAGATTGGAAATTTACATTCTTTGCGCCGAATAACGATGCCTTTGAGAAATATACTGGGGCATACTTTGATAGCTTCGAGCCGACTCCGTATGTCTGATCAAATGTTCTGATCTTGTATCGTTGTGGCTTATTTCGCATAGGAAAGGGAAATGGTGGCTGGGGAACACTATCATCCACCACTATGTGCCTAACTCCGAGTTCACATCAGCTATTTTCAATGAGACTTTGCAGCGATTTCAGGTGAACATACCCATCCAGATATAATGCTTGTAGCTGATATCAAGATCAGACTGCCACCTACCTCTTTGTGAGCTCGCAAGTACAAGATGAAACGGTTATTCTCAACCAAGTGGCAAGAGTAGTGGAATCAGATATCCCGGTTACCAGTGTACGCACTCATTGCTTCCTTGCAAGACCATCGAACAATAATCTTATAATTATTATTGACATAGGGCGTGATGCACATCATCGACCGTATCCTAGACCCATCAGCACAGATCTTCGAGCCCGATCTTCCGCGGATGTCACAGACTTTCATCGCAGGGAGTTGCTCGAATCCTCAGTTTTCGTATTGTTGATTTCAGGCAGCAATTTGCAAATTGGCCAGATTTATCCCAAATCTATCGTTGTCAGAATATTATCTCATCATATAGTACAGACCCTTCCAAGAGCCACTAAATAGGCATTCATAGACTAATCTCATCTCACCAAGTGTTGGGTTCATTCCTTCACAGGAGTCATACCCCTGTAGATAAGGAGCTCCAAGCTAAAACCTACCAAATCCACCATGGTAACTCCAATGAATCACTGGCATTCTCAGTTCAGTCGGGCCACCAAGTCTAGGTATCTACCATAACGCCATAGAACAAAGAAACAGGTAGTACAGACAACAGGCAGCAGACAAGACCAATCCTGCCACGTCTTCTTTTTACTTGATAACTCCAATTTATAAAGCAGCAGCAACACCTCACCGTAAGGCCACCACATCATTGTTGAAACTTCTACTGAAAGAATACTAAATCCGTGAACCAAATCCTGTTTCATACTTCTTACGATCTTCTATCCTGCCTCCACCCTCAGCAACCCCAATACATCCTTCTTCATCCCACCATCCTCGAAGAAAACCACCCAAAATGAAACTTCTCACCTACCTCCTCTTCACCATCTACGCCACCAACGCCATATCCACCGATAACAGTGCCGAAGAAGAGTGCGGTTCCCTCGGAGTACTGAAACTCGACTCAGCCGATCTCCCTCAAAGGCGTCACCCCCGCGGATGTGCGCAAGTGCGCAGATCATCCGCTGGGCCACCTGCCGCACCCCGGTGCTGCTGCAAGTAGTGGGTTGCAGCGTATTCTGCCGGGTTGGATGTTTTGAGATGGACATTTCATCTCTATCTTATCTCGTTCCGGTTGTTGTTGGGGTGTGAGGGCTGAAATAAACATATCTCAGGGCAAATGGTTGGTCAGAGTCCATGAATGATTTGGAGGCATGATGTCGTGTTATGGACGAGGGAATGATTTGAACTGCAGCTCTGCATCTGCGATGATCCGGGGGATTGAGAGCTTTTCTACGTAAAGAATCTTGAATTGCAGAACTGGACAGTCTACTAAATTTCTGAACATGTACGTCCTGATTATTTCTTGCGAGTCGATTGAATGCAAGGAACTGTTGTCCTAGAAGTATTTAGAGCTTTTAGATTTACCTCCAACCCAGATGCCACCAGCTTGCAAGTAAAAATACTTTCTCCATCGCGCAGATTGTATATAGCCTACGGTCGTAGTCGATCCCCCCTAAACTCCTCCGCTGGCCAGCCCTGCAACGTCGTGCCATCCTCAACATGATCCCCCGACAGCACCAGTGTATGCTCCAACAGACACGCATCCTTCCCCATCGACGCCCCCGACAGCAATCGAGACCCCGTGCGCATCACACTTCGATCGCCCACTTTCAGCGTATGCAACTCGAAGTCCCCCCGCGTGTTGAGATGGCACACCAGACTAGCATCATCCACCGTGACTCTATCCCCCAACGTCACCAAGTCCGGCTCTGTGAAAAAGATGTGTGGATCCCCGTTCGCATTCAACGCACAATCTGCCCCGATCTTCGCCCCCATGGCCCGGTAAAACCAGCTCAGATACGCCGTTCCGGTGAGTAACGACAGGATACCCGTCCCGCCAAAGGACTCCTCAAGGAGGATGTCAATGGTCCGCATAATCTGCCAGCGTTGGCAATAACTGCTACCGTCGTAGGGGTATGAGCCTTCAGTCCGCTGTCCAACGAGTATCCACTTGACGGCGATGACAATACCCAAGGACACCACCGTTTGAATTAGCGTCACTGCCGCCATCACTGCAGCTAGTACGCCGTACACGGCAAACGGACGCCACCATCGCATCCCAAATGCCATCAGCTCCATTGGGAGAAGACGGTTCACCACCAACAATGCCGCCAGCGGCACCGCCATGGGATATACCGCGGTGAAGGCGACCATGAAGCTAGAGAACCCGACAATGGGTCCCAGACCTAGCACATGGTAGTTCGCCTTCCCTTGGTACAAGGCGCGTCCAAACGGCTTTGTCGTGTCGCGCCTTCCGTCGGGATCTCTAGCAGCATCTCTCTTTCCCTTGAGTTGAGGGAAGCGAATGGCATCTCCATGCTTGCTACCAGTCCAGACGCTGTCATCCGGATAGAAGCCGTTCCGGCGCAGCAATGCCCCCGAGCCCACCATCGCGCACGTTCCAATGGTGACTCCCGGAAACACCACAGATCTGTCCCCCAGCATGGTGCCATCCCCTATGACAATAGGTTCCCTCCCCAATCCATCCGCTGTGACCAGGAATGACCGGGATCCGAAGACCACGTCGTTCCCAATGTCTATCTGGTCAAAATCAGGGATCAGATTCAACTTCGTGCGAGGCCAGTATACACGTTTCCCCACCCGCCCACCCAGCATCCGCACCGCCACTGAGACCAGCTCGTAGTTTGGTCCCACGAGCCGCGACAGGCGGGAAATATCCCCTTGTGGAATGATTGCGTCGAGAGCCGCGCGTCTTACCTTCTGAGCAGGGGACAATTGGCTCATAGGGCCTCGAAGGGGGCGGCCACAACATGCATCCAGCCCACGCTTCACGACCAGCACGGCTAGGAACCACGCCAGGGGTCCGGCAAGAGCGGAGTAGACCCGCATGAGAAGGAAGTAGCCGATCCGGGTACGGCTGGTGAGCCAGGAGACAGTGTGTCGCAACTGGTCGTCCGCGACCGTCGGATAGCGACTCACGATGGGGAGCAGTCCTGCGATCCGCGGTAGTTCCGATACGAAGCGGACGAAGATCTCCAGCCATCCCGCGACCAAGATGTACCAGATCCAGTGGGGCTTCAGCGCCTTGGCAGAAGATTGGTCGCGGTTGGATTCATCGGCATCGTCAATCTCCCAGGTGGACGAGTTGGCGCCGAGACACGTTCCCGGGGGCAGCGTAGTCCCAGGCACCACGGTCGACCTAAGGCCGATGTAGGAGCTGGCTCCAATGGAGATGGGCTGGAGCAACATCGAGGTGTTGCGCTCACTCGCAAACGGACGGCAGATACAGTGCTCCAGTACTACATTGTCGCCAATGTGAAGGAGGTCGTACTCCCCAAGGCCCGTGAATTCGTCGATGTAGACATTGCGTCCGATATGTGCTCCCAGGGCTCGGTAGTACCAGATGCGGCTGAAATCAAAGCGGTCGAACACCCCCTGGTGCCCTTCTATCAGCTGACCGTGGTGACACGGAGAGTATAAGAATTGATAACATACCTTGCCGCACACTTGGAGCGCTTTCTGTGCCAACCACCACCGCATATGGTACAGTCCCCACATTGGATACATTCCTTCGCGATATCTACCAACAAGGAGCCATTTCAGTGAGATCCCTATGATGGGAGAGATTAATTCCATCGCCAGTTGAACAGTCAGTCGCATCAGTATGAGGCCAAGCAAACGTCCAAAGAGATTCGGGCGCAGCGGAAACCGCGTCGAGACCCCGAAGAGCATATACACCAGAAATGTCCAGCGCAGGGCCTGAAGCATTGGGTAAAGGATGACGGAGGGAACCAGGTTCAAGAATAATACCCACGGCTGGGTGGAGCTATATGTCTCTCGACATCCTGGAAGATCCTGCTTTCTGATCTTACGTATCTTGGTGTCAGCAATTGCCGCCTCAACGATGGCCGTAATAGCGCCCACGGTACTGTGCTGGAACAGAACATCCCCTGCGACAGGCACCCGGAACTCCTGTCGGATCTTGGAGATAAGCTGGCCCGCGCTCATACTGTCCCCGCCCGACTCAAAAAAGTCGGTCGCAGGTGTCACATCTTCCGGGGCACGCCTGAGTGCCGTCGCGAAAAGATCAGATACCCGCTGCTGCGTGGGCGACGTGGCTGTTGCGTGCAAGGCGCGCAGCTTGGCTTGCACAGCAGCTTCGTCAATCAGCCCATGGGTGTCCCGCGGAATGAAACCATCCAGTATTTCCAGCGTGCTGGGGATGAGATATCCATGCATGAGATGGGAGAGACGGGTGAGGACCTCCTCTGGCGACACTCCTCCGGTCCCGTCTCGGAAGAGGATAGCTCGCGGGTATCCGTCCACGTGCGTTCGCAGTATTAGGTTGAACAGGCCGGAAGCCTGTGTGATATATGTCTTGACCAGAGGGAAATCAATCTCACATCGTGTTTGAGCAATGGGCTCGCTGACAGGCGTATCCACTGGCGGGCACAGCGCCTCGTAGTGCCGTTCGGCTATGGGAACTTGGTCGGTCAATGTCTCCAAGCCCAGTCGCTGGCTTAGGCCGATGCGCCGCAGTTTATTCCCTGATCTAGGAAGGTCATCCATATAAACCAAGAGAACGGGCCATTTGGGTTGGTGTAGACGCTCCTTGAGGGCCTGATGCATTTGGCGAAGGTCGGGCCTTGTGTGGTCTGCTGGGATTACAAGGGCCACCCCGACGACCTCTTGAAGGACATCATGCGGAGTAGGAAATGCCAGAGCCGCCTTGATACGGCCGTAAAGATTAGAAGACTTGTCTCGGGCAGCCGACATGATTGCATCCTCGACCTCCACGGGAGAGATCGTCTCTCCTCCGCGATTAATGACTTCTTTTGTTCGTCCTGTGATATAGAACCACCCGTCCCCGTCAGTATGTCCGAGATCGCCTGTATCAAACCACCCTGCTGGGCTGAATGAGTTCCGGTCCAGCCCATCACTGTTAAGGTAACCCGGAAATACGGGCAGACCTCGCACGCAAATTCGGCCTACTGAGCCAGTAGAGGCACGCTGCTGCGGATGTTGAGTGTCGAAAATAGCCAGCTCTGGACCCACCGCCAGGCCTGAGCTTTCAGGTCGATTGGAAGCGTCACTTTGAGGCGGAGCAGTTATGGGTAAACACTCGGTCATCGCATAGCTGAGTGACACTGGGCATAGAAATATTACCTGAAGTTGCTGTGCAACATTCGGGGGCAATGCGGCTGCTGCGTTGCAGATGGATGTAATGGTGCAATTTTTTACGCAATTTTTTACGGCATCAGCTCGATGCGCAGCTTCAGCTACTATCATCTCGTGCATTGTTGGTGCCGCGTAGTACCACGTTGGGTGATACTTCTCAACCACGTCCCAGAACAGGTTCGGATCAAATTGCGAGCAACAGATTGTCATGCCTCCCGCCACAAGGGGAGCCCACAAGCTACGTATAATACCACCACTGGTTCTGTTAGCGCAGGTCTTTTCACATCTCTTGTGTGGTTGCGACGGGATCATACACATGATGGAGCGGCATCATATTCAGACAGCGGGATTCAGTATCCAATCCCAGACTATCCATTGTGAAGGTTGTACTGACTAGAAGATTGAACAACGTGATTGGGACCAGCTTCTTGGTGCCACTAGTCCCACTCGTGGCCAGGATAATGGCGAGATCATTCGGGCCGTTTCGATTCAAGAAGCCCGCAATCATACTTAAGCAGTCCCTTACGCTAGTTCAGCGTCTTCTTGTGGCGGGGAAGCTGGTCAGTATTCCTTCCATTTGGAATTCTATGCCGCTTGATCCCACCATGAAATCATTTAATACTCTTTGCTGATGGACGAGAACCTCATTTACCTTCCGACTGTAACCACAGTGGATGATCGGAGATTTACCAAAAGATAAGATGATGAAATAGAAACAGGGGAGGGCACTCACGCCTCCGCTTACATGAAACTAGGTTCCAGGGCATCTCAGTCTGGGGGTTATGTTTGAGGTTAGCACCTATCCAGCTTTCACTCTAAGGTGCTTGCATTTTCCCCAGACTTCCGATTGGTGTGCTTACTCGACTGAGACTTTTTTTTTCAAGCATGTGGGCATCTAATCACCCGACGCCGATCACTAAGAGGTTATGTGATTCGTTGCTGTTCAATTGCGTATGATAATTGACACACATTTGTTCTCTCGCCTAAATATCTTACGCTATCCTTCTTATTGCAAATTTACGGGCTTTGCCCCAACTTTGATCCTGGTGGTTGTGGTAACACCGAGGAAAGAAGGGGGAGGAAAGGGATAGAAATGCCTGCGTTCTTGGTTGCTGATCCCACGATGGTCCACAAACTGCTGCAGCTAGCGGAATACCTCGCCAAATTTTTTTGGATTTTCTTTCTTTCTATTCCTCTCACATGCTGGAAATCTTTGCTGTTATGATACTGGCAATCGGCATGGGTCATATTGTTTCAAAAAAGCTCTTGAGGCTCGAGAAACGTAGGTGCATGGTCAGGAATGATGTCCTACCAGTGACGGGGCATGTTACTCAAAGCTCGTAATTGCGGAACACGTCACAACCTAGGAGTATATATCTTAACTCATGTCACAAACAATATATGTCAGGCCTTCGACCCGAAGTTCACTCTGAACCCCATGATCAATGACCCCCACCCATGCTACGCTGCTCATCCGATGCAGCTGATGTGATATTCCGTGCCTACGTGCGTGATTCATAGTGATCAATTGGCCGCGCAGCCCATTTCTGTTTAGGGAACTAGTACGTGGAAAGGAAGTGGGAATTTCATGCCAGTCTATAATTGGTCGGAGCAGTTGGAGCAACCTGGACATTTTGGCAAAAGCATTTCAACCCGATTTAAATCAACGCTTTGTTTGGTTTCAGAACACACACTATTAATGTCTTATCTGGCGAAGCCTTGGTTCTACGAACCCTTATCCGCCGATACAGCACCGTCGCCACTTTGTTGCTCACAGATACATAGTAAGAGGAATGAGAACAAGGTCGTTTGAAATCAGCGGATCTAGTAAACAGACGACGGTGGAGTCCTACAATACAGCCTGGACTGCAGCATATCTTACAGAGCCTCCTTCGTCAGCTCTGTTGACATGGCCGTCAAGACTGCAACAATCTTCATGGTCGCCGACGCCAACCACGCATTGTTGTCATGAAGCAAGCCTGTATGTTGGTACCAGCGCGTCATATACCCACGAAGAAGTGTTGTAAGAAGTAGATGGCAGAGGCCGAGCCTTCCTCAGAAAAATCGCCTGTCGGTCTTGGAGTGAGCGAATATGGTCCGTGCCAAGTTGGACTTACAAGGCAATGGTCGATGGCAAAGCTTTGTTCCGTCAACTTTTCCAGAGCAGCCTAAAGGCTGTGGCTACTTAGACATAAAACCAGGAGCGTATTCAGGCGAAGAGTTTGGAATATATAGGACGCCGTATAAATGATCCTCCGCAGAAATACCTCAAGACCCTTGTCAGCTACATTGACCTAGCGATGGGTTACAAATGGGGCAGCTGAAGTATATCATTTAATAAGTGGTGTTTGGCTATCAATATGCCGAAACTTTCAATATGCAAGCTGGAAGTGCGCTCACAGATGTCATGGCTAATGGACAGAGTACATGTGAAAGATTATGACGATGGGACCACCTGGGAGGAAGAAACAAGTTCGAAGGAATCTTTTGAAGATTAGTATGCCATTTAAATCCATTTCCTTGTAACAATGTTATCAGGAAATTACTATGAGGACGTTCTTTTTATATCATAAACCTCAGTACAAAAGTTTGAGACACGTCTTCTAAAGAGCGCTGTTGCAATAGTTGCACCGCATAGGGGTTGAACCCTGAAGATGACTAGAAGCAACATTGCTTAATAGGACAGGAAGTGAAGAAGTAAACTGCAAATACTTTCATTCGATCTAAATACATCTGAGCCCATCTTAGCTTCGCCCGAAGGCTACTAATCACCGGCCCTACGTAGAAGGGTAGACTCATCGCCGGTGGGCGTCCCCAAACTCTGCCAACCGCTCAAAAATAGAGGTTAGTTCCCAGGCCAGCGAGATATATATGCAACTACCACCGTGGGTCACTTCCATACCACATTCGATTTCCCCGTTCTCCTGAGTCCTCAAGACGAGTACCTTCCCCTAAGGCACCTTGATTCTCCCAGAAGTTGAGTCCAATCGTTGAATGTGAATGGATCGGCAGCAAAGCTGGAGGCGGCGAACGAATCACTGCCAACTGCTGGAAGACAGAGGCGCCCGGTTGAGCAGCTCTGGCTTCCTGTAGCTTGCGATATCATTTTCGAAACTTGAGGCCCTCTTTCTTAAGAGCAATAGCAAAGCCAATAAGACCTGCGACAATCACAACCTCATTCAACTCCGTTTAATCCATTGTTACAACCAATGTCTCAGAAGAGCAGTGAGAACTAGGGGAGAAAAAGGAAAGGAAACCAAACGACAGGGAAGGAGACAGGCTTTATGCCTTTGATACAAACCCATTCGTGAAGGAACATATGGACCAATTCCCTCAGAAGTGGGCTATATACAGAAGGCTATGAATTAGAATCCTTCTGCGGCAGCGAGAAAGGCAGAATTTCTTGTTGTGAACAAGGAGAGCTTGTGGCTGCGAGCGGGTAGACTGTGCAGCAGTGAACGAGGCACAGTGCATGGTTGTGAACAAAGACGGTTTGTGGTAGCGAGCAATGAACATTGTGTGGCAGCGAGCATGATATGGTGCTGTGTGCTCTTATGGTGCTCTATAGTTAGCAAGCATGTGACGATTAGGTGAACGTTTGCTAGTTTTCGCTCTTTCCTGCAAAGTGAATACATCGACGTACCCTTTAGGTCTCATAGACAAGCTCCAATGCGTGCCACAGCCCAATCATCAGATCAAAGTAATTATAATAATCACATGTTGTAAAGATAATAGTGCATCCACATATAACCTCCCCAAAAGACATTCTCTGGTAGTCAGTGTCTCAGCTGAGCTTGAAACTGTACTGCTGCTGTATATTTGCATGTCTGATCGTTCCTTGATCTCCCTGCCACAGCAAGCAAGTGCTCACGAGGTATCGACGTCACAACAAGTGGACAAGAAACACGAAATCTTTGTTTATCCATTCTGGAAGTTGTCAGCCCCCAGCTAGGCACCATCAAGTAGCTATTCCCAGTCAGCATCAATGGCAGTAGCTATCCTGTGGTATTATCGACTCACCATAACATGTTATCAGACACCGGATAATTTTTCCATCACAGAGGAGCAGGTGGAAGTCACTGTGCTCCTTCATCAACTCTCCCATAACCCTCCCTCCTAGTAAGCATGGACTATCCCATTTCATTCTCTGAATGTCAACAACTTTTGCGGCTCTCCAGTCGCGCTTTTATTCTGATGGTAATCGTATGTGTGCAATTCGATGAAAACTCAACACTGACGCGGCTCCACAACGAATTATCACCGTGTCAAGAAGTTGCCTAGTATATATAACCTGCTAGCTCACTTATATTCGCATTAAGGATGAGTGAGTATGGTAGAAAGGTCTATCTTGTGTGATGCAGGATGGCTGGGATAAGAGACTCGATGTTCGACATCTCATTCGGTGGCGTCAGAAGTGTAATTACAGCGTCGCTTGAGAGCTCCCCTTTGAACCCGTTTTATTGTCAGAAAAGATTGGATTTGGGGGAGAAGTTGTTCGCATTGTGCCATTCCTGTAAGGATACAAAAGGCGAACACTTGAGCGCGATGATGCGGGAGTGTAGGAAAATTCCGATCGGCAAGATAAACACGTTTATATATGCCAGAGTATCTGACATTGACGGTAAGTCCCAGGTTATATATAGGCAAGACCCAGGCACATCTCATGAGATAGGGATTTTCCACAATTTTGTTTGGGAGAGGGGAAGAAAGCAGTTTGGGGGGTTAGAAGCTGGATTTAATAGCCCATTTCTGTTTACGTATACTGGGTTAAAGGTGAATGTAATATCTCTCTACATAGTGACATTATGCGTCGAGTTAATCGGCGCACAACAAATGTGTGTTCATACTCTGGGACAGCCTGCACCGGACGTGGCTAACTAGTTTAGTCAATTCATCCACAGCTCATCAATTCGCACAGTGCTGCTTATCTGTGACCGCCAAGTATCCCTATCTTCACTCTATCTGTCATTATTTCATTCTGTTATCTCATTGTCACCTTGCGCGTCCATTGGTGAAGGCCGGCTGGTTAACCTGAGTTTCATAGAAATTCATATCGTAGAACCCCACATCTAATTTCTCTGACATTATGTTCCTATTAACTTAGTTTCAACAATTCACCTACTAGGTCAGAAGAGAATTGGATGGCACTAATCTTTCGTTCATTAAGTATTCATACAGCCGGTGAAGCTCCGTTTGTCATTCCAAGGGGCGGAAATTCAAATGGAGGCCCAGATATGTTAATCTTATATCGCTATGCCGATGCAAATGAGAGGAATGTATATGCGTAATGGAACTAAACAAGGATTTACAGAAATATGAGCAAGAAACGTTGCCACCTGGGCGAGAAATACATTAATCGATTTCTCACCAATTGATATGGCTACGATGCACAAGTGCCCTTAAAGGGGTACATGATGCAAGAAGAGAGCCTGATACAGTCGCAGTTAGATGGTATGTATAGGTTTGTCATCGACAGATGAATCACTGATGGCATGACTGTAAGCACCATGCTCTACAACACCCCATTTAGTTTCACCTTTAATCGGCAATTGATGATTATAGTATTAATCGGGTCCGTGGGCGCCGCACACTCTAATTTCTCCGCACTTTGGTTCTTGGCTGCATTCTGGACCCTTTTTCGGGACCGCTTCGGGACCACATCTGCAAAGAAGAACAAGAGGGTCGTGCTTGGCAGTATCTTGGCAATGCTGCCAAGGGGACTATTGACTTGATATTACTGTTGGAATAAAAGATTTCAATTCACCAAATAGCTAACGTGATAAATGTATCAGTAGCCGATGGTGAGTATATGCATAGCAGTCAATTGCCGCCTCTGTTCTATAAGATGCGTTATTATGGCACACAATGACTAGTCTACTCCTGGCAAGATCGAGTCTCCTGATAAATTTACCTGGACTTTGTGAAGATGAGGTACCTCTCAGTATTGTCAATATTATCCCTAATCCAACATGCAACCTCTACACCCTCACTTTTACACTCACGGCAAACGGTCCAGCAGAGACCAGCAATGCCAAAGCCCCAACAAACACCTTTCAGATAAATAGTCTCCCTTGATGGACTTTGAAAATTCGCTCTCGGATCCAGCGGTAATGAGACGGTCGCACTCTGGACAGCCCCATTAGCCACCAATCTCGAGTGCCCCGTTCCAGCCTCTTACAACGACATCTTTGTCAATCGTCAGATTCATGACCATGTCGGATGAGTTTACTACCAGCGCGAGGCTTTTGTTCCCAGTGGATAATCACACCAGCAATATCTCGTGCGCGTTGAGGCCGCCACGCACCATGGTCGTATTTATATCAACGATCATCTAGTCGCCGAGCATGTGGGTGGCTACACGCCTTTCGAAGCAGACATCACGGGTCTCGTCTCTGCGGGTGATAGCTTCCGTTTGACTATCGCCGTAAGTAACGTGCTGACTCACGAGACTATCCCTCCCGGTAGGATCGAGGTGGAGGAGTATACAGGTAAAATAACACAGGTCTATTCAGCATGATTTCTTCACTTATGCTGGACTTGCACGCTCCGTCTCGCTGACTCTGTTCCGAAACAGCACATCCAGGACATCAGAGTTGTCACTAACGTGGATGGCACAACCGGGCTGATCGATTACCTTGTCACGGTATCAAACTTAACGACAGAGCGCATCAAGATCAACGTGGTCGATGAGGATGGAAGGACTGTTACCGAGGCATCAGGTACTCGTGGTATCGTTACCATAGATTCTGCCGGAGTGTGGCATCCGGGAGAAGCATATCTTTACCAATTTCAAGTGAGCATAGTGGGCTCGGACGACATTATAATTGACACTTATAGTGTTGCGACGGGTGTACGCACAGTCAAAGTCAGCGGGAACCAATTTCTCATCAACGACAAGCCATTCTACTTCACTGGCTTTGGGAAACACGAAGACAGTAACGTGCGCGGCAAAGGTTACGACCCAGCGTACATGGTCCACGATTTTCAGCTGATGAACTGGATGGGAGCAAACTCATTTCCCACCTCACACTACCCCTACGCCGAAGAGGTGATGGAATTCGCGGACCGGCACGGAATTGTTGTCATTGACGAGACACCCGCCGTTGGCCTGTCATACTCCATTGGGGCTGGGCAGTCCAGCGAGGACAGTCAGCAGACAATCACCCCGGAAGGAATCAACAATAAGACGCGCGAAGCTCACAAGCAAGCAATCCGGGAGCTCATTGCTCGGGACAAAAACCACGCCAGCGTTGTCATGTGGTCGATTGCAAATGAGCCTGCATCGCATGAGGCAGGAGCCCGTGACTATTTCGCGCCACTGATTGACCTGGCTCACCAGCTTGACTCCACCCGTCCCGTCTGTTCTACAAATTACGGAGATGCTACCTATGAGCCTGATCGAATCTCGGATATGTTTGATGTTCTCTGCCTTAACCGCTATTTCGGGTGGTATACCCAAACTGGCGAGATTGAGGAGGCAGAGGCGGCTCTCGAAAAGGAGCTACTGGGCTGGGAGGGCAAATACGACAAGCCCATCGTCAGAATACGGGGCGGATACTATTGCTGGCCTCCATTCTGTGCTTGGGCTTCCGTGGAGCGAGGAACTCCAGGTCGAACTGCTCGACATGTATCATCGGGTGTTTGACCCTGTGGAGTCAGTGGTGGGAGAGCAAGTCTGGAACTTTGCTGACTTTCAGGCGGCTGTAGGGGTCAGCAGGGTGGATGGTAACAAGAAGGGTATCTTTACGAGGGATAGGAAACCAAAGGCTGCAGCCCAGACTTTGAGAAACCGATGGAGGCATATGTAGGTAGCCTAAATTGGGGCCCCAGGGGCAGGAACGCCAGTCTTTGCTTTTTATTAGGGTACTTGGAATGCGCGGCTGCCAGGCCAAGCGTCTTCGCCAAACCTCCTTCCCTCTCACGGCACGGGCCGATGCCAATAGCTTTGGCAATTCCGGCGTTATTACCACATGGCACGATGCCAGTCACAAAAAAGGAGCTGGACCCACATTTGCAGGCCATTTGCGTTGAATTTTCTGTTGTTTTGCCGACCGGCTCCTCGGCCAGTAAGTAGTCTAGTCTTAGAAGATTGAGCCGGACATCCATCTAATTGGGTCCCATTATGTTTCTCCTGCCCCTTTCTTGATGTTCCTCCTTTATGTCTCCACCCTTAACACAGGCAGATCCAACCAGTGGTCAGCATCGCGATCAGAGCCCAAAATAGCCATGACGTTGTGTAAATCTATGATCGATCTATTTCCCCACATGCTGCCGTTGAAGGTTTTAAGAAGTGCTGCCTACATATTGAGTCCTCTGGACTCTTGTGGCCATCTGTCTGCAGAAGACTATCCCACCACACCTTTTCTTCGGTTATTTGATTTTCTTGACTCTTTTTGTCGTAGCCGCTCATTCATTGAATTTGTTTTGCTACCACTGCATTTTCCTCTTCCCTAGAGGCTGTCACGTTCCTTTCATATTTATTCTTCACGATAGTCTCCGTTTCATGGCTGTCAATGCAGAACAAGATCACTGTCCTCGACAGTACCAACACCTAGAAGATGACCACAACCTCTCCAATCATGTTGACGTGGGAAAAGGCACTTCTACTGAAACAGCGGAGGATGTCTTTCCCACTGATCATCAGAGCAAACAAAGGGTAGCAGTTGTGATGACATCCCTGAGTGTACGCATATCCATATAATCACCGTCTCTGTCTCGTACACTGCCTAATCTTCGTGCGTAGTTATGTGTTTTCCTAGCAGCTCTAGACATCGTAGGTCAACAAAACCGATCATACTTGGCAAAATCCTTACGCTTCCACAGACCATTGTCTCCACAGCTCTTCCAGAGATGGTCGCCCATTTCAAAGCTTCCGACAGCGCCTACACCTGGATCGCCTCGTCGTATCTGCTAGCCAATGCCTCCTGTGTGCCGCTGTGGGGTCGTATCAGCGATATCTGGGGCCGCAAACCGATCCTTATGACAGTTGTCGCACTGTTCCTGGGCGGCAGCCTGATTTGCGGCGTAGCAATCAATGTCAAAATGGTCATCGCGGGCCGCGCTATCCAAGGCGTAGGCAGCGGCGGCATCACCGTGCTAGCTAACATCTGCGTGTCAGATATGTTCAACGTACGTCGCCGATCAGCGTATCTAGGAATTTTCGGCGCAACCTGGGCGATTGCTGGTGCCATCGGACCCATCATCGGTGGCGCATTCACGACTTACTCAACCTGGCGATGGTGCTTCTATATCAACCGTTCGTCCTATCCCCCACTCCTCCTGATGCCAGTCTTCTAAATCCCATCTTCAGTACCCATCGGCGGCCTTGCCTTCTTTGGCCTTCTCCTTTTCCTACAACTACACACCGCGTCTCTCACCCCTCTCAAAGCCGGCCTTCTCTCCCTCGACTGGATCGGACTGTGCCTCATCGTCGGCGCGACACTCATGCTCCTCTTCGGCCTCGAGCTAGGCGGCTCAGTCTATCCATGGTCTTCCCCCACGATCATCTGTCTCCTTATCTTCGGGGTCCTCACTGCGGGCCTCTTCCTCGTCTACGAAGCCCGAGTCGCTCGGATCCCCATTATCCCCACAACGCTCTTTTCCAACCGGTACAACCTCACTATCCTACTGATCAACTTCTGCCACTCCACCGTCTTCCTGGGCTCCTGCTTCTACCTCCCCGTCTACTTCCAGAACATCCTCCTCGCCAGCTCCCTACTAAGCGGCGTCTACCTCCTCCCACTGGTAGGAGCCCTCGCCATCTCATCCGGCCTGGCCGGCTTCGTCATGCGCACCACCGGCCGCTCTCGCGAAGCCATCATCCTAGGCATGTTCCTCGCCACCTTAGGCTATGGCCTATTCATCGACCTCCCCGCCACCAAGTCCTGGCCGCGGATTATTCTCTTTCAGATCGTCGCCGGTCTCGGCATCGGTCCTAACTTCCAAGCTACATTAATCGCCCTACAGGCCAATACCACGCCTGCCGAGCTGAGTCGCGGGACTGGAACATTTTCATTCGTGCGCCAGCTAGCAGCCGCGATATCTGTCGTTGTCGGATCAGTATTATATGCGCGCGCCGTAAGCGGGCAACGCGGAGAGATGGCCGCGGTGCTGGGGGATAAGGTCGCACAGGAGATCGTAGAGGCTTCGACGGCTGCTGCTGCGATTGTGGAGACACTACCTGTTGGCGAGGATCGGACGGTGGTGTTCCATGCGTTGACGGCTGCTTTGCGATGGGTGTGGGTGTTTTATACTGCTGTCGCCGGGGTTGGGTTTCTTCTTAGTTTGTGTTTGCGTGATATTCGGTTGGGCGATGCGCATCAAAAGGCTACTGGTCAGGAGATTGAGGAACGAGAGATGAAGAGAGGAGGTACATAGGGTACACATCACTTCTAATCTTTAATAGTCATATGGCTATAGTTAGTGCGCATTGCATTTCCATTATTCCACTGAGTGTGCTAGATAAAAATTGCAGTATCTAGCACATAAAATGATAATATAGACCAGGTGAGCTTAACAATACTATGCACTTCGCGTGTGTCATTCTTGCCATCCCTCCCAATATATCCAAGATAATCGGACACAATCAACACCAAAGATATTTTACACGTCCCAAGCATACATTAAAGAAAATAGATACATCACTTAGTAGAAGGATTCGGCATCCCCTCCGTATGCGGCCACTTCCGAAACAAATCCGCCAGATGATCAATGGGAGCCGTCAACAATCCAATCGCCGTCTCAAAAGGCGGCTTATCAGGCGCACTAGGATGAGACCGCGACGGCACAAACATCTTCGTCCTTCCAAAGGACTTGGCAAGCTTCTCGCTTTCCTCTACCGACACGGCGTCCTCCAACTTCGGGAGATCCTGGCTCTCTTCTTCCTTGATGTGCTCAGAGAGGTCCTTCATCAGAGCTCGGACAGTAGACTCAAATGCCGGGTCCGTGGGCTTCATGTTTTGGAATTTCTTCAGTTGTTCTTTGACCTACAGACACTAAGATCAATAGCTGTTGGGTGAAACGCTTGATGGATGACTCACAGATTGATGCTCTTTGCGGTCCTTATCTGCCATAGCCAGGCCGTCAGGAAGAGACTTCTCGAACTGGGGATAGACGACCAGCTCCTCAGCGATTGAATGACGAGCCAGTTCCCAGGTAAATTGGTTCTGCCATTTGGTTTTCTCGGTCTCGGTAGCAGAGCTTAGGATCTTGTTGTAGTAGTCTTCAATCTCGCGGTGGTCGGTCTTGATTGCCTCGGATATACGGGATGCCATGATGATGGGTGATTGGGATATGAAGCGGTGTTGTTTCTGAATAGATGGTAAGGGCTTGAGAATAGGGCGAGAGGGGTTGACAAAATGGCGGATAGTCATTATTAAGGGCTAGAAAGGAGTACTGGTTGCACTATGTAATTATCGATGGTCCTTCTAGCCTTCTTTAAACTGTGTATTAACTAGACGTCATTATGAATTACTGTGTAACGTGTCCCTTGCTATCAATACTAAATACGATCGTGGTTCATACTTAAGGTTTGGGCGGCATCATCATCACGACAGCTGCGGTTGCCGAGTGATGACCAGGCGGCGCTTTTACTAATAACCCGTGCGGGAAGCCAAGGTTGGTAATTCTTGTTCCTGACCAATAAACTCTTAGACATTTATAAGTGTGAAGAATAGTCTGGATAATGACGAGAGTATTGAATAATAGCGTCGAATGATTCAAGATAAGATAATTAGAATAAGAGATGACATCACAGAAACAATTGATCTAAGAAAGAAATCAAAGTCTGTCATTACCAGGTTGTTCCAGATGGTATCGGTATAACCATATTTACAGTATAACCCTAATATATCCTAACTAAATGAAGCCTCTAATTAACGAGTGCTGTGGAGATGGGGAGGGGGTGGATGCCTGATTCTCCGGCTGTATGCGGTATCCCGCAGTTTATTAACACTTTAATGCACTGCGACTATAGACTAAGGTAGCTAGCTACAATCAGTCCCCATGTAAGAACAACAAGACTGCCGTAGGCAACTTGAAACGTCATTCATGGTTTCATAAGAGTCTCGGCATATAAACCGTCTTGGCCATCTCGGCATAGTCAGACCCACCAGTAAGCACACAACTTAAAATTAAGCACTAATAATAGCACTTAAAGACATGGCTTTGTAACTTATCCTCGTATCGAGTTCTATCAGCGCAGAGTCGCCGAATTTTGTTTGCAAAGATATGGTTCAACCTCCTTTCATAAGACGCGAGTCAGGAGAGTTTCGGTGTGTCTCTAATTCAGCCCCACATACCTCCTATCATGGAATAAGCTCTGCTGCATTCAGGCCTACATTGGGTCTGGATCGGGTTGATCCGTACGTAGATGGGGAACTGTTGATCTGATGTTATGAATGCGGGCGATTTGATTAGATGAGGTGTGTATTGCTCTAGTCTACAATGGTTTGTAAAACTGTGGGGGTCAGGATATGAAACAAGTGAAGAGCACTACTGAAACAGAGCTTGGGCCATTGCATCGTTCCTATGGCAGTAGTAAGTGATGTCGACCGGGATAACCTCCTGAATTTTACCAGCACAGCTAAGGGAGATGATTTTGCGTGGATGTCATTACTGGCAGAATGAGAAGTAGGCCATCAATCCAACTTGCCTAGCAAACCCCTTCGCAAAAAGCACAGGCAATGTCCAATTGATATGGGTTATCGAGTGGTAATTGGAGCCTTTACACGCCATATAGAGAACCATACTTACTGTTTCAAAGCCGACGCCCAGTCTGATCAGCACGCGAGTCATGCTGCTGCTGATGAGATGAACCGTTTCCTGCTTGTAAATCCCCCAGTAGGTAGGGTTTCGATGTGCTGCTGATTCGATCCTTTACCTTCCTTTCTTGAGCCGCGCTTTAGCTCTTACAAATGCGTATAAGGCCCTTCTGCTCCCTGCTTCTTGAGTTTCGAGCCGATTTACAAATCGAGCTCCCCGTTGTCTGCTGGTCAGAATGGAATACACCCTACCTTTGGTTGGCCACAGCCTAGCAATTTTCATCGTCTCGTCTGTCACGGTTGGCTTAGCGATAATTGCTGTGGCGTTGCGATGCTTTGTGCGGTTATACATCCTGCGCGCGTTTGGGTGGGATGACGCGCTTATGGTAGCAGCGCTGGTAATTTTCTTCGTCCTATCCTTAGTAGATGCTTGATATCGAAGACTGACTAATTGTAGGCGCTGTTCATATCATTGAGCGTGCTGTGTATGATAGGGACGGAAGCCGGGGTCGGCCATGCGCTCGCGGATTTCGAGTCGATTAGTCTAAAGAGTATGAATCCCTCGGATAGTCTGCACGCAGTGCAGTATGCGATGATAGTACGTTCCACCAAGCCGCTCTGCCCATCATGACCTGCCTCTAACACCTATCAGTACTGGTGGCTTGGACAAATGCTCTACCTGTGGGCGTCGGCCGTCGCTAAAGTAGCCATTGCCCTTGCCCTCCTTCGACTGGCCGTCCGTCCACTGCACCGTTACATCCTCTGGAGTGTGATAGGCACTGTGGTATGCATCGGACTCGTCTTCTGGCTTATTCTGCTGCTCGATTGCCTACCAATCGGGTACTTTTGGGGGCAGATCAACCCTCTCGAGTCGGGCAACTGCTTATCAACCGATATCCTTCTCATCATCGCATACACCTATAGTTCGCTCACCATGGTCTGTGACTTTACGCTTGGGATCTTCCCGGCAGCGTTAATCTGGGGGCTGCACATGTCGCCGCGAACAAAGGTAGCATTAGGTGCGATTCTCGGGCTGGGAGCAATGTATGTGACTTTCCACATCCCTGAACAAGGACACGCTAACCAACCTTATAGTGCAAGCGTGGCCGTAGTCATCCGCCTCCCATACCTGAAACACTACGCCGACGCGGACTTCCTCTGTAAGCTTCTCCACAACCTCATCACAAGTAGGGTTATCTGACAATGCAGACTCGACTTACCAAATCGCCATCTGGTCCGTCATGGAGACTGGCCTCGCCATCATCGCGGGCAGCCTCATTACCCTCCGCCCGCTCTTCCGCTGGTTCCTCGACGGCAGCTCGTCATATCGCTTGGACAGGCCACATTGCGTGCGGCGGGGGGCCTGCATTGCGGGGGGTTATGGATTGTCAAGCTCCACGCCGAAGAAATCGGTCACCAAGGACGAGGTGAACTGCTGGCGACCGGATCTTTTGTCTGTAGATAACTCGCACGCGCACGGGGTTATCACGTCTGTGTCGACGCCACTAGGGAGTAAATACTTGAACGGTAGTCGAGAGAACTTGACGGGCGGTTGGCACGGCGGAGTGCAGCATAAGCATCGGGTTAGCGTTCATCGTACATTTACCGTGGAGGATGTGTAGAATACAAGAAATAAGAAAAATGGTATTGAAATGGATCAGCAACGCAAGTGCTTGAATGGGAAGTGCATTATAGCATTTGTTTAACGTGAAAATCTCCTCTTCATTGTTCGTGGAGATGTGTGCCATCAGAACAGGCCATCACCGTCTCTTGCGCGCACGTTCACAACATATGCCTGTTGGTATAGTGATCTTATCTCGAGAAGGGAATCCGATTGTGGAAATGAAATATCCCATAGATATGGGAGCGGATGAAGAGGTTTTGTTATCAGAACGTGCAGTGCCGCAGCGACTAACAGTATCATGGATGCAGTGGGTGCTGTTTGCATGAGCCAAGAATGAGCGCTGCTTTATTGTTGGGCGACGGGGGTGACTTTAGGATAAGTGCATAAGGGTTGGGATAACCATGCTTACCCCGCTCATGTCCACTTGAATTAATGAGATGGATCAGATGTTGCTGGCTGTGGTACTGTCTTCCTTGGCAGCATGCACGGCCACGTACTGACATGAGATTGGTAGATATACCGAGACAACAATCTGGAAGTCCATAGGAAGTACTCCGTACAGAGTTACAACATGTTAGCATCCTGTGTTCTACCTAGGTCCAATTACCTCTATCTTCCCTACCTTCCCCTGTAGCGCTCGATAGTGACCAGTAGTGAATCTTCTAAGTGCTTCCATTTTACCATATACTCAGCAGTATTTTGAGATAACATAGTATACATAGAACATAATACTGTATTTAGCTATCACTGCTCTTCAAGTACAAATCATAATTCTTAGTCCACAGGCTGCGTGCAGCACTCTATTTCTTACAAATTGGGAAAATGATAACCCTATGATCTTTAAAGGGCTGAGGGATCGACAGCTAATAAGAAGTCAGCCGGTACCCGTTTACTGTACGTACTAGTTTCTAGGTTGCCTATCAGCTCGGAAATGTCTCCTAGAATGGAAGGAACGGGAAGGGGCTAGTAAAGAGAGGTAGAATAAGAAAAGAAAAGGCCTTATGTTAGCTTTTACTAAAAGGAAGGTTAAGATGAAGCTTGTATTTCAGCTTAAGGAGAAGAGGAGTTAACATCAGGCATCTTAATAGTAGGTGACGCATAGCGCTGGCCATCATGCTGCAGCCACTGCAGTAATGAAGGCCACAAAGTTTTATAACGTCCAATTAGATCAATCACCGAGTAAAACTGTATATATCTCCACTTATGTGATGTTGAAAGGCTTCAATTTTGGTTGATTAATTATCAATACACGCAATTTGTTATGGCAGCGGTCCGACCGCAGCCTTCGTTGTCTGATCACGTTAGATCAAAGGAGGAGAAAGTCCTTCTAAGCAAATAAAATTGCTAACTACCCCTCCATGTTTACCACAGCCATAACTTGTTAAAAAGGTCTGTGGCCTATAAAGGGACCATCAACCTAGGTATACTTTTTCTTTTCCTTTCAGTTGTTTTGATGATGGGTTGTTTACTTTTACATCTCTGAAGCATCTCTCTGCATAAAACTCTGGTCATACAAATGAGGTACGCCGTCAGCATACGTGACCTTATCTTCTCAAGACATCAAGAACCTACGAAAGAGCCATGCTCATTGTGTCAGTCTAAGGTGGGAAACTTGGAGCTAAGATACTATACCAACAATGGAGAGATGATTCGAGGCATGACAGTGCATGATTTATTTCATACTGAGTGCTCAGAATGCTCGAACATCCAAACAGATCCCCTTTGTCAGTTCTGTGCACATATGAGGCTAGGACACCTTGCACGATGTATCCTCGTCTCTAAATATGACGCAGAATTACCAATATGGGGACGGTATGGAGCCAATACGAATTTATTAAGTTTCGCATTTGATTTGGGAACTCTAAATGATGTTCAAAAACGATCTACATCTTGTCAGACCTGCGGAACATTTGCCAGCCATGCAACGTCAATAGCGAACCAGAATCGACTTTCATCGCAGACAATGATCAGACTAGATGTGGAATTTATTCCTGGGGTAATCAGAGGTATCAAATATGAATTGGTGATCGAGCTGTCACTCAAGTCACTTGAATTTTCCACTGTGGCTCCCATCCATCGTACGATAGCCCCCTCCACCCTCTTCATTTTATGTGTCTCCCTGAACTCCTAATAATATACCCGTATTGAATCAAAGAGGCTAACGAGATTTGTCTTGCAGGGAAGGCAACTTTCATCGGGGCTGCGGGTGCACTGTCGGGAAAAAAATTGATATCTCTGCAAAGGCCACAGCCGCAAGTAAACTGGAACAAAGTTTTCACTTGGCTTCAGAACTGCGCAGATAGCGCCGGTCATGAGGTACCCCATCATCATGAAACATATGGCTTACCAGTGAGAGAATTTCGCGTCATTGACACCGAGAAAAGATGTGTCATATTGGCCCCTCAAGACTGCAAATATGCTACTCTAAGCTATGTTTGGGGAAGAGGAGGTGACGTCCTACAAGCAAAGCTGGGTAATATTGACGACCTAGGCAAGGAAGGGTCTCTTGCAGATGTTAGCTGCTTGCCAGCAACAATCAAGAATGCAATAGAGGCATGTTCAAGCCTAGGAATATCATTTCTCTGGGTTGATCGACTTTGCATATTACAAGACGATGAGCCATGCAAGAAGGCAATACAGCTGAATGCCATGGGCAAGATATACAATCAGTCATATCTAACCCTAGTTGCCATGGCAGGAAGTGATGCACATTACGGTCTTCCCGGAACAAATGCAAAGAGGCGATCCCCACTGTGGACAGGTCAAACACAGGGAATATACCTGCTTAAAGACATTGACGCGTACGATAAGATTTGTCGATTCTCAAAATGGCAAACTCGAGGATGGACATTCCAAGAAGCAAACCTTTCACCAAGATTACTAGTATTCACTGACCAAGGGGTATTTTATCATTGCCATGGGAAGACCGCACTCGAGGATGAGGACTGTCCATGTCATTACTCTATAATTTCAGATGTCCAAATACCGTGGTCTGAATATCCGAATTTGTTAGGCGAATTCACAAGCAGGGATCTTACTTGCAAGTCTGATATTCTCTTCGCATTCTCAGGGATCTTGCACTTCCTTTATGGACAAAACCATCATTATGGCCTGCCGTTTAGTGACTTTAGTCGGGCTCTTCTTTGGAAGACCAATGATGGAACTTATCCTATGAGATATCAAAACATACAAGGAATGTTTCCATCATGGTCATGGTCGTCCGTTGATAATGAGATACGCTTCTGCCACAAATCCCACATATGGAAGAAAATCTCTGCATCGCTAGCACAAATTGCTATCCCGTCCTCCCAGGATGGGCACATATCATGGAAAGTTCTTCAAAATACATCAACAGAGCCCCACGAGCTAGATCCTTTTCAGCGTGACAAAACGAATATTCGGGCTCGTCTTGCTGTATTAATAGCCTGGAAGGGAGGTTGCTTCCCAGGTAAGCTCCCGAAAGCTCTTGATGCTAAGGTTACTTGGGAAGAATATGATAATATCATTCGGAGAAGATGGTCATCGCTTGCCCAGATGGGTGATGAAGCATACTGCATGCAAGGAGGCCTCCTCGCTGTGAGCGACCAAGAGGCAAGGTTTCCACTTAAAGCCCAGCATGCTTGTCTAGATGGATGCATCCTTGTTCATACCCAGTCGCTTAGGCTTCGGATGAAAGGCCCTGAAGACTCCATGGACTATGTCAAGCTTCTCGATCAAGGTGGCAACATGGTTGGGTGGTTAGAACCTACTTCTATTAACTGGGGACGCCTTCGTCATATTCCTGATTGGAATAATGGAGCTAAATTCGATGTCCTGGCTTTGTCCTTGCCGTACGAAGGAAAATATACTGTTTCGTACTCCGAATCTCATCCTGCAAAAAGCTATGGTCTCGACGTCGCGGACTGGCGTGACTCGGAACAAAAAACCATCTTTACAGACGACCACACTAGTCACTACTATGTCCGACTTGCCACTGTGAACTTGATGGTTGTTGAGTCAGAAAGCGGCATCAGGAAGCGCGTTGCACTTGCAGAGGCTGCTCTGAAAATCTGGATACAAGCAAAACCCCAGTTTCACACCTTTGTTCTTGGATAGAGATTCTGTGAATAATAAATTGGTATAGCATATCGGCTTCTATCACGTGTTTCACAACTCACCTCTTCATCAGTAAACCAGAGCCTGGACCAATGTCTTATGAAATTAGAAAACTTTGTGTTTTGATTAATTAAAGGTGAAAAAGCAAGAAAGCCACAGGGTAAAACACCTATTCACTATGAGCCAGTTCAAAACAATAAGAAGCAGGGAATTTCTGTCTTCAACATCATGTGGTTCTTACTATCACATGTCGTTTCTATAATTCTCTAGGTATGGATAAGTCAAGACAGGGGGAATATGCACAACAGAAATGAAAAAAAGACCAACTTCATCAGACATATTTTTCTGCTTATTACTATGAGTAGGTAGCCATCTCCTGCTCGCCCTTCTTCGCGAACTGCATCTAGGCAAAACAAAAACATACAACAGAAGGGATTCGCTGGTGGTCACCCACCCAACTACTAACCTCCCGGCGTGTGGCTTAAGTACGGCTGAGCGGACGGGAAGCCCTGTTTTCCACACCCTGTGGTCGTATGTACTTGCTATTTCACTGAAAAGGTTTATATCATGCAATGCGATGCTACACAATAAGAGCAACAATGAGAAGTTACAACTACCACTCACTGTATTTTGTTTGCGTGAGGAGTGAAGCCCCATCGGTCGAGGAAGGGATGCGGAAATCTGGCACGGATGCTAGCATAGCAGTACCTCAAAAACCCTGATCTTACACGAACATAAGCGGGTATCAAACTGCGTATGTTAAATCCCGAGCAACTCCACCCGGACGGACAACTGAATCGGGGGCGTAGGGTAACCTAGGAAGTCTACTATTTAAATACCGGGGGAAATGAACGAAAATGAACGGGGAACGACCGTTGATGATTAACAACTGCTGGTATAATCGAGTGAAATTACTACTGAACATTCAAATAGGTAAGCGTATAGGTACGTTCAGGCACCAGAGGCTAGACGGATGTTAATGATGGCCTCCGTATTCTGTGATCATATAATGTAATTCTTCTTCCGATTTTATATATACTGGGGTTTTATACAAATGTAAAGGCTGATTGCATTAAGGTTTTGATGATGTCCTCGAGTTAGCAAGTATCTATCACCCCGGGAAGGGGAGGCCCGATACATGCATCAATCATGGAAAGTGCCATCCCTTCACAGATAAGAGACGGCATGCAAAACCACAGGGTAACTTTCTCTAATACGAGGTAGAATTCCCCCCCTCCAGCTAAGCCGCATGGTCTTACAAAAGTTCCTAGCAGCGGAAACGATCTACAATCGCGGCACCTTACCATACACAGTAGCTTGTTTCCGAGACTTATGCGTACATGCCGACGGCATCAACCCTATTTGCCAAAACGTATATCGTACAGTCAATCGGCCCGTCCGGGGGACCCATCATCGTCCTAGGTGCATCATACACGGCACGCATCTGCAGCTAAAATATTATCAGTCCGCCGATCGCGACTATACCCCTCAGTCGTTTGAGATAAGTTGCCTATGCTTATGCCCAGTCCCAATCCCAATTCGAACTCTCTGAGCTATGATTTCCGACTTCTTCTATATAGACAACGAGCTTTGAATTGGTTATAATGATGGTATCATCCAACGAATTTCGCCTCGGAGTCGACGTAGGCGGTACGTTTACTGACGTGTGCGTCTTCACTCCGAATGGGGAGACAGTCCGCGCCAAAGTCCCCACCACGCCTAACCAAACGATCGGGATCAGAGAGGGGATCGCGAAGGTGCGACGGATTTTGAAGGGACGATATGATTGGAATGGGACATTCAGGTTCATTCATCATGGTACCACGACGGCGACGAATGCCGTTTTGGAAGGCAAAGGGGCGCGGACTGCCTTGGTGGTCACAGCAGGACATAAAGATATTCTAGCTGTGAGGCGGTCGCAAATCCCTGGGGGTCTTGGAGCTTGGCTTTACTATACCCCTCCTGAGCCGCCGGTGCCGCTGGAAAGGGTGGTTCAGTGTGTGGAGAGGATGTCGGTTGGTGGGGAGACGGTGGTGGAGGTTGATGAAGAGAGGCTGAGAGGGGATTTGCTGGAGTTGGTGGAGAGAGAGATGCCGGAGGCGGTGGCGGTTTCGTTGCTGAGTTCGTATAGGAATCCTGCCCATGAAGAGGCTGTTGCGAAAATAATTCGAGAGGTATGTGGTCCGGGAGTGGCGGTCAATTGCTCGAGTGAAGTGTTGCGGGAGGTGGGCGAGTATGAGCGAACGGTCACGACCTGTACAAATGCTTTGGTAAAGCCGGTGATGCAGAATTACTTGCGCGAGCTGTCCGAGCAGTTGGCGTCGGAGACAGAGGCGATTCGGGTGTTGAAGAGTGATGGTGGCTTGACGAGTGTCGGCCTCGCCGGGGAGTTCCCCGTGAATATCTTGATGTCTGGGCCGGCTGGAGGAGCCAAAGGCGTGGCTGATGCGGTCGCTCGAAGCACCCCTTACAAAAACCTTATCACTCTCGACATGGGAGGGACTTCAACGGACTGTGCGCTCATTTTGGAGGGGAAGCCGCGTATCCGTCGGGATACTGTGGTCGATACCCTAACGGTTCGTGCACCGGCCGTGGATATTCATACCGTTGGGGCTGGAGGCGGCTCAATCGCAACATATATGGAGGTCACCGAGACCTTGCGGGTTGGACCAGAGAGTTCTGGGGCAGCGCCAGGTCCAGCCTCTTATGGAAAGGGAGGGACAGAAGCGACGGTGACCGATGCAAATCTTGTTCTGGGATACTTACCCCATACCCTACTGGGTGGTGAATTTTGCTTGGATACAGAGGCAGCAAAGACCGCGGTTCAGAAACTTGCCACTGCAATGGGACTACCTCTGAGACAGACGGCAGAGGACATAATCAACATTGTCAATGAAACAATGTATGGTGCTGTTCGATTGGTCTCTGTCGAACAGGGATATGATCCAAGAGACTTTGCACTCGTTGCGTTTGGCGGTGCTGGGCCACTGCATGCCAATGCAGTAGGAAAGCTTCTAGGTGCATGGCCAGTCATCGTACCTCCATCTCCAGGCATCCTGTGTGCACAGGGCGATCTGACAACCAAGTTGAGTCATGAGCAGTCCGTCACCTTTACTCGGATGGTGAGCGATACCTCGTCGGAGGAACTGCGACATCAGGTGGAAGAACTGGAAAAGCACTGCGAACAGATAATGCGAGACTCTTGTGGTTCAGACTGGCCTATGCCATTGGTTGCCACGTACGAGGTTGATGTCAGATACAAAGGGCAGGCCCTGACCATCACAATCAATCTCTCGCACGACGAAATCCAACTGAACGACCAGGCTTGGCGCCGTGTGCTACAAGACGCTTTCAACAAAAAGCATCAGCAGCAGTTTGGCTACTGTCTTCCTGGCTTTGAACTCGAGCTGATGCGTATCGGCGTAATTTTCGAGGATGGTTCATCAGATGTGGAGCTGACAGTAGTCCCTAAAGCAGAATCTAGCGAGCCTCCGTCCTCGGCCGTCATTGGCACCCAGGTTATTATTATCGAGGGCCGAGAACAGCTAGCGACAGTGTGGGAGCGAGAGAAAATCACTCTCGAAGGTATCCGGGTTACAGGACCCTGCATCATCACGGAAATGGACAGCAACACACTGATTCTTCCCGGCTATTCAGGTGAGATCGATCGCCTGGGTAATATTCTCATCCTGCCAATTGCGGAGCAACCACCTCCAACGACGCAACATACCTCGGAATCAGCAGCGGAATTGATGCGCAGTAATCCGCTCATCGCGACTCTGATATCCTCTTCACTGGCATGCATCCGTGGCGAAATGGACAAATTGATGCTCCGCTGCAGCATGTCCCCTGCAATCCGCGAGCAGCAAGACGAATTCAATGTCATCACAACTGCAGAGGGCAAGATGCTCGTGGGCCAATTCGGCAGCTTCATCAAAGAGTTCCTTGGGGTGTGGACGGGAAGTATCGAAGAAGGCGATGTTTTCATTACCAATGACACATACATGGTCAAGGGGGCTGTCAGCCACTTGAACGATGTGATTATCATCCTTCCCATCTTCCATGAACATCGGTTGATTGGCTGGGCTTCTCAATTCGGACACTTGACCGATGTTGGCGGCATGGTTCCGGGCAGCATGTCCATCAAAGCCACCTCCATCTATGATGATGGAGTCCAGATTCCATGCATCAAGCTCTACTCCCAAGGGGTGATGAACAGCGACCTGGTTGATCTGCTATGTCGAAACTCCCGCCAACCGGCGTGGTATCGATCGGATCTGACCGCTCTGGTGACAGCATGTCGCATGGCAGCAACGCGCATCTCCGAGCTGGCCACCCGCTTCGGAACCGAGGTGTATCTAGCTGCATGTCAGGAGCTTCTAGATCGGAATCAAACTGGTCTAGCCAAGATTGTTGGGCGTCAATTCGACGATAAACTCAGCACATTTACCGACTTCGTCGACGACGACGGCCACGGCGTCGGACCCTGGGCCGTAACATGTTCGATGCAGAAAACTAGCGCTGGGGGGTTAATGTTCGATTGGAGTGGTACTTCTCCGCAGAGTGAGCACAGCATCAACTTTTTTCTCTCAGAAACCATGTTTAAGATGCTGGTGGGATACTACCTCATTGCCGCTGCCGCGCCGGGAACAGTCATCAACGACGGATTCCACGACCTCATTGAAGTGCATATCCCCGAAGGCACCGTTCTAAAGCCAATCCGGCCCGCCCCAATTTCTTGTCGCACTCACTTCCTAGGCCGGACCATGGACGTGATCCAAGCGCTGATCGGGCAGAAGAACGATGCCTATGTAGCGGCAGCTGGGTTCAGCGACTCGCCCCATTTCTTCTATTCTGGGTACTATCCCACTGGAGAATGGTATCAACTATATCAGATTGGCTTTGGTGGGGTTCCGGCTCGAGCAGCAGGCGATGGACTGGACTGTCATTGCTTGTTCCCCGCTATCAAGTCAATCCCAACGGAGAGCATCGAGCTGAACTACCCCCTTCGTATTGAGGCGAACGAGAGTGTCGCGGACAGCGGTGGCCCGGGATACTTCCGAGGAGGCAATGCACAACGAACCCTGTATCGATTTCTAGCGAGAGGGGAGATCAGTCTGCATGATGATCGGTGGTTCACGAAGCCATGGGGTCTCAAAGGGGGGAAGCCGGGACAACGTTCGCGGAAGATCTTATATCGGTCCTCTCGCAGTGCCGATAGTCCAGTTACGGAGACCCTGCCGTCAAAATGCGACCATGTACGTGTTGATCCGGGGGATTTGTTAGAATGGGTGACGTGGGGAGGTGGTGGGTTGGGTGATCCTCTTACTAGACCCGCTGAGCGAGTTGCAATGGATGTCCGTCGGAAATTGGTGACGGTGGAGGGTGCACGCAACGGGTATGGTGTTTTGCTCGATGATGATGGGATGGTCTGTACTCTGGAAACAGAAGAACTGAGGGCAGATATGCGGAGCCTTTTGACAGATGGCATCATCTATGACCGCGGAGGCAGTCTGGACGAGCTGCAAAAGTCATGTTTACAAGAGACGGGGCAGCAAGCCCCGATTCCACTGTGGGAAGCTGAGCCATATGGACCACACACGGGCCTGGAGTATGTGAAGCAGTGGTATGCCATGAAGCAAGAGGAGAGGGGGTGGGAATTGGAGTAATGCTTCATGGGGGCAGGTGTCACTGCATGACAATTCATCCGAGCTCCTTTATCATCCAGGCATTTGCATACTTGGCCCTCAAATGCCTCATAGAAGTTGTCGTATCACAGATTGTTATTCGATAATAAGATGTAATTTTGACGAGGCCACATAGTCAACATTATCGTAATAGCACAGTGCAGTGGCTTCATTGGTTTAGTTCACCACCATTCAGCTTAGGGATCTCTCTAGTCCGCTGAGACTCCGGTCCCTAGAGATCTCTGCACGGTAGCGATGGGCTGGTTCATGATTCCCGGCGCAAAGCCGAGCGTTCTCAGTAGCGCACATTTTGTTTATACAGTGGGTTCAAAGATAGGTACAGGGTCGGATGGGAGTGAGTGAATGTATTAACCTCACTCTCATACTTCATCGGATCGGAAGCCTGCTCGATAAATTCAAATTGAGGCATGAAGCAGTCATGTTGCTTGTAGCACTTGGTGTGATTCGGCTGCTGTACTGGGTGGGCGACTACTACTACTGCCGCAGGCGGTGTCCCTTTCTGTGCCTGGAACAGCCTGAAAACGCCACAGTTCAACTACCACCTTTGATTTCTTTCTCTACTGTGAGTAGACTATTTTGGGGTTGTTACTAGTATTTTCATTGCAGTTGGGCTTTTCCTTTATTTTAGTTGGGGGTTATCATTCTTTGCCAATGTCAATCTACCAGCACTGTAGTTTCCGACGAACAAGAGCCCTACCCGTTTATATATAACGAGTGGATGTACCGAGGATAAACCACAGTAATCTTAAATATCAGCATATAGACCAGCACTGGACGAATAATAGCTCTCTAGCTAGATAAGCAATCTTTGTATACACCCCATCTCATTCACTAACACTAACCCGCTCTATAGCACCCTCCACACTTCTTCTGAAGTTCATCCTCGTTCCCAACCCACAGACGAGAAGCCGCCAATTTAGTGGAAGCTAACATATGAGAGAGTACAATATAACCCATTGCTTAGTAGAGTCTGGTACATACGACCATAGGGTGTGGAAAACAGGGCTTCCCGTCCGCTCAGCCGTACTTAAGCCACACGCCGGGAGGTTAGTAGTTGGGTGGGTGACCACCAGCGAATCCCTTCTGTTGTATGTTTTTATATCTTTTTTTCCTCTTCAATCTATCTGTTAGTAGCTAGTTGGTATGCTTTCCTTTCTTTTTATTCTTAATTTTAAAGAATTGTAGGTAGTTAGGTTCGTGACACTATTATACGGTACACTGTTAGGAGTGAGATCCATTGGTTGGCCGAATGTGGTACGTACTAAGTTGCCATGAGTCTCAATTCGCGGTGAGTCGGGGTATCTAGTATATACCACTACGAACTACCCGAGAAATACAAAGGGGACCCAATGGAGAAATTATGCCGACAATAATTTCAAATGTAGGGTTTCAAACAGTCAGTATGCTTGGAAGCGATTAGATTAGAATATAAGTGGTACTAGGTCAGGATAGCCTCGACCAACGCCTAGCGAGCTGCAATGCCGCCAAGGTATTTGGACACTGTTAGTCCTTGCTATTAGGTATTTCCCGGAAATCGACCATAGTCACTACCATGGGTATAAGCACTATTGATAAAACATATCCTCCTGTTAAAAGGCATCCGTGTACCGCCATGCACATCAATAAATAGTATAAGGTATTTCAGTAAGACTTGCCCAGCCGAGAGAATATAGAAAATAGTATGAATATAGAAAGATAAGCCCCCTTCCCACAAATCGTATAAAGCGTTAAAGTACCATAACCGCCCAAACTCCAAGCCCCCGTCGTAGGAAACGTCTCAAAAACTCCGAAACCAGACCCTCTATGACCAGCATGAGACTAACCGCATTACTTTTTGCGTTTCCGGATATCCAGAACTCGTGACCCTCACTCCGGAGCGGCATGATACTTCTCGGTAGCTGAGCGGAACAATTCCTGTTGTTGCCGTAGAAGCTCCTCCTCGGACAACCCGCTCTGCTCCATCTTGCTCTGCTTCTTCTCTCGCGACTAGTGTGATAGATTCATGTCAGCCGGATAACGCCATAAACATGAGGAGGGTGTCAGCTACATACCTTCAGTTGCTCTTTATGCTCTTCCGCGACGGCAAGGACATCGGGAATGTAGTCGCTGAAACCGAGATCACGGAGGGCGCGCTCGACATGTTCGCAGGCGATAGTCTTCTTGGCTTCCTTTTCGCTGATGTCGTTGGCCTCGGAGGAGATCAAGGTGATGAATTCGACACAGCACTCCATGAGGAGATCGCGGGCATCTTTGGAGAAAGTCTGGCCGGATGAGGGTGGTAGAATCTCGGTGATAATCTTTTGAACCGTCGCTGTATAGTTTGCGATTTAGTATATGATGTATATTTGATTATGTTATGTACTGAATCCGAGAAAAACAAAGCAAAAGGCGACTGGCCCCGACGACCTCGAACGTGGCGGAGTTGATGCGACGCGACAACACGGAGGAAGGCGACATACCTTTAGGTAGCGACAAGTCGTCGTTGGCTAGTAGGGAAAAGCGGCGAGTTAGCTCGATACCTTGAATTTGCGCGAGGAAGTAATCTGGAATAAAACTTACCACTAAATTCGCGATCTGACATGATGGGCGACAAGGAAGGAACTAGGCGAAACGCGCGTTCTGCACAGTGGTGGAAGTTGGCTCCAGATTGGAAAGTATGTATTGTGACGGTGCGCGGGGAGCAACTGGTTGGTATAAATAGCTTGCGATTAAATCCCGGCGCGGAGGGACTCGTCACGGAACGGAAGAACCGCCTGGCAGAAACATACCGCCTCTGGGGTTTTTAATCTCGGTTCACAGCTTTTTTTCGGTTCATGATTTCTTCACTCATGCAGTGCTCTTCGCACAACAGAAAGTGAAAAATGGCTTCACTTTTCTTGGTTTGCTTGCTCAATTCTTGAAATTCCTCAAGGAACTAACTTCAATGGTATGTATTTCACCCTTTTTCTCTTATTTGCCTTCCAATTATCATGATGAACATCGTTGTCGCCCCTATCATACCATCTATGGTGACGTACACTGTCCAAGCCAAACGGACCACTGAAATATTTCCTCACTTTCGGAATTTGCCAGTCAGTCATTGCATCGTACATTGCTGACTTATTCAAAGAATCTAGGTGCAGAATCTGCAAATCGCTTATCACGACCACACAATACCCCATTTCGATATCCGTAAGGTATGCGACATATAATTCTTTTTAAGCGTCCACACTTTTTTACATGATGATCACATTACATTCCATGCTAAGTATGAAGGCTTACGCCTAATGCTTCAGAAATGTAACCTGCTTTTCATCTTTCGGCTGATTTGTATTCTATTTCGCAATATGTTCTATATTGAGTCTTGTTGACGGTATATACTGACTGTCTTCATAAGAATCATCTAGTTGTAATCTACTCCTGGAACGCCTCGAGAGCCTTGTCGTTCCACCTAGTTTAGCCGTTAGCTTTATCCTGAAATGAAGAGATTTTTCAAATCACTCACGTGAAGAACTTCCCAGTAAGCTCGTTAGGAGCGTCCAACACCAGCTTGGCCATAACATGACCGGGCTGCTCTGGCTTGAGGAGCTTGCCATCCTTGTGGACCGTCGTAAACTTGGCATGCATCTGCGGCTCCAGAGTCGTAGCGTGGTCCTCACGCAGCTCCCGCTGCATCTCGGTGTCAACCATGCCAGGCCGAATAGAAATCGTAGTAACCTCGGGTTCTTCCTCTCCCAAGCTCAAAGCGAGGTGGTTCATGGCGGCCTTGGTCGCACCGTAAAGAGCCCATCCTCTATAAGCCGTGACGGCAGCGCCCGACGAAGTGAAGATGATTTTTCCCTTGGATTCACGGAGGGCGGGAAGACCGGCTTTGATCTAAGCAGTTAATCAATATCAATGCATTAGCTATCGAGATCCATTGATGCAACACTATCCGCCATAGACTCGAAAACTCCGCACTTACGAAAGCAGTAAGACTGATAAAGTTCACGTCAAACGCGTGCTTCCATTGCGCGAAATCGGCATCCTTGACCTTGCCTACTTGTCCGAGCATGCCGTGGTTGAGGACCATGCCGTCCAGACGGCCAAAGGACTTGAGAGCCAGGTCCACGGCCTTCTGACCAAGGGAGAAATCAGCCAGGTCTCCATTGAGCACTTCGACCTGCTTGCTGTATTGCTCCTTGAGCTTCTCGAGGGGTTCGCGACTACGAGCGATCACGACAACATTGTGGGATTGGGGTGCGGTGAGGAGGTATTTCGTGATGGCGAGGCCGATTCCTGGGTGTGCGAGTGTGGTCAGTGACTGCGGGGTTGAGGTTGCGGATGAATTGGGTTTGAGGACATGGAATGGGTTGGACAAGATTACCTCGAGAGGCACCGGTAACGATGATAGTCTTGCTCGACATTGTGCTTGGTTTGTGTGACGATGGAACTGGTCTGGTTGCACAGCAAGTGGCTGAATAAATGGATGCTATGACGAGAGTGGGGGTGGATGCTCTCGTATCGGACCCGGCCACTGCCTTCCAAGAACGGACGGCCCGACGGAGTGTCTACACGAGAGCCCTATGCCATATCCCCCGTGCAACTGACTTCCTCCAACACCTCTGCAGTGAAATGTGAACAATTACAAAGCTTTCATATTCATCGCCAAAGAAGAGTGGGCCTGATTTATCTATTGATTTGATGACTATAAAGAACCCATCAGTTGGAGGTGTGAGGCAGTGCACGCGGTCTGGCTCGAATATGTCCTTATATTTCTAGCGTCTGGTAAACCTACAGAGTACCTGGATGATAGAGCCCATGGCGCTTAGCCCTACCACCTGCTCGCTGCGTAGAGTAGGTGAACTGTGTTATACTGAGCAGCTGTTTGCCTGAGATACATACTTCCGATAACTTTGACGACAACCTTGATGAGGTTGGGAGCCATCCCTTTGATAAATTAGGGCACTGAGACTTGCACCAAGAGTCATGATAATTGACTTGGTGGATGGCCAAAATAGACAAAAATCACAGGTGAATGCTAGTATACTAAGAATAGCTGGATGCAGAGTCAGGAAGGTTTACACTGGTTCCCGCGGGACACAACCTTGTGCAAGCCTGTTTGCGTTCTGTAGTATGGAGCAGCGGCTCGGCAGTAGTGGTACCATCCAACAGAATGACATCTCGATGGAGAAAGTATCCCCTTCATTGTTCATGTGACTGATATATAGAACGTTACTTACTATGAATGACAAGGAGAGTCGTGAGATCCCGCGAGCTCTAGTAGCGCTGATGAAACAAGGGGAAACGTGGGGTCTTTGTCGGCAATTTATCCGCTATTTAATGTATGGCGCTAGTCAATTCCACTGCCATAGACCTTCTAGACTCAAATACTACCAAGATGACTATAATTCCCCCAGTCGCACTATTCTCAGACTTCTGACAAGTTCCTTGAAGTAATTGTTTCTTGAGAGGTTGACTTTTCCGCGGAAAACATTAACCATGGTTGGTGGAGCCCGTGGAAAGGCATAGCAAAACATACTATAGCATCATCCTACTAGTATGTATACTCCAGTCTCTATAAATGGTAAGAAGCGGAATCTATAATACACTGACCGATTTTGCTAGTATTGTGGCTAGTCAGTCCTCCGATGGCCTTCAATCAGCCACAGGCTTGAATGAAACGGCTTGTATATACCACGCCTATATCCTTTAGGGTCCAGAAATCAATTCCCAAATGCAAATGCCATTCTATGAACAGAGCATGTCTTAGAAAATTCTAGAATATCTGCCAAGGGCCTAAACAATCTGGAGAGAACCCACTGTATCCTGAAGCCCGTGGGGAAGCTATACTTTTTCCCGGTAACTTGAGTAGAACGTATGGGTCTACCACTCAACATGAGGGTAGTCTCAACTCTTGCTTCTCAAGACAAGTAATTGAGTACAGTGTATTAGAATAATTGTATAAGCATAAGTTCCTTTTAGAGAATGGATTTCCCATCAATTTTGAGGGGAGGGACGAAGACCCGGAAACGTCTGGCCCTCCGGAATCGGCAGGCCGTCCGAGTTCGGAACGCTATCTCCAAGCAACAACATCACGCAAGGTAGCAAACTTGCTTGCTCTATCTGAAGTTCAAGATAGATACATTAACCAGATAATGCATCCTGATGCTTGTTAATACAAAGTCAACCGGCCCGGTCAACTCGGGAAGGGTGCCGGTTCGATAAGGGCAAATGGCAGCGGGCAGCGTGCACAGGTCCTCGTCCGGGAATCATCATTCGAAGGGCGTGATCCACTCTGTTCATCTAATCGACTGTCCCGGATCTACCCCGCCTTGGAGTTCTGGAGATACCCACTCCCACTCCTACTTTATATAAACTTGACAGAACCCAACCTGAGTTTGTTGAAATACAAAGATTCATATCCAGACCCGTGTTGGGGTTGTATAACTTGGGCGCAATCGTTACCCGAAAACCCCCATAAAAGTCATAGCTCCATTTCAACATGCCTACCGTCATTCTTGGAGGAGGTATCATTGGCTCCTCAATTGCCTACTATCTGTCTCAAAGCCAACCGCAAGAAGAAATCCATGTCGTTGAATCAGCATCCGAGCTGTTCTGCTCTGCGTCTGGTTACGCTGCTGGCTTCCTAGCCAAGGATTGGTTTGCGCCTTCTCTCGCGCCATTAGGAGAGCTGTCTTTCAACCTACACGAGTCTCTTGCTGCCGAGCACGATGGAAGGCAGAAATGGGGTTATATGAAAGGTGTGGCGCTGAGCTTAGGCTCCGTGAACAACCAAGGAGGTGCTCGTGGCGACGATTGGCTTCGTGCAGGTACAAGTCGCGCAGAGACAGCCGCAGGCACAAGTCAGTACGGGGAACCCGAGGTCCCAGAATGGGTGACACGGCAGCAGGGGGCGAAGGTAGAGCAAATCAGTGATAAGAATACGACAGGTCAAGTGTAAGGCTCATTGAATCCTCGCGCAACGAAGCAAAGACGCTGATAATCATTAGTGATCCCGTGAGGTTATGCAGATTCCTTATGGACAGCTGCACGTCACGAGGTGTCAAGCTCCACTACCCAACAAAAGCTTCGTCGCTTGTTAGGAACGAGGCCGGGACCATCACCGGCGTCAGAATCGTGGACTTGAACACAAAATCTGAATCTACTATCCCCTGTACGAATCTGGTTGTCTGCGCTGGACCGTGGACACCGCAAGTATTCCGTGATCTGTTCCCATTCTCCAAAGTTGCACTTCCTATATATCCACTCGCTGGATATTCTTTGGTTCTCCACTCTCCAAGACATACTCTGGAACACGAGCAGGAAAAGTATCATGGGGAGACCCATGCGTTGTTCACGACATGGCCGCCATCCTGCGGCTTCAGCCCGGAATTGTTCTCTCGGGAAGGAAGGGAAATCTACATTGCGGGTTTGAATACCAAGACAATCCCGCTTCCGGAACGAGCGGACGACTCCCATAAGTCGATAGACCAAAAGGAGATGGATAGATTGAAGGCGGCGTCCGTTCGCCTGCTTGGAAAACTTGCAGAAGGCAAAACGGAATCGACCGACGAAACCCCGAACGTCAACGACCTGAAGATAGTCCGTGAAGGCCTTTGTTTCCGTCCTGCTTCAGATCGTGGCACACCTTTTGTGGGGAGAATTGACGACAGCTTGTTGGGAAGTGACATCAACACCAGCGCAGGAAGCAGGAAAGGTGGAGTGTTTGTTGCTTCGGGCCATGGCCCTTGGGGAATCTCGCTTGCTCTTGGAACTGGCAAGGTCATTGCCGATTTGGTGGAAGGGGTCCAGCCTGCTGTAGATATCAGCGGGCTGGGGGTGAGCCGTAGAGGCTTGGAACGTATATAGTCAGCTTTGCATCCACAAACGTACAGAGTGGCTAGATCTCCTCAATAGAATAATAACTAAGACTTTTCCTTGGCTAGTGAACTATAAAGAAATAGTAATTCAACCCAAAGTTAATCACACATAAAAAGCTGAGTAAGGTACATGTTGATTATTGAAGCCTCAGGCACCAGAAGCTTCTCCGAGATTAGTCAGCGCGGCCGCCACGAGATCGAAGCTCTCCAGAATCTGCAATCAAGAGCTGGGGAAACCACGTCGCGCTAACATATTTGCTCTGCGTTGTTGCAGCCTTCGCGTAGTCTTATTCTTCTCTAATTTCTCGGTACCTCCACCTACATCCTTTCCTCATCACCGTTCATTACTCCATCTCCGCGAACCGAGCTCGGCGCAACACGATCCACCATGGCCAACTATCTCGCCTCCATCTTCGGTACAGAGCAGGACAAGGTCAACTGCTCCTTCTACTATAAAATTGGAGCTTGCAGACATGGCGATCGCTGCTCCCGGAAGCACGTCAAGCCCTCATACTCTCAGACGATCCTGATGCCGAACATGTATCAGAATCCCGCGTACGACCCGAAGAGCAAGATGAACCCCAGTCAGCTACAGAACCACTTTGATGCTTTCTACGAGGATGTGTGGTGTGAGATGTGCAAGTATGGCGAATTGGAGGAACTGGTTGTCTGCGATAACAACAATGACCGTGAGTCGCATCCATTCATTATATTATCCCTTCCCCGGATAGTAGAACGATATAGGCTAACATTACATCTCCTCTTTGACAGACCTCATCGGAAATGTCTACGCGCGTTTCAAATACGAAGAAGATGCCCAGGCGGCCTGCGACGCTTTGAATTCACGATGGTACGCGGCACGACCCATATATTGTGAATTATCACCGGTTACGGATTTCCGAGAAGCGTGTTGTCGGTTAAATAGTGGCGAGGGGTGTGTACGTGGTGGATTCTGCAATTTCATTCATCGGAAGGACCCCAGCAATGAGTTGGACCGGGATCTTCGTCTCAGTACGAAGAAGTGGCTGAAGGAGCGTGGCAGGGATGCGAGAAGTGTCAGCCGCAGTCCTAGTCCGGAGCCGACCCGGAGGAGGTACTAGGGGGGGAGATCTGTGATTTGGAATGTCCTTTGTGTTGTTCTATATGCGGCGTTGGGGGAGAATGACCATCATCTGTCAGCTGTATTTCTATTCTAGTTTCTTTACGCTATGATATCAACTGCATTTGCGATATCCGCAATATGGTTCTGGATTGTGTTTAGGAATGAAACCGAGTTCTTCTATATGGTAGTATACTCTGTATTAATCGTTTCTATAAAAAGTAATTAACGCTGCTAGAAACTATCATCGAAGTCATAAACATTGGATGCCACAAAGAACCTCCAGTCTTGGCATCCAGAACCAATAAACGCGGGGCCGCCGGCGCGTCCATCGCGTCGTCCGTCGCATCCAATTTCTTTGTCCAGTTCATCCATTCATATACTCCCCGCATAAAAGAGCTACCAAATCCCCTCCAATCAACAAGAAAATTCGCAATGCTTCATCTCACCGTATAACCACCAAAGCCCACGATCTCCCTCCCATTAACCCCAACCAACTACATACAAAAATGCCCCGATACGCAGAAGACCACGAGCGCTACGATGACAGCAACCGCGCATTTCTCCAAGCCTTCATGGCGCGGTCCACCATGACCTTTTCAGAAGCAAAGCCCGTCCTGGCTGCGATATTCTCCGTTAGAGGTATTCCCTATACCATATACCTTACACCAGCATATCAAATGAGATCTACGTCAATCACTAACGTCAAACCCTCTACATCTAGACGAAGAACAAGTCTCACCCGAAGACATAACGGAAGACGACCTCCAAACCTACATCGCAGCCGCCAACAGCGCTATATCCCCCTTCGACCTCGAAATCCGGAGCATACTACCCCAAATCGAAATCAACAACAATGACCCCAACGCACCCCCTCCCCCAGCCCCCGAACGAGTCTACGCCCTCGTCAACACAACCAGCGACGCCCTGACCCAGCTCGCGACCACCTACTCCGCCGACGAAATTGCCTTCGTGAAGCGCATCCTCGACGCCATGTTCGACACATACAACACCCGCCGCCAGGAAGCAATGGTCATAAGTAGTATGCAGGCGCTGCAGCTAGCCAAGGCAGGTGCAGGGGACGCAAATCGACGGGAATCAGGGACACAACAGCAGCAAGCGACGCAGGGAGGTGCAGCGCAGTCATTGACGATGACGCAGGCGGAGACGATGCTGAAGCAGCTTTTGGAGCAGGGGTGGTTTGAGAAGAGTAGGAAGGGGTATTATCGGTTGAGTCCGCGCGGGTTGATGGAGTTGAGGGGGTGGTTGGTGGCGGCGTATAATGATGAGGGGATTAGGAAGATTAAGTTCTGTGCTGCGTGTCGGGATATTATTACTGCGGTGAGTTCGAATTTCTATACGTGTGGGAGTGAAATGTGGTTTGGGGGCATCATTGGCTAATGATTGTGTTGTTTGTGTATAGGGTCAACGATGCGGAGACCGCGATTGTACTGGACGATTGCATGACCACTGCATGCGGAATTTCTTTCGTATGCAAAAGTCCGAGAGTTGTCCTGTGTGCAAGAGTGCCTGGCCGGGTGATAGGTTTGTTGGTGAGCGCGCCATTACCATGTCTGATCCGGCTGCGCAGAGGGCTAGACGCTCGGCTGCGAATGCTCAGCAGGCGGAGGCGGGGCCTAGTACGCAGTTCACGTTGCCGGAGATGGATGTTGAAGATGAAGTGGATGGTGGTGAGGAAGAGGCTGGGAGTGATTGAAGGGGATGAGCGATGATTATTTTTATCATCAGAATACCTTAGGCTGCCTTAGGAGCATGTCGCGAGGCACTTGGCCATGAGCTCTTCGGATGCAATCAGAACTTCGAGGGTCGGAGACTTCGAGGACTCGCTCGGAGCCATAGGACGCAGGGTCATACCAAGATACACCTGCGAGGCCCCCCGACGGAGAGGATACTTCCTTGATGTAGTACCTTGAGGGGATCGACTGATTCCAGTCAACGACTGGCCTGTTCATCAGTCGAACCTGGTTGAAAGACCACTCAGTGTGACCACTATCTACAGACCACCATATCTGGTATTTATCGAAAACGGTCACAATATATGGCCACTGCTCAGAAAGAAGAGGAAAGAAGGGCAACACATCACTTCAGATACCACAATTCGTATATTTGAAGCTATTCAAAAGTTCTATCCTATACAGACTGTGTCATGTAAGACTACAATAGCTTGTGTTGGTAGCGTTCTAGTCGGATAGTTTCTACCACCTTTAGACCTTCATCTTGCATTACTAGAGATAAGTTCAAATTTCAATTCAAGTGGAATTACTATCAAACTATCATCACTATTGTAAAGCATTAGCAAAATGAGAAAACATTCCAGTATTATCCGTGATATTACACGTCCCATCATCCCCTCTTTTTGTTGTTTCCTTTTCCTTCTTTTTTCTTCTTTTAGTATTTTTCCAACCATTGTTTGTTCTTGTAGATATTCTTCTTTTTTTGTCTTTTCATTTTTCTGTTCTCTTTTTTTGTTCTTTTTCCTTTCGAGAAAAAGAAAATCCCATTCCACCATTACATCCCCAACAGCCTTCCTATCCCAACTCCGCAACAAACCATCTGCAGCAAAGCACAGAAGTAAGACAAACCCCGAGTCTCATACCAGAGATAACAAGAAAAGAAAGCTTGAACATAGCAGCATATCCACAATGTTTCCTGATGTAAAATTCACTTCACCAACATGTCAATATGTCATCATCTTCGTAAACACCAAGCGACAATTCTACTCAAGCCAAAGGCAAAGCAAGAGTCTCCGAAAAAAGACCAAGCAACATATTATGTAAATCGACATAACCAGGCGAAGGAGAGCCAAAGGCAATATGTTAAACAAATTCGGTATGGTGAGATTGAAAGATCAGGGAATAAACCATGGGAAATTCAAGTCAAAGCCAATATGTAAAACGAACCCCTCATGTAAGGCAAGACCAAAGATCAAGCAGTAAATCATGAGTCAAAATTAATAAAACAGAGAAGACTTAAGCCAAAGACCAAGGTGCCCAGCCTTCAAGCCATCTAAACAGCAGAGGCATGCAACTCCGCATCACGCTGATCGACTCTCTGACGTGCCGAGATGCCGCTCATATCTCTGATATCAACGTCCGCACCACAGGACAGCAAGAGATTCGCGACTTCCATACGAGCATTCCAAGCTCCATTAATACACCATCCGTCGCCGAGGAGAAGATTCAAAGGCGTGACACCATTTCCGTCCTGAGCGTTCATATCCGCACCATAATGAAGCAAAAGCCTCACGATGTCCACGGAAACATTGGCCAGGCGATCGACGGCCCAGTGCAAGGGGGTTCGGAGGCGCGCGTTGGTTTCGGGACTCCAGAAGGACGGGTTGCGTCTGAGATACAGATCGCTGCCAGTGGCGGTTTTCGCGTTGGGGTTACTGCCCTTTTCGAGAAGGAGCTGGACGGCGGGTGTAACACCTAATCTGACGGCGAGATGTAGAGCGGTCAGTCCTTCAATCGAGCTGGCCTTGATATCGACACCGTGCTGCATGAGGAGCTGAATGATGGCCAGACGTGTGTTCTCGTCGCTTGCGTCGGCGATATCGAAAGCGTACATCAATGGTGAGTGGCCATATTCATCTTTTTCGTTGGCGCTCGAGCCTCGAGTTAATAGAAGGTGCTGGACCACGTCGAGGCGGAGGCCCCACACGGCGTAGTGGATGAGGGGCGTCTTGCGACTCTCGGTCGTTGACAGAGATGCGCTCTGGGATGAGGTTGTACTGAGTTCCGTGGAAAGGTATTCAAAGGTGTCCAAATTGCCGTGGCCAGCAGCATACTGGATGAAGTCTGGCTCGCTATCACGCTTCATTGCGGCTTCTCCGCCACTGGTGATGACATATTTGGTCACTATTTTCACCATGTGATAACTCTGGCTTTCGATAGCGCGGGTAATGTGATCCCCGGTCACCTTGGGGCCCATGTTCAGAAGCAGACGGGTGACACCGATCAAGTGGGCGTTGCTGCAGGTTATACTGAGCAATCTGTCCATTTCGTCATCCCTGAAGCGGATTCCGGCCTGGATAAGAAGATGGGCGCACTTGGAAGGAGTATTGTCTCCGGGTTTTCCAGTTCGTTCGGTAATGCCTTGGACGCTGGACGTGCAAGCTTCAGGCCGGATTGCTTCGCAGAAGGCATGTTTGAGTACATCAAACCCGCTGGAATTGGGATACATGTGGTGCTTTCTGTAGTCCAGAAGCAAGGTCAACGCCTTTGAGTACCAGAGCTTAGCGGCTAAGATGATCGATTCATCAATTCCACGGGTCGGTTTGTGCAGAAGCTGGCTGCTGGAGAAGAACTCAATGAACCTCGCCACAACCGATAGACGACCATAGCTGATGGCATTCTCCAGCGGAGTGGTCCAATATTTGAGTGTTCGAGGTGTCACGTCATTTTTTCCATGATGGAGGAAGAGGGAAACGAGTCCAACATCACCCCTCATGGCAGCGTAGTGTAGGGGCGTGATCTCTAGCGAGCTGTTCCCTGGCCTGAAGAAGGCATGTGGACTTGCCCCGTACGTCAGCAGCATTGCCACAGTAGTAAGGTCTTCAGGAGCTTCGATTATGGCCCGATGCAAAGCCATGTAGCCATTCTCGTCGCGTTTGTTGGGATGATAGCCCTCAGCGAGCAACGAAGTCAGATAGTCATAGTTCCTCTGCCGCGCTGCTTGCAGAAACGGCAATGAGACTCTGATATCCGTGTCGTAAGAGACTTGAGTATCCAGTTCGCTAGACATAATGCTTGAGAGCCGATAGTTCAAGATGCCGTTTGGATGGAAAAGAAAATGGAGATAGGAAAGAAGAGTAAGAGATCAGTAGAGAGAAGATTCTTCTTCTAGCCATCTCTATTCACTCTCTTCGAACAACACATAAGCAATATTCAGGCAGAATCACCAGTCTGAAGGCGGTGACGTCTGTTTGCTATATCGCTTCTGCAGTTTTGCATATAGGGTTGGGGCTACCTTTGTGCGCGTAGTGAATTGCGCGGTGCATATCTTTGGTGTGGTCATCGTGGTGTGTGCTGAGGTATGCCGTTGCTGTGAGGGAATTCTCTCCATGTTCCCGTGTCTCCGAGATACTCATGCCATATAAGTTACTGAAAATGGAATATAGAGTGTAGAGTGTGATAGTGAGTGAGAGTAAGCAATGTAGGATGAAGGCAGACACACCAGGCAACCAAAAGCCGTAGCCGCCAACGACACATGACTTCCACTGTGTTCCCTCCTTACCGACTTCCCTGCCTCACACCCCCGCCTTATAATATTCCCCTCCACTACTACCATATCAGAAAGCACAAATCCAACATGGCTCACCACCCCGTCTACACAATCAGAACCCATTTGACAATCCCAGACCCCGACCTTCCTTCTCCCCGTTATCACACCGCAATCTTCGTTGAAACAGACCCAGTGACTGGCTCTGGAACCATCCATGAAGTGACCGGGGACATCACCTCACCAGAAGGAATGCATTACGAAACTAAACTCGTTGCTCGACCAGAGTCCGATGAAAACTTCTTTTCACGAACGCTACTTGGTATGACGAATGCAGCAAATTATCCCGACTCGTGGGACAAGGTTCTACGAGAGCTTCCAGCTCCCCCACAACAAAAGGCGTTCAATATCAAACGAATGAAGACTGAACCGTTCAAGAGGCTATCGCCGTTAGAGTTTTATGAGGACGGCGAGGAAAGACGGTCGTTGGTCAAATGCACTGAATGGGTGGCTGACAAGGCTATTCCGGCGCTGAGGAAGGCTGGTCTTTTGCAGTCATCCGTCTCGGTATGAATCTGCCAGGGAATTGCGTAAAGTTGTGACTGGAGTAGAATTTTGAAACTTGATGTAAGTAAGAGCATATTTACCTGCTTTGTTTATATGTGCGCTTATAAGAGATCTGGGCCTGATGGGAGGGATGGGCATGAAGACCGACTGATCTTCCCTTGAATGAAGCTAGTAGGAGATTTCGTAGAACATTCCCTGATTTATCTACATCAATTACCAGAGGAAACGATAAAAACCCTTGATGGTTCACAATTTCTGCAGATTCCTATTCTTTTGATACCTGAATGCTTTCAAACTAGTGTGACACCGCGACGAACGCTTTATAACAATGAAACTTGGCGCAGAATGTTGCAGCATAAGGTATAGTCACACACTGACGAAAAATTTCTCGAAAACCATAGTCAACAATTAAAATCATGACGCCTCGATGTGGTTGAAATCATCTGGGATCTTCCATCCATGTGCTTGACAAGCTCGCCTGTACGCACCCACAGCTTCACTGAACGGATATTCGCCATCTCGTTCAATGCGTGCAGGCCATGGCTCTGTTGAACAAAGGGCCATACGCACCTGCAGAAACACACTGTCTATGGAGCTCGTAGGAAGCCAGCCTGAGCTGGTGAGCAGCTCCATGCACATGGCGCCACCAGCGGTCACATGGCCACCACCGCGTTGTTGGAAAGAGATAAATCGGGGTCGAACAACACGGACAAAAGGCGGAGACATTGGAAACTGCGGCGGAAAGCGTATTTCCATAACGACGCTCTTGAGACCTTTTTGCTTGAGATCCTGTGCCAAAGGAAGAGAGGGATCGAAGCTGTGGAACTCGACGATCCATTGATAGATGTTGTTGATAAGTGTGGGGTCCACATACCAGCCGATCTCATGTAGGGGCTCTCGGTCCTGAATGCGCAATGTTGTCTTGAGATGACGCTGTAGTGACTTGGTTGCGGCTGTGGTCGCGTAGCTCGGCGGTCCGAGGAGCTTGAAGGAATGAGCTTGCAAAGTTCCGGGCTGGAAGTCGGTTTTGGACCCGCGTCTCAGATTGTGATTGGACTTTGATGCATCAATGCGTCTTGATTTTCCGATGACATCGTCATCCGAATCCGAATCAAGCAAGCGAAGATCCTCAATCTCCGTATCATCGTTGGAATCAGTTGTCGATGAGCTCTCAGACAGACCAGATAGCCCTTTTGCAGATGACTTTCTTTTCTTTTGTCTATTATCTGTGGCTTGTTTATCGGCTTCATTTTTGTTCTTGTGGCTCTGGCCCTGTCGAGTGC